TTCCAATAGTTTTATCTTTAAAGATTTCAATTTGTATTAAACATGCTAAACTATTGAACATAAAATCAATGTTAATACTGATAAATACAAAAAAACTTACTAAAGTATTGAACCGATGACCTTTGAAAATAAGTTTATTTGAAGAACAAATAATTTTACATGAATGCTATCTTTACACTTTTGTCCACATTCCTGAATATATTGACATAAGTGTTAATGTATTTTTTCATCATAATGGGTTGTAAATATAGTTTGTCTTTACTCTGGTTTAATGTCTTTTAATGTGGCAGGTGCAAGCATATTGAACTGACGGAATTCTCTTTTAGCATTTTCCTCTGAAGAAAATATCTTTTTCTTATTGTTTTGAACTAATCAATTGTAGGAGAAATGCCTCATTGAATATTGAAAATGGAATAAAGTTGCATTTTGATGAGAAACGTGGGATATATATACAAGGTAACTTAAAGTTTAAACATATTTTGAATTGTACTAAATTGACAACTATGGCAATAGGAGATATAACAACATGAATTCTGTTTTTGCTTGGTGGTATGCTCATTTCAAAAACTAGGACCAACAGAAGATGACGACATCACAATACATATTTTGCTAAAACATCATTAAATGTGTTAAGATATGCAATATGAAAGTATGTTTGCACATTTTCCTATTTGAAATGAAACAAATTATGAGAATCTGTGTTTTGTTTTGATTTTAGTATGAATACATGTAGGCCTTATTATCACAAATTAAACCCTCATCCCGCTATGATCCATTAAGGAAAAAGGTTCACAAACAACAACATTCCAATAATTGTGTTTAATAAAAGTTTCCAATAAACAAAACAAACAGGCCTGTGATATGAAAGGTCAGATGGAAATAATAACTTGACATTAAATAGTGAAACTATCTTTACCAAAGTTGGTGTGAATCAAGAGTTTTCTTTATAGACAATTTACTTGATTAGAATGGTGAATATTTGACTTCGCATAAAATCCCAAGAAGATATAACCTTAATATTAATTTCCTGGAATACCACCATTGTATACTTCATATGATACCGAAAGCGTGTGTAAATTCTAATCAATACTTTGCAGAAATTCATGCATATCAAATGAAAAATTTGAATTTATTAGAAACAATACAAAAATCATGTCAATTCTTCAAAGAATAATTCTTGTCAAGGTAAACAGAATAACCTGCAAATATAAATGAAAAAATGTGAAAGAACTATAGTAAATTTAATAAGTTCCAGTTTAAAATTCTACATAGAATTCTTTCTTCAAATTCATTATTGCATACATGTTGGTTAAAAGAAACCAACTTTTGTAGTTTCTGTAATGAAACTAAGGACACTACAAGTAATTTTTCTGGAAATGTACTCTTATTTAGAATTGTATGGATTGAAATTTTAGCACCTTTTCAGCAAAATGTAAATTGACTATACTATTAAATGCAAACAATATTAATTTTGGGTAAGAGTCATGAGATATTTCTTTAAATTCATTCACCGTTCTGGTAAAGTTCTACATTTATACATGTCGATTTAATGCTTCATTTCCAGCTCTTACGGGATCGATTAAATTGATTCCATATTGACTGCCTAGTACTACTTAAAGAACCATTATGTCTGTTTAAAACACTAAAAAATTGATTCCCGAAAGTTAACTGTAGTTATAAAACAGGTGTTATAGAATTGTCAGCTGCTTATGAAATGCAATGAAATTTACATAGAAAATTACAGGTTAAATCATGAAAAATTGGAAACAGATAATTTAATCAAAATCTCATAACCATTAATCGCTATTAAAAAAGCTTTTTTTTTTTATCTTTGCGAATACTCTACTCAAAATTTTACAAATTCTCATGAATGATTTTTTTCAGGTATACTCAATGTTGATGAAGGAGAAAGCAGATCTTTGTTTACAAATGGATCAGTTGCAAGTATGTGGTATGGTATGGTGATTTCCACCAAAAATACAGGTAAGTCTTTTTGTCTTGAATTCTTGAATTCTCTTAGCTTTTTAATTTATTTTATTAAAGTTGAGATGGATTTGAGTACCCTTGACATCTCAATCAATGTATGTGTGCAAGTGTGCATTCATAGTTAGTTTTTTCAATTGTCTGCTTTTAACTACATAATTTGGTGTTCAATGCTTCTTGTAAATTGAAACATGCTTTCAGATGAAAGTTAAATGACCTATATTGTAGTATTTATTTGCTGGAAGATATAATTGAGGAATACTGTTTTATGTATCAGATACTAATAAGCGACTAACAGAATTAAGATTAATTTAGAGGAGTATAACATTATCTATATTTCAATTTCTCATTTTGATAAACCTAACTTATGACCTATTTTTATGATGTAATAATTTTAAGTATTTTGTTGTACTCATTTTTTGCTTAAATCTGCCTTTTAACCAAAAGTGATCAGTTGATTATAAGGTTTTGCAATTGCTTTTCAATTATAGCCATGTATCAATGCTACGCAAGCCCTTTAGTTTTGGTTTTTTCGTCTGTCTGTCCATCCATCCATCCATCCATCCACCTGTCTGTTTATAATGTTTGTTAACGCAATAAATACAAACGTATGGAGAGGACATCAATGAAATTTGGACTGATTTCCCTGTGAATAAAATGTTTGTTGAACTGAAAACAATTCATTGTTATTGTTAAAAATCACAAAATTTAACAAGACCCTTTTTGTGCTAGGATTTAACACAAAATGTATATTATTCTTATCATGTTTTTGTTTAAACTGCTTAATTGATAATAAAAATTTCTAAATACAATGGCAAAACAGACTGTAGTACTTACAGACAATTTTAAATATTTCAGTTTGTCAAGACATCTCAATGTTGACCCTTTGCAGTACTTATATTGTCATAACGATGCCTTACTCGGCCTATTTTATATACACAATAATTGTTTTACTGTCAGATCCTAATTTGCAGATGTTTATTTGAATGTGACATCAACAGAATTTTTTTAAACTCATGCTAATTTTAAATTACATACTTGGCAGAATCCTTATAGGAGTAATACCACCATTGTTTTTTCCCTAACTATTCTTTTTTAAATTGGCACTTTTCAAAATATTATGTAGAATTTATCTTTATTTCAAATAAAATAAAACTTAGTATGAGTCAAGATTTACTCTGTCCAGTTCTACAGACAAAATTTCATATAACATTTCATTGAATATAAGACAATAACCATCGCTGGAAGTTAACCAATCAAATTTCACTCTTTTTTTCCTGTTTTCAAGCTTTAGTAACCATGTAACGTCAAGTTTCCAAATTATTTTATAGAAACACCAAATAAAAAAGAATGGTGCTTTGAAACACCAAAAATATATGTTTATGACTCAGATTTTGTTTTTTACAGCGATGAAATGTATGATTAATTTCCTACAACTGTCAAATTCAAGGGAGTATTTTTTTTTCGACCCTTTTTCGTATGAAACCGGATGTGATATACTATGATTTGTGGTATTACACCTTATATAACTTACTTAATGGTATGGATTTTGCTCATTGATGAAGGCAATACGGTTTTCTATAGGTGTTTACATCTCTGTCCTTTCGTTTCATTTCATACCGCACCTTATTTTTATTTTTAAACTTCTAAGATGTGCATATGGCTACTTGGCTGTTCTAGCACGTTGTCTGTCCGAAAATGCTGCCTTTTTTAAAATTACTGTTTTGTTCTATGACCCGCCTTTTTAACCACAATTCTTATTTCACATGTTGTATATGCATCAAATTGGTACTTTTTAGAACCGAATACAGGTATGAATGTGAGTAAGATGTTTCATTCCATTAAATCAATCAAAATAGAAGATGATACGGATATTATATATCAATGCGACAGTAACTAAAGTAGTGAACTAACTTGTTTTAGCCCTCACAGTGTCTAATATGTTATTGAAACTACTTTTACGTGATTTATTGGATTTTATGATCTTGGTGCATAAAGATCATTTCTTTGAATATTAGTTTTATGGTGCACTAGAATTAAAAGTATATATTCCTGGAAGTTACACCAAAACACTTATTGTGTGTACTCATTTCCTTGCGAATGTTCCTACCTCTTTTGAAATGGGAGTAACTGTTAAAACATTAGTGTTGTAATAAGACCAATGTTGCTCTGGTAGCTAGATCTGAGTTTTACAGCTTAACCTGTTGGAATTTGTTTCATCTCATCCATATTGATACGAAAACCAAGTAAAATGTTAAGAATTTTTTATCAACAGTGGTCATTTTTTATTAAACTGAACTGCAAAAATTGTGTTAACACTTATATTAATTTGAATGTTTCAGTCAGAAAATTTAAAAAATCTTAAATTGTCTTTTTAAAAAATATCGGGATCAAACTATGTTTTATGGATTACCAAATTGATACAAACAATACTTACATACAAATTCAATTTGTTTAGCTTTATGTCAGCGTTCCAAATATTGTAGATACCTTTTGTATTTTAACAAAGAAGTATATTTATAGGTCATTTGAAACTCCATGATGCTTACATCAGCAATACAGAGATTGGATTACAGTCAAAAGATAAATTTTTAGATTTGAAAAACATTATTATCAACAACAGTTTGAGTTCATGTTTGTCGATGCTTTCAGGTGCCGAGGGAAATTTTCACCTTGAAGGAAGTTTATTCAATAACTGTTTTTACCATGGTATTTTTCTATCAAAATATGTTAATGCTTCATTCGCCGGACTAGATATATCATCTTCATATAAAGGAATACAACTTATAACTGATCAAACTGGACATTTAAGTTTGCATAATATTGTGATAAAGAATTCGTCACTGATTGCAGTCCATGTAGAATTGCATCACCGTCGTAATTCAGGAAATATTTTAATACATGATATAGAAGTAACGAATGCCCAAACAGGTTTTCAGTTGATAGTTGACAATTACTATACTCACAACAGCATTGAAATTAGAGACAACTCTTTTAACAATATCTCTAAGTATGCCATGCAAATCAGTCTACCTGATGACTATGGATATACACAAAATAGAGCAAAGAAATTTGTTGATATTGGATACAACACATTTACTAGTACCTGTGGAGTAACGTTGGATACTTGTGACAGTGTTAACGTTAGCTTCCATGACAATGCTTTTAAAGGAAGTTCATGTTCAAGAATTGATAAATGTTTCTTAAGTATTTTTGCAGATGGATTCCGAAACATACCGTATCATGTTTTTGACATATCTACAAACAAATTCATGGGAATAAATGATAATTGTGTTATAGAGTTGAAAAGTCACAGTTATTTTTCATATCCTAAGGGAACAATGCAGTTTAATAGTTTTCTCCTGAATAAAGTATCTCGTGGTGTAGTGGTTCTAGATACGTCATATTTTAACATTTCTCAGAACATCTTTGACAACCATGATTCTACATTTGATTTCTATACTACTGGTTCTGGTGAGTAAATTAAATAAATATATACATTCAAACAAAATTTTATAATAGTTTGCACTTTAATGAAACATTTGATTCTCTACCGTTTACACTTGTAATCCTAATTTTTAGCATAAAGACAGATTGACAGAAAAAAATCCTACTTTTACCCCAATTAAAAATTGGCCTACATAAATACAATTATCTTGGTTTATTCTAGGGATGAATCATCGTTTGTTTAAAAAATAACAGAACTCTCTGATAGACAATTAAATTCTCTGTGACTGACATAATTAAGAAGCTTAATTTCATTAATGAAAACGTATTTGTTACAATTGGAGGACATATTTTCAGCAAACAATCTTCCTTCCTATCTGTGATACTCTTCGTGCAGACTTGTTCCTTAATTCATATGAGACAGACCTCAAACAGGAGCTTCTTAGAAAAAATGAAAAGAAGCTATGTAAATAATATCATTATCAAAGGAACCATAATAAGGCTTATAATTAAATATTTTAAGGTCTCGTGACAACGGTATGTTGAACAGAACTATCCGATGGGGCAAAACTTTACGACAAAAAGGAACGTTTCAACTGTCAATTTCTTTATAGCTACATTTCAGCAGCAGCTGATTATATATCCCAGAGCTTGCGTTTCCTAGCATGATTTCCTTGATAGAGGGTTGATGCTAATAAGTAAGCTAATGAACCAAGGGTTTCCAGTGGTAAAGTCATGAATTGGTTTACTGTTATGGAATATCCGTTCAACAGATGACCACTGATATGTTCAACTGTCATAACCGTTATATATCCCGTCCTTTTCCCATCAATTGTAATATCACTGAATGAGCCTCATCAACGCATGTGTTCTTACCATGCATGAGCAGCACGATGGATGCCACTAGTGGAGCTGGATTTGCTTATCCTCCTAGATGTCTACAAATCACAACCCAGTTTTTGTAGTGGTTCTAATACATATTGATCAGTCTTTACTTTTATATGTATTGTTTTGTGAACCTGTCTGTCTTTTTGTCCTATTTCTTTTTTTTTGTGTCTTGGTTCCGCCTCCATTTTCTTTTTAAAGAATAAGTATTCCCAATTTCCCCTAAAATGTGTACAAATTAGAAATGAAATAAATCTCTTACTGTTTTGTGTATAAAACTTAGCAACTTAAGCATTTGCTAGCAGATAGAAATTAGATAATCATCAATTCATAAAAAACTATTTCGAGTAATACAAAAACATTTGATATGATGTTTTGCACCCAACATATCTTTCTACTCATTAAGAATCATCAGCTTAGATTGACGACAGTTTGGAAAGCCAAAACATAAATCATTATAGTGTATAGATATACAATTCCTCTAAAAGAGAGTGACATAACTGTATTAGGCCAGACGGAACTAGCACTACCAAATTGGAAAAAAAGTATTGTGAAATGTATATTAAATATCTTTTATGCACCACTGTTCAATAAAGTGCTTCTCATGTGCTTGTACATCTTAGACCTATTTAGATTAATATATGAAGAGGAAAAAAACATTTGAAGGCAATTTACCTCAATTGCAATTGTAATTTCAATGTTCAATATTTGCATGTCATATTTTTACTATTAAAAATTGTAAATTCTTATTAAACTGAATGATCATAAACAGTAAGGGTGAAAGCATAGATTATAAAAAAAGCACAAAAACAAGATAGCTGCAAATGGCTTGTTTATTACAACTTATTTTTTTTTATTCTAAAATCTTAGTAAGTAAGGTGTTGATTTAAAATGATATCAATATACATGTATTAATTTTATTATTATAATGGCACTTTTACGTCAAAGAACAGTAATTGGGCTATGCTACAGATTTTGCCCAAATCTCAAATCTCTAATTTCTCATATATAGATTTTTTTTACAAATCTATATGTTGTTGATACATAGATTTCCGTTTTAATGATAAACAATAATCATATGGTCACCGACTTCGTTTTTTTGTCTTATTATCAAAATGTTACCTAGTTGGTAGTTAAAAACGTAAAAAACTAACGTTTTACGGCCTGCACCTTGATGACGTCACGATAATTTTGATGCTTTGTGGTCTTTTTTTCCATAGATCATCACTTTGAATGATGTATACCGTAAAAAGGCAGTCAATGACCCTCTCATTATTTAGCATCATTAAAACATAAACTTATGCATCAACAACATATAGTTTATGAAGAAAAATCTATGTACTAGAAATTAGAGTTTGATGATTTTAAGACAAATCTAACAAGTTTTTCCGTCGATTTTATATGCTTTTTATACAAATGTTCACCTTTTTTGAAAGTATTCAATCAGTAATATTTCAGATGATAAAAGAGATGTATGCATTTTCTTTTCATATTCAGTTATAGTTCAACGAGCCAAAGTTGTATGCCAAATTTTACCAAAACCTGTGATATAGCCTATTAACTGTAACTTGAAATTTTAAAAATGTGACCTTTCCTTTCAATATCCAATTTTTTATAGAAATCAGCATTGATCGGATCTTAAGTGGTAACAAAATGACAAAATCAGATGTGATTTATTAAATCCTTATACTAAAATGATTGAATACAGGATAAATAACCTTATTAAGGATCATTATAAAAGAGGCAAATCTATTATTTCCTGATTGCGGAAACATTTGACAATAACATTTATTAAAATTCAATGAGATAATTGATTTTCATTTATACTTCTGCAATATCAACTACAAATAGAGGTTACGGAACTTATTTTCTTGAAAAATAAAAAAAAACATAAATCTTACTAATAAATTCAAAATAATTATTTTCCCTTGAATTTAATTTTAAATACACTAACGGCACTTATTTTTTTTGTATAGTATAATCTTTTTATTTCAAGTTTAAGATGTTTCTGTTGTAAATTGAATGATACGTGGTAAATATTTTTAATAAAAAAGTACTACTTTTGCAACATGACCAGAAGGGATGATCCGATATTCGTTTTACCTTAAAATCAAAAACAAACCAGATTAACTGTGCTTACGTATGTTGGCATAATGACGTTTGCATTGCACAAAACAGCCAGGCATCTTGAGTTAACATGTAAGCTATAGTCCAGATAACTGAAATATTAATATTCATATTGATACATATATTTGAAGTCTTCATTGGGAAATAATTGTTTTTGTACTTTCTATTTAGTACTTAACATATTAGCTGCTGATTTGCAGGAGATGACACAATTAATGCTACACAGAATTGGTTTGGTAACATGACATTGTCAATGGTTTATGATCGAATCTATGACAGAAGACAAGATCCTAGTCTAATGTCTGTAAATATTGCGCCATTATTACTGGAATGGACATTAGATTGCTCTCTGGTGAACAATTGCAGCAATGAAGGACAATGTGTCAGCCCTAACAGATGCAGATGTTTTTCAGGTAAGAGGATTATGCTAATGTTAGTTCTGATTAAAGATTATGCTTTCTACTCAGTGCAATATATGTTTGATGGTGTTTTTTTGTAGTTACCAGAATTGATTAGTCATATAAGTTATAGAGGTTTGTGTTTTCTGGTTATGAAATATCTTGGAACTATTTCTAACAGAAATACATGAACATACTTTTATGGTACCAGTAAAACAAAAACAGTAATCATATCGACAAAAAGAAATTGATTCATTTAAATGATACAAAATAGAACTATGACTTCAATGTTGTTTCAAGGATTATATCCAGAAATAGCACATACAGCTATTGATTGAATACTGCCGCACACAATAACAACGCAAAAATATAAGCAACAATTCTTTCAGATTTCATGAAGTTTTTTTCATGACCTGTACACATAAACTGTCTTGTATGTTTAAAGGCTGATTTAATCTGATGTGTATTGGATTACGGAGTGGTCATGGAAAACTTTTTTGAATCAGCTACATGGAGTTCATATATTTTGTATAACTCCTCAGTCCTCTAGGTTCCTTTATAGATAAAGAAATAATTCTTTAAAACAATTTTATAACAAAAATTAAAAGTAGGAAAGGTACAAACATTATTGCTATTTTTCTTGCCGTTTTGTCAAGAGAACAGGTTAATGATAAGCTATTGCCCAGTCTACTGTTTTCAATGTGGTGTTTGTTTGTCTTTATCTATTTTAGTTATGTCATTTTTCAGTTTATATTTGACTTGTGAGTTTGAATGTCCCTTTGGTATCCTTCGACTCTCTTTTTTATATTAGATAATAGAAGTATGTGCTTTTTATGTAGGAACAGTTTGTTAGTCTTAGTAGTCAATATAAGTCTGGGCTTTTGCAATAATAGTATATATATGTAGGACTTTGAACCGCAACGGTACTCTGAACTGCGATGGTCACGCTTAGGTGCGATGGTCTCACGCTGAAGTGCGTTTTCGACCACGCTGATGTGCGATGGTGGCATTGTGACGCTATCTTGTTGATAGCTATGCCTAAGTGCGATGATGGTTCGCTGAAGTGCGATGGACTGCACAAACTACATTTTTAATGCTTTTCATGTCGATGTAGACGTCAATTTTTATGTTAGAAGAAGTTTTCCAGGTTTTTAAGTCAATAAGGGCTTATAAACTTGAGTTACTAGAAACAGAGAGGATTGGTGGATAGGGAAAAGTTAACCGTCTGTGGCCTTTTTTTTTAAATCTGCAAAAGGTTCCTATTACGTACGATGGAGCGTGGCATTTTCTAAATACAAACGTGTCCATAGAAAGACTCTCCGTATTATAATATAACGGTAAACGAGGAACCAATGCGACTCAGAGGAACAAAGTAAAGATAAAATGCTAGCGCAGAATTATGTCCACATGCAGAAAATCAAAGAGGACGAGGTCTCATTTAGTATGCAACTAAATCAAATATAATAAATAGACAATAATGAATGTAAATTTAAATACATGTACTAACTATTCAAAAAATCTGCATGTACTTCTCAGAACAATTGCACACCTGTAGATTTTAGACTAGCCATCGTGCGTCAAATAGACTATCGCACATCAACTAACGGACCATCGCACTTCGGCGTAGACCATCGGACTTCAGCGTCCCTATCGCATCTCCGAGTCCTACATATATAACGCCTTAAATGCAAACTTTGAGTGAAAATGGCCCATCCATGCTTGATTTTTAAGCCTAGGGCTATAGATATTTTTTTGTTTGTTCAAGGGTAATACATGTAGATGCTAAGTGTGAAAATTCATTTTGGTTAATCCATGAATCGTTCAAACTGGTAGATTATTATTTAGGTTGGACTGGTAAAAACTGTACTGAGTATGACTGTAAAGATGTTAATCATTGTTATGGAAATGGACAATGTATTGGACCAAACAAATGTGATTGCCATCCTGGTTGGGAAGGTGATACATGCATTGTAGCTTCATGTTTGTAAGTATCAATCATTATTAGTAATGGATAATTTTAAGGTGTAAATATTGCATGAAATGCAATGAAAAACCGTGTGATACTGACCTGATTTCTATATTTCCCAAGGTTTACCACTACCTTTGTTAGTTCATACAAGATAGTGCAGTGAAGTGTTCATTATTTAGTTCCAATCTATTTAGTGTCATGCAATAATGTATTGATGATATGTTATATCTTGATATGCAGTCAGGATTCTTCTTCAACATTATCTCCCCATTACACCACCTAATTTTTATAATCGTAAAAATGGACGCCACTGTAGTGATGATGCACTGTCAATTGAACTCTTGAAAACCGATAAATGTATCCACATAACATCATTAGGATCCAAAAAGAAAAATGTATCTACTAGCTATTTAGCATCATTAAATGTTCTTTTATGCATTTGATCAACTTAAAACTATTATCTGATTGGTTGTCGAAACTTTCGAAAATTCAAAACTTTTTAAGAAAAACTCTAATTAAAAATTTCGTGGAAGGGCAGACTAAAACTTTTCAGAGGTTGCAGACTTATTATCCTAGATAAAAAAAAGTTTTTTGAAGATATGCATATTTAAGATCCACTTGAAAAGTCTATCGTCAAGTACTTTTAGTAAAATTTGGTAATTCGAACAAACCTATTCTGCTGTTATGACTCATTAGAAATGTATTTCAATTTACCCATATATTTCATTTTTTAGTACTGTAAATTTTTAATGTTATTATATCAACCTAGAGCCCAAATTTATGAAAATAATAGAATCTGCAGCGAGATGATGTAAAAGTTTGTTTCTTTTATACGTTTTCAAGACATACTAGTCAACTCAAACACGCCTAAACATTAAAAGGTGTTCTCGACTTTCTCTTTTTGATGAAATTATTGCCCATTTTTTTTTTTTTTCACAAAAACTGTCACCGGGGGCAGAGATGCAAATTTATGCTTTAAAAGGATCACTCTAATATCTTCTGTTGAATGTTTTAGGCGGAATTTATGATAAGCAGAAAAAAGATCCACATGTATTTGAACCTACCATATCGACTGTTTTGTGAAAATTTGTCTATGATTTAAAAGTTTATAAATATCACGAAGCTCGATGCCATAATTTAATTAAAACACATACAAACATATAATATGCATAAAATCCTGAATATGCACATTATTAAACTTTAAAAGCCCATAAAAACAGATGTAAACATTTCAAATTTACCAACTTGACCTTTTTTACCTTCTCTAACAAAGAGTTCCATTTCGTTTGATTAATTTCAACTCGGTTTCCGCCTGAATGCACGGTGTATGAATCTGTTATGAAATTTAATTCAACAACAAATATACAGTCATGAACAAAGGAAGATAACTCCAATTCAAATTTTGAATTGCCTATCAAAATACAATTACGTTTTTTATTAAAAAATTCGCAACATTTCAAAATGAAAGCAATCTTTACCCTTCAGTGCTCACAAGCACATTGATTATTTAATATACATAACTATGTGTGAATTAAAGTTATGTTTGATCAGGATTTGATATTTTGAATTCAGAAAGATACGTAACGTTACTACCAACTGTTTTTTTTTAATGGATAATTGTTATTATTTTTCATTGATAAGGAAATACATCGGATTGTTCATATTGTTGTTTTATATCCCTGTCAATCCATTTAAAATGAAAGACTGAATGACACTATTTAAAATCATATTTTTCAAATTATATCTGAAGGAAAATGATGTTTCAGCCAGAAGTTAAAAATTAATGGAGAAGAAAATGTGTTATGGATCTCTGTGCCTGTGAACCATGGCAGTTATTGCTACTAGTATCTATTGGTGTCGAGCCTCTGTCATTGAAGTTGTTGTTGTCATAATTTGTTTGGATAAATCTTCTTCTCTGAAAGCACTGGACTTATTTCAACCAAAGTAGAACTGAAAAATCCTTTGGATGTCGTGTATTTATTGCAATTTTCCTGTTGTAGTTTTTATACTTAAATAGATAGATTGAAGCTGTGAACAGCACAATGATCAGCAATACAACATGTACAAGTTTAACGAAAATGCCTTATGACTGAGAGCATTTGATGCCTTCTTATAGGAGATCTTGTCCATAAACGACAATTTTAGACTATCGTATGAGATATTTTTCTTCGTTAAAAGATGAACATGTAGAAACTGTCAACTGTAAAAATAAACTACAATGAAGATATATTTCTAACCTGTGAGGGCTTTAGGCTCTTATGAGCCTCTTGTTTTGCACTTCATAAATTTAGCATTTATCTTTTGTAAACTAGAGCGAGTTCAAAACCCATTTAAGGACAATTCGTTCCACCATCTTACCCTCTCCCTGATAAAAAATACAAAGATGTGGTATGATTACCTATGAGACATTCATTCACCAGAGATCAACGGATATTGATGTATTAAGCAACTTTAAGTAACAGCTTTAACAATGAGTGAAACCGGCTTTACCATGTAGTAAGCTATTAACGGCTCTGAAATGAAAAAATGATTAACAATAAAAAAAAAATTAATTGATTTATGTGTAATAAATAAACCAAATTAAATATAACAGAAAGCAATCAACGACTACCTCGGATTTACAGGCTCTTGACTTAAGACAGGCACATAAAGAATTCGGTGGGAATAAACATGTTTGTTAGTACACGTTGTACACTTTCAAAAGAATAAACAGAAGCATATACAAAGTATGTTTCAGTGTGTTCTTGAGCTTGGTTGACATTATTTCAATAGTAATCATTATAGACATAAATAGAAAAAGTACACACATATTTCATATCATTTTTGTTTTGTTTTTTTACCACACAGTGATGTCAAGAATTGTAGTGGCCATGGGATCTGTCTGAGGCCAGGAGTGTGCAAATGTACATCAAAGTTTACTGGTGAAGACTGTAGTAAATGTGTTCCATTACACTGGGGATCTCTCTGTAGCCAATGTCCAGATTGTCAACATGGTACTTGTAATCTTACAACAGGTATATATTATATTAAATGTAGTTCTGTTGCTTAAAAATAAAAATAAAAATATTTATCTACATTTACAAATCATTCTGCCTTCCTCTTTTGAAATTCATGTGTCTTGGTCAAGGGTTCACTAAGATTTATCAAAAGTATTATAATTCTTGAAGTGACATTGTTCCATATGAATGTATAAAATATTTATAAAAAAATGTACTCTAAAATATCTGCTTGATTCATAAACTATTTTGGCTCTTGGTTGTCCTCAAAAAGGCTTCATAGGATGCCGTATGACCAATATTTTATAAAATTTTCAAATAGAGTTATGATCATCTTAACTTTTATCATATCTTTGTTAATATTGAAAAAAAAATACTTAAAGTAAAGCAGATTGGTTGCTTAAATTTTAAGTGTTTGTTTTGTTTGTACAGAGAGAATGAAATGCAAGCAGATAAGTTTTCGTTAACATCTTTTTATAAACAGTGGTAACTGGTTAAACACTGGTTAATAGAACAGTTATTTATTATAGGTATGTGTGACTGTAATGGTATCAACTGGTCAGACTTCTTGTGCGATAAGTGCAGTGAGACTTTCTACGGTCCAGATTGTCTCCCCTTGTTGATGGTTTTACAAGTAGTACCCAATCAAGTATCAGACAAAGGAGGTACCGTGGTTCATGTTTGGGGACACAATTTCCCGGAGGTGATAGGTCATGTGTACATTTGTAAATTTGGACAAGAAAGCATCAATGGAACATGGATAGCTTGGAACCACCTAACTTGTACCGCACCGCAGCATGAAGAAGGGAGCGTGTTCCTTGAAGTTTCACCTTATGGTACACATTTCACTAATACCAAGGTAAAATACTGTGATATATACTATTATCTATTTAAAACATTCAGAATAGAACATAACTGTTATATATGCATGATATACGCATGTGAACAAATTTTAGCTTTTCTAATATTAAAGTTGCCGGTTGAATGATCAAACACCTTCATGTACATCACACATATTGCTTTCGGCACCCTAGGCTTATCAATGGAACATATGTAGGACTCATATCGACGGCATACGTCAACAACGTAATGTAAAAAACCTTTATGTAATCATGTGATGAATTTTCAGAATATCCAACTTCTTGATTCCCGAATACAAAACAAAACAATATATTCCTTAAAATAGCTAAGTAAAAAAAGTTCATCACATTTTTTTTCATGCACTTCAAATCAAGGCTTTCTGAAATTTGGAATCAAGAATCATTTGCGCATACTATCTTGTACAGTGACTGCTCGTCAACTTTTATTTACCAATTACTTGCAGCTGTGTATGATTTGTCAACAATAGCTCACTATTCAACTTTTTTATTATTTAAATGTCTTTATCTTATGCACATATTTTACATTTAATGTATGCAATGCAGATAACGTTTACATATTATGCAACCTGTCCACCTGGAGCTTGTGGAAGTCACCACCAGCCTCCTAATGGTCAGTGTTTGTTTGGTGGCTGTTCATGTAACTTACCATGGGTTGGAAAAAATTGTACAATAGAACTGTTAGCTCCAAGGATAATGACACCAGAACAATCTCAGTATGTTGTGGAAGGAACTAAATACAATTTTGGTCTAAACTTGTCTCAGGTTTGTTATTAAAACAAAATCGTCTGGTAGAATATTGTTATTTCCTGATTTGTTATTCTGAAATTAGCCTCAATAACATGAACAGTATCTATTCAACTGCATCAGATGAGAATTTTGACAATCCATGTGTCTTCAGTGATGCTCGAGGCCAAAATATTTGAAAATCAAATCCTAATATTAACATGGAAGAGTTCATCATGTTCATGATAACAAAAATGACAAAAAAATTCGAACCGAGACAAGGTATCCGACTTATGCACAAAGGGGATAAAGCCCTAAATTTGGGTGATTATTTTTTCTCTAAATAGAGGTTTTATTATTAGCCTTGATCTTCAGAACTGTTTTATTAGAGGTAAGGAAAAGTTATTAACTTTATTTTCAATGAATGACAATTGACTTAATTTGTTTGATGTTGATGATATTCCATATGTTTGATTTTCTGTGTAATGTTAAATTTTTAAAAGTAAAAAAAGAAAAAAGAAAATATGATTTGTTGATCTTGAATTATGTTATTTTTTTAATTATGTTATTTTCGTGTTCAATCTACATGTAAGATGCTTGTGTTTGTGGGATCTATCATGAGGTCATGGCACAACTTTTTATTATTGTAACTTATGATAAATTCTCAATTACAGGGAAGTCTACCTGTAAGATGGGAACTTAATCAGTATCCCGTTGGTATGACTATTGATAAAAGAACGGGTCAGGTTGAATGGGGTTTTACAATATCAACTCTGACACACCATATGATCACTGCTACGGTAACAAATGTCATAGGAAAAGATGTTGTGTCATTGCAGTTATTTGTGTCTATTTCTTACTCAGCTTCTGTAATAAGAATTGAACCAAATGGAATATTACCAGCGCCTACTACTGTAACAATAACAGGAACTGTGACTTTCAACAATTCAGTTCAACAAAAAGTTGTTCCAGTTGATATAAAGTATGTTAAAGCTTATAATAAATGTTTGTATTTTGATACAGTTTTTATACAATCATTATATAAATTGAATATTTATAAACACCATTAACTATCACAAAATTATGAAAATCAGTCATGAATAAATTATCTGCACAGTATCTGCAGAGCATACGAGAGTAGAGATGCATTATATTTTTTGGCCTGTGTATCTGTCCGTTTGTTTATCCTCGCATTATTAGGTTAAACGTTTGGTTTAATGTAGTTTTAGTCACATAAACTTGAAACTAAGTAATCTTGTTCATTGTGTAGTTAACTACTCATAATATATGTCAAATATAGTAAAGGACACAACAACACCGATTTTATCAAATGTCCCCAGGATCATCTTAAAGGATGTAATGAAAACGACACACGTGCAGTCTTCTGATTCCTCATTGTACTATAAAAATATAGAAAAGTTTATTTATACTCGGCCATGTAATGTTCAATTTTCAGATGATTTAGATTCCAATGATAGTTTACAATATTGCTCTATTACAAAATGTAACCGTAAAAATTGTAAAACCTGTGATATACTTATATCTGATACCCACTTTCAAAGTAAATTGACCACCAAAAGTAACAATACACATAGTCATGAGGATTTAAAATGTACTGCTCCCAATATTGTGTATGGTATTGAATGTACTCTTTGTGGACTGATCTACTTCGGAGAAAGTCGACAAAGACTCAATTTTAGAATGAATGACCAGCGGTCTAATGTTAATGATCCTTATAACTTTCCCCATAAACATTTTATTCAGCCTGACCATTCTATTGTTTCAATGAAAATATATCATTCAACAAATGACCCCATATTGAGTACAATATATCGTCTACAAAGAGAATACTTTTGGATAAGAGAGTTGGGAACAGACATTCCATATGGATGCAATGACAAAATTGATGGTGTAGGTATTTTGTCTAGTCCCAGGTGTAGTACTGTCAATAAATTACAATTATTTAACACTTCTGCTCGACGAAATAGAAGTCATGGTCACAGAAATTATACACCACCTGCAGTTCACACCGTGACAATTGATTGTCTGTTATCGTATGATCAAAAACCTTTAGGCATTCACCATATCAGAACTAAATTATACTCCATTCCATTATCTGAACTATATTTACTATTTCAAGAGGCCCAAAATACTGCCGTCATTGATTCTAATTCTTTTTTGAATGGATTAGTTTCAGTAATCATGGACATTGCTAACCATAGACTATTCAAACCCGTAACAACTTCTTCCAAAAATGAGGAAAAACGTATTTTTTTAAGCAGAATTCGCCAATAAATGTTTAGATGCTATCAATATTAGCAATATTATCCACCAGAAATCTGTACAAAAACTATACCTGATTACTTCAAAAATAAAGCTACACCTGTAATTTCTTATACTTAAACCAAGTCTCTTGTATCGAATATTTTTTACAATAAGAGGGTTTTAGAGGCCTTTAACCTCAAAGATGTGAAATCCAAACCTCAGGACTGCTCATGTGCATCGTCAAAACACAGTTATATTCCATGTCATGTTATTACTGGCGACCTTGACATAGGTATCAATGAACAACTAAGAGAGTTGTTAGCCAAGGGACCAAAGTATAGAATTCCCCAGCCCATCAACTGGAAAAAGAAATTTATGTTACTGATGGATGCAGTTGAGGACTATGCTAGAAAATGGGTAAAGCGCAAACCAGACGAACCAGAACTTGACACTTTGTCTCAATAGATCAAAGCTCGTTTCTATGTGTGTTGGCGTTTGTTTTTGTTGCACTTCGGTGTTCCTGTTGTTCCTTTGTTTTCCTCTTATAGTTGATGTTTTTCCCTCGGTTTTGGTTTGTAACCCGGACTTGTTTTCTCTCAATCGATTTATAACTTTTGCTACTGTTGCCTTTATTTATCATATGTTTTGCTTTGTGGAACATGTGGATTATACGTGAAGTCATGTTTGCTTTATTGAAAATATCTGAAGTCACATTTTCTTAATAGAAAATATACCTCAAATCTTGCTTGCTTTATTGAATTTTCCCAAAAGTCATGTTTGCTTTTTGTAATTATATATATCTGAAGTCACATTTGCTATTAACAGAATATATCTGAAGGCACGGGTGCTTCATCAAATATATATTACATGACCTATATTCATGGAATATATCTTATGTTCTATTTGTTACCTTATTTCTAGAGTAATCAGTTCATTCAGTAAAAGAATAAGAGTTCTATCAGCGCTGACTGACCCATTATCTCCTAGTAGTTTTTCTGCCACATATTATCCTTATCCAGATGATGTAGGAATCATATCAGCAGTAAGTATATATAAAGAAGTGATTATTAAAATTCTTACTCACTTATCTTAATATTCATTGTTTTGTTATACATAGTTTGATTGACGTTTAATTATATTATACTGACATGATTATTATCATTTTTTATTAGCTTACCTGAACCAACAGATTATTTGAGCTTTTGTTATATCCTGACGTTCGTCTTCGTAAACTTTTTAAAAATGGTTCCATCTGGAATACTTATTTTGGAGGTAGTGTCCCCGAAATGTTAATGTTTTTGAAATATCACAGTTTTTGATAATTATCTTGTAATTTATTATATAGAGAGATAACTGTTAAATGCAAAAATGTTTAGGTTGTACTTCTGTAAATATAGACATTGCAATTTCCCTTTGCGGCTAAAGCTGTGGCACTTTTACTATGAAGTTTCGTTAAGAATTATATACTGGAATGAAAAGTTGATATGCACTACTTTTTTAATCAAAGGTCAAAAGGCGTTGTCAGTTTGTTTTCGATCTTTGAGTTTGACTGTCCCTCTGGTATCTTTCGTCCCTCTTTCAAAACATAGGGCTGTGCGGCATATTTTCAACTTTTATATGCCCCGAACTTATAAGAGTTTAAACTTAAACTAAAATTTTGTACTACTCCTACCTTCATTTTGGGTCTTTCTGAGAATTCAATTATCACCGCTTCAATGTGTTTTTAAACTGGTAAAGTGAGAGGTTTAGCTAGTTATAAAACCAGATTTTTTTTCACAATTTTTCTACATATGGAAATGCCTGTACCAAGTCAGGAATATGACATTAGTTTTCCATTCGTTTGATGTGTTTGAGCTTTTGATAGTGCCATTTGATAAGGGACCTTCCGTTCCAAATTTTCCTTGGAGTTCGGTACTTTTGTAATTTTACTTTTTTCTGTAGGTCACTAATTAATCCTGTTATAAGTAAACATTTTGATTTGAGTAAGGTTAAAATTTTGATTTAAGGTAGGATTCAAGTTTTAATTTTCAGTAATTTGTGATCATATCAACATTACACTTGAGTTCATTATGAAATGATCTATTTACTATGTGTGCAAAATTAGGGGTTTATCATTTTCCTATTTTCTTTTATACAGACTCACTAGATAATGTAAAATCACGTGAAAGATTTAGTTTAAGGGTTGTTGCAGTAAAAGTTAAAGACAGTGTGTGGTCACATTAACATGACACGTTACCTAAATACACATGTTTTGAACAAGATTGCATGGTTAACTGAATATGAAAACGTTGTACTGGGAGTAGGGCATTGTGGGATATGTTCACATAGTCTTGTTAACAAATATTCAATAAAACAGCTGGAAACCCTGTTATTGAGTCCGGCCTGTAGAATAACTTATGTATTTGTATTGTCAGATCGCTAGTCACCCAGTGGAATCTTCTAGAAATGGAGCATTTGATTGGACAGTTCTAGGAATGAGATGTCAGCCATACTATGTTTCATGGGATGCTGTCATAGAAAATAACACTGTTGTATTCAAAAATATAACATCTTTAGTAAATGTAGGACAGCAGCCTATTTTCAACATATCCAGTCGTGTAAGTATAAAAGACTTTTATTAATCTAATTTGTCCAGTATGTATGTACATTATTTAAAGGATTAGTGTTGGATTTAGAGTGAAAATTCAGTTACATGTACCTTTTTCTCAATTCTCGTTGGGCAACAACTCTATCCTTAGTGCTCAAAACAGGTCTCCTTTCATTTGACGTTTTAACATATTTAAGGGAATGATTTTGTAGATTACTGAACTAGAAAGACAATACTTCTGTTTTTTTTTAAGTTAAAAAAGAAATTCTGTTGAAATAAGCATTATCTGACATGTGACAAAATTGTTCATCAGGTCAAGATCTATCTGTCAGACTAATCAGACAACCCGTTGTTGGGTTGCTGGCCATGAATTGGTAATTTTAAGGAAATTTTGCAGTTTTTGGTTATTATCTTGAATATTATTATAGATAGAGATAAACTGTAAATATCAATATAAAGTTCAGCAAAGTAAGATCTACAAGTAAGTCAAACTGACCAAAATGGTCAATTGACCCCTTGAAAGGGGGAGTTATTGCCTTTATATTAATTTTTTAACAATTTTGGTTAATTTTTGTAATCTTTTACAAAAATCTTCTCCTCTGAAACTACTGAGACAAATTTAACCAAACTTTGCCACAATCATCATTAGGGTATCTAGTTTCAAACATATGTCCGATGACCCCGCCTACCAACCAACATGGGCGCCGACATAACTAAAAATAGAACATAAGGGTAAAATACAAGTTTTGTCTATAATATTTTTAACCGTTATAACTAGAGAAAATATGAAAGGAGTTAAAATGTTCAGAATAATGAGCTCTACCAATTGTCCGTATACGTCAAAACTGTTTGACAAATTCTTATAGAAGTTATTGCCCATAAATGACAAATTTAACCATTTTTTCATTTTTGCCTGTTATCATGAAAACTATGATATTTAGAGAGAAACATTTTTTTTCAGTTATGCCTTATATAATTTAAATTATAATAGATAAATAAACACTTTAAATCACAAAAATGTTCAGCAAGCCAAGATCTATTAAAAAGTCAAATTTTGACGATATAATTAGTAGACTGTCACTCTTCTAAGGAGTGATTGCCCTTAAATGTGGATTTTGTTTTACCCTCTTTTGTGTTTTGAGCAAAAACTTAAGAAGATAGAGAGAAACTAAACAGACTATAAGATCAGTAATACAAGATGAACTTCATAAATAGAGATTTTTGTCATGAAGTCTAATCTCGTCTTCAATGTTAGAGAGTGTCCTTTGTTTGATATGCACATAGACCATCGTGAGTGACACAGGCTCTTTAGAGCCTTTAGTTTTTTTTATAGCAAAAATGAATAAAAAGACCATTTCGACAAATAGATCAATTGTTGAAATTGTCAGTCAATTTCTATTGGAAGCAATTGACCTTAAATGAAGATTTAATTGGTTAACATTTTGTAATCGTTATTGGCCTTAAATGATGATAGTTTTACCAATTTTTAGAATACTATGCAAAAACTATAATAGATTAAAAAACATAGTAGCCAATAAAGTGGTGAGCAAGACAAATTCTTCAAATAATCAAATGTTTGATTGATAGCAATTAGTGTTTGCTTCATGCTGCCTCAGCATTCAAATATTCATTTCTTTTACATGTTTCAGTTTACTCTTTACTGGAGTTAATGTCCTTGATTGGCAATCTTTACCCTTTTGTATGTGTTGGGCAAAAACTGTAGACGATAAAGAGAAACTGTAAACAGCAAAAATGTTCATCTAGACGAGGTCTTCTATTGCGTCAGCATAGCCAACATAATATATTATCTTGAAGGAGTATTGTCAATTTCACATATGACTAAGGATATGTTGCAATTGTCACCACAATCACGCCCTTTTTTCCTCGCGTGTGACCTACCGAATAAGACTTATCACCGGGTTTTTACTTACACGAGCAACACCATGATTGTCATAGGTGGAGCAGAATCTCCTTACCCTTTAAAGCGTCTGAGATCAACCCGATTTTCAGCGGGGTTCGTGTTGCTCAGTCTTTAGTTAATTATATTGTGTTTTCTATACGGTTGTTTGTCTTTTGGTCTTTTTTTTCGTTATTTGCCATGACGTTGTCAGTTTGTTTTCGACTTATTTGACTGTCCCTTTGGCATTTTTTGTCTCTCTTATGCTTCCAAATGATAGAATTGATACATTTGTGATCATCTGCAAAAATTGTTATATATATATATATATATATATATATATATAAATAAGTCTAAATTGATTACAACGTTCAAACCTATGATTGCATTGGATAAATAGCGCAATATTTATACGTGTGCATGCAAAACAAATTTCTTGGTAGAGTCTCTTAATACAGCACAAACAACATTTTCCAATATATATTTATGCCAACTATGTTAGATCTGTAAATTTGCGGAAGCAGATTTTTGTTCTTCCCTAGCCGGGATTCGACTGCAAATTTACATATCTAACATTGTTTGGTTGTTATTTAGACGAATTATATATACAGAATGTGTTTCCAGTCTTGTATCACCATCACTGACGATCCGATGGATAAAATCTGTCGTAGAGTTGTCACTGGTTCAGACGTACTTATATAATGTATATATATTACAGGTTATATACATTGTTGGGGTGTTATTTAGGCGAATTATATATACAGAATGTATTTTCAGTCTTGTATCACCATGACTGGTGATCCGATGGATAAAATCTGTCGTAGAGTTGTCATTTTCATGTTAAAAAAATGATGTATATGCTTATAGGTAGATGGAATCTCTGGAACCTACTTCCAGTCATCAAAGATGTCAAGTTCTGTCAAAAATATTTTCCTGGATTCTCTTGAAGCCTTTGAAACTTATACGTTTGATTTTATTGTGACAGAAGCTCGACCACTTCGTGGACAAATTTATATAATATTTTCAACCCCTGAAGGAACAGAAACAAGACTTCAAGTAAACATGCAGTTCTCGATCAATAAACCATTGCTTGTTTTCACACCTGCTACACTTACAGATAACATTATACGTGGAACTCAGAAAATACTAGATGTTAGTGTTCACAATGAAGGGGAAGTATCTGCTAAGAATGTTACAGTATCTCTTCCAAATGAAAGTAGGTTATCCTTGGTGTCTTTTGCAATAGTTGGCAGCCTGAACAGTAATGAACACAATGACGGGATCACCATAGCTCCAAATGAAGTCGCCATGATATCTTTAGCTGTCACATCTGATTCAAATGACGGATTGGGGGAGATGAGTGGTACCATACTTTTGAAAACAGACCTGACCTCAGCATCAATATCGTACAGATTTTATATTGCATCAATATTAAAGCTGAATCTGACTATTACAGTGAAAGATGAGTATACCTATTTTGCATCTGGAGCGCCACTAGTGAGTGGAGCTGAAGTTCGATTAATTAATCCAGGGAGACAGTATTCAGAGACAAGATACACAACAAATGAAACAGGTGATTATTTATGATTTTGGGGTTTACGTGTTGCTAATGTACTATTATATTATTTATTTATGCGTTCTCAGAGCTGAGTGTTCTTGCGTTTGTTTGTACAGTTTTCGTGTCACGCAGTGTTGCCATTTTAACGATATATGTTTTAACATTGCCATATAAGCGGGAGGTTTGGCTAGCCATAAAACCAGGTTCAGCCCACCATTTATTTCTAAAAATGTCCTGTACCAAGTCAGGAATATGGCAGTTGTTATCAAATAGTCCGTTTCTATGTTTGTTGTCGTTTGTTTTTGTTGCACTTCAGTGTTTCTGTTGTTCCGTTGTTTTCCTCTAATAGTTGATGTGTTTCCTTCGGTTTTAGTTTGTAACCCGGATTTGTTTTCTCTCAATCGATTTATGACTTTTGATCAGTGGTATACTAATGTTGCCTTTATTAAACATTGTTTGTCAAAACTTTCATACAGACAAGACAAAACTGAAAACAACAAACATGATCAGCATGATAAGATCTATACATAGACAAAACTGCCAGTAGACTTTTTAATGGATTCATTGCCCTCAAAATGACAATGTTTACCTTTTTTGCACTTTAGATACAAACTATAAAAGCTAGAAAAAAAAACAGTAATAATGAAAATGCCGAAATATTCAGTTGCCCTTAGATAACGATTTTTACTACTTTTGTTCATTTTGGCCTTATATCTTGAAAACTATTATAGAGAAATGAGTATCTAATAAGGAAATCGATGATCAGGGAGACAGATTTACAGATATATTAGAATGGTTGAAATCGTCAGTTGACTTCTTATTGGGGCTATTGTCCTGAAATGAAGATTGTTTACCTTTAATTCTAGTCTGGCCTTTAATTTTAAAAAGTAGAATTAATAGAGAAAATTCGTTACTTTAAATAACAAGCATGATCATCAAGGCAAGATCTTCAAAAAAAAAATTAAAAGGAAGAACTGTTAATTTGACTTCATAAAGGAACTGTTGCCCTAACGTTTTACCAATTTTGTGTAGTTTTTCCTATTATCATGAAAACTATAGCAGATACATTATTACTTTAAATAGCAACTATGATCAACAAGACAAGGTTTGCAAATAAATCAGTTTGAACCAATAATCTTGCGTGTTTGCCAACTCTATTATAGAAACAGAAAAATAGTAAAAAAAAAACAAACATGATCAGAAAGAAAGGATCGATAAAAAAGAACAAAGGCTGAAAATTGTTGCGGACTCCTTTGGAGAAATTGTCCTTAAAAGACAATGTGTATCCTTGCATTTTGGACAAAAAAAAGAAGATAGAGAGAAACTGCTAAAATTACTGATTGTCAAAGCAAACCACGATCAATAAATACTAATTGAACAAACAACAGTACACGTAAACACCACATAAAAATCTACAGACTGAGGAACTAGAACCCCACCAAAAACTTGGGGTGATTTCAAGTGCACCGGAAAGGTAATCAGATCCTGCTCTACATGTAGCAACCATTATTTTTGACGGACCCTTTTGCTCCCTGATTGAAAGTTGAGGATTCTCGATTGAAAACGAACTCAAATTAAATAACTCGAATTATAACCCTAAGTTTAATTTGATCTCTACTGGAAATATGATTCGAACTTTATGTTTAACTGGAATGAACTCAAATAAGAAATTTAATTCAAGCATTAAATCAATCTCAAATTCTAAGCATAACTCAAGCTTTAAGTTCAACTATACCTCTAGAGGCTGTGAGTGGAAGTCTTATTTTAACGTCAACATAAAGTCTGACTCGATGGTTAGCCAAACTCTTCAAAGAGAGGAGCAAAATACAAAAGGGACATTCAAACTCATAAGTCAAAAACAGACTGACAATGCTATGACAGAAAAAAAAAATCAGAAGACAAACAAGATTATACAAAACACATAAAAAAGGCTAAGCAACACGACCAATACCAAAACCCGGGGTCGATCGCAGGTGCTCTCGAAAGTTAAGCAGTCCTGCACTATATGTGATAACCTTCATGTTCTTCATGCATGTACAAAACTGGTGATTCGGTAGGTCACATTCGAGGTAAAAGGACAGGATTGTAGTTACGAAATATTGAACATATCCGTCGTCATATGTGAAACAGATTGCCTTAACAGTTAACCAACTCGTGTCAAATTTTCGAAGAGTTGTTTCAACTCCATCACTTGGAACACTTCTTTGGATATTTTCGAATTTACACAACATGGCTTTTATATATTAGGTACACATCGTTGTATCCGTCGTATAATGTATATTATTACCAAAATTCATGGAAAATGTCATATAATATGATACTTGGTATGTTTTAGGATATGTGATATTTGATGGTTTACAAGAAGACCGTTATAGTCTGTATGCACAAGCAGAGGGTCATAGTTCATATTCAGCCGTCATCATAGCATCACCTGACAGGAATGAACAGGAATTGTTCTTGCAACGGATATCTGTTAAATACACCTGGACAGTAACATCAACTACAGTCCAAGATAAATATGTCATCTCACTGGAGTCTACTTTTGAAACTAATGTAAGTGGATTGTTTCTGTGCTTTTTTGCTTCGTAATGAAATCCAGCTTTAACAATTCTATTAATATTAGGATTTGGCCAGCATTAAATACTTCTTTGTTGGTGTTGTTTACTTACATATAACTGTTTATTTTTTCAAGAAATAACACAATAACAAAATACAAAGTGCTACTGTTAAGTTTTGTCTGATAGGAATGTCCACATTTCTTTTTTCAGTTTGAGAAGGACAGAATATTAAATAGATGTTAGTCCTATCATCTCCTTTTATCAGTTACCAAAATAAATAATTATCTTTGATAACAATATTTTTTTTAATGTTTTTTAACAGATACATACAAAACAAAAATTTGATTATTATGCAAAAGTATAGGTAGGACGCCAATGAAATTTTACAGAATTGTTGCGCATACATATAACATGTAGATGTGTATATTATACCGTTGTGAATTTCAGCTTATCAAATTTGTGAAAACTTGTTTTTATTAGAAACATGTCAAATGACATGTGCATAGCTGTTGTGTATAATATGTAGATATGTTTATCATATTTTGGTGGAACTTGGCTCATTGATTTTTGGAAAATCTTCGTTTCCGACACAATTTGTTAGAAATGTCTTCTAATGATAGGAATTTAAAGATGAGTGATATCAAGTTTTATGAAGGTACTTCAAAATGATTTCAAACTTTTGAAAATATGAAAAATCACAAATTTGGAGAAACATATTCTTATGGTCATTATGGTAGGACGTCGTCAAATATTGATATAAATATATAAGATGGGCATTCGAAATTGTGTCCTCAAGTCCTATAGTTTGTTATAAACTTAAATGAGAACTGGTTTTTTTTGCTAGAATATAAAGAAAATGGTATATTTTGCTATTAAGATATGATTCTCTCTGTCAAAATTATTGGTAGCGCATCTAAGGACAAAGTGCTAGAATTTTAACAAAATATATGTTAATCGAGAACACATCCTGAATCGATTGCTGGTGTCAAAATTTTGAAAATTAAACATTAAATGTGTGAACAGGGCACTTGTTGACATGTCTTTTTTTCTTTTTATGTCTCTAATTTGAACGAGCTATAAATTAAAAGGTATACTGTTATAAAATGCGAGGAGCCTGTAATTGAGTGGTTGTCGTTTTTTTTATGTTTATCATATTTGCCTTTTGTCTATTGTTTTAAGCAGTTAGTTCTAGTGTTGTGTTATTGTACCACTGCCTACGATTAGGAAGCGACCGCTAACATGTTTAACTGCATGTGTCTGTCACAAGTCAGGAGCCTGTAATTGAGTTGATGTCAGTTTTTAATGTATTTTTCATTTAATTTTCGTGTATTTGTTTTGTACATAAATCAGTCCGTTATTTTTCCTTTTTAAATTGTTTCTCATTAAATGTTGTCATTTAGACGGTCTTTTGTAGCATGTATGCGGTATAGGTGCTCATTGTTGAAGGTCATGCGAAGACCTAAAGTTGATACCTTCTACGTCATTTTAGTTTATGATGGAGATTCAGGTCATTGGCAATCATACCACTTCTATCTTTTTTAAAAACTGCAATTGTATATTTACATCAACGAAAATTTATAAGTGAGGAGTGATGCTCTGACAATGGCCTCTCCGAGTCTGTAATGGTTAATTAACAAGTGAAAAAAAAACTGCAATTTGCATTTTGATAAAACAATTTGGTACATTGAATAAAACAAATGGTGTGCAGTGCACTTTTGGAATGAACATGGCAGGAATGATAATCAATTAAACCATATCTTTGTGTTGCCTTATTAGTTTAATACGTGTATCAAACGGTACTCATTGAAACAAGGAAATATGTGGAAGCCATATCGTAAAGTATGGTGTCAGTTAGAATGAGATATTCACATAGATAAAGGGTTGCAATTATGTAAAGTAAATTTATACTCTGGGTTTAAATAAAAATGATTATGATCATCAAGATTGGTAGACAGACCCGCTCGAATGTTCTTGCTGACAGATCTTATTAAATTAATTGTAGATTATAAAACAACTACATGTAAAGTACTGAAAAGATAAAATATGCCTAGGTACACCACATGTCAGGAAAGCTGTACTTGCAAGCTTTACTATGGCATCTTTGAACACTTCGACAGATTTGTTTTAGCAGAATGACACACATCCATCGTATCAGACTTCCCACATATTTCTCATGTTAATCAGATAAAAAAATCTTCTTAGTTTTCATACGAGTCGAAACTATTTTTCGTATATGTCACTTTTTTCCCAACAAAAATACTGCCTTCATTTAGACACGACGAGGTTACAACAGAAAATAACACTGCCGAAGTGGTTTAAAAATTTCTTTGGCTGTCATTACTCATTTTTAATTATCGATGAAAAGCTTAACACGTTTGTACAAATAACGTCACTTACAAGCGCCGTAAAGATTTGTTAGCATAAATACATATTTTAAAATCGGTTAACGGAATATGGCTCTGAACAGACCCAGGTTTAAAAAAATATTCAAACGATTTATATCATTATTATACCCCACGCAACGAGTTGCGGAGGGTATAATGTTTTTGACCCGTCCGTCCGTCTGTCCGTCAGTCCGTCAGTCCGTCATTCCGTCAGTCCGTCAGTCCGTCAGTCCGTCAGTCCTGTTTCTTGTCATCGCAACTCCTCTCAAACCACACAACAGAATTTCACGAAACCTTTTTAGATAATAAGGACATACTATGTAGTTGTGCATATCGACAGGAAATTACGATTCAATTTTTTTCTAGGATTTACGCCCCTTTGAACTTATTTACTTTAATGTACTACTGCAACAGTTTGTCATCTCAACTCCTCTGAAACCACACAACAAAATTTCATGAAACTTTGTAGATAATAAGGACATACTACGTAGATGTGCATATCGACAGGAAATTACGATTAGATTTTTTTTCCAGGAGTTACGCCCCTTTGAACTTATTTGCCCAATATACTACTGCAACCTTTTGTCATCGCAACTCCTCTCAAACCACACAACAGAATTTCATGAAACCTTTTCAGATAATAAGGACATACTACGTAGATGTGCAAATCGACAGGAAATTACGATTAAATTTTTTTTCTAGGAGTTACGCCCCTTTGAGCTTATTTGCCTCAATATACTTCTGCAACAGTTTGTCATCGCAACTCCTCTGAAACCACACAACAAAATTTCATGAAACTTTGTAGATAATAAGGACATACTACGTAGATGTGCATATCGACAGGAAATTACGATTAGATTTTTTTTCCAGGAGTTACGCCCTTTTGAACTTATTTGCCCAATATACTACTGCAACCTTTTGTCATCGCAACTCCTCTCAAACCACACAACAGAATTTCGTGAAACCTTTTCAGATAATAAGGACATACTACGTAGATGTGCATATCGACAGGAAATTACGATTAAATTTTTTTTCTAGGAGTTACGCCCCTTTGAGCTTATTTGCCTCAATATACTTCTGCAACAGTTTGTCATCGCAACTCCTCTGAAACCACACAACAGAATTTCGTGAAACTTTGTAGAGAATAAGGACATACTAGATAGATGTGCATATCGACAGGAAATTATGATTCAATTTTTTATCTAGGAGTAACGCCCCTTTGAACTTTTTTGGTTCAATATACCTCTGCAACAGTTTGTCATCGCAACTCCTCTGAAACCACACAACAGAATTTCATGAAACTTTGTAGATAATAAGGACATACTATGTGGATGTGCATATCGACAGGAAATTATGATTCAATTTTTTTTTCTTATTCAATTTTTTTTTCTTAGTTATTTTATTTCTCCAGTGACAATGTGGGGACGTGGGGTATGTGAGCGCGCTCACTAAGGTTCTTTAATTTGTTTTTGGCGGCTGCTTTTAAAGTGAGTCGGTCGGCAACGTATGCCATTCAAATTTTATTTTTGGCTCAAATTCACAGTTTGGCTTTACATTTTCGAGCACACTATATTTAAACTTGTATTATTTATTTTTTTTCCTGGTTCTGCTTTAAGAAACTCTCTGGTTAGATTATTTATTTCAAAAACAGAGAATTAAAACCAATGCAAGCCTTTTACAGCTTATAGGTATATTATTGAAAGATAAATACAAACATATAATAGTCAGGTATATATGTTCTGCACCATATGGGTATATGAAATATAATCGTATGGTTATGACCATATGGGTATACAGTGATATTGTTGACCATAAGCTTACTATCGGACGATTAGTTCGACTGGTTAGAGACGCTTTTGATTGACAGTAGCGGAGGTAAAACATAGATGCTGTATTTGGTTTGGGAAACAAGCTATATGTTCTTGAAATGAGTGTATCCCTTTTGCATGGCATTTGCACAACAAAACGTTTCTAAATCATATTCGAAACATGCCTATATGATTAAGATACTAATATGTTATGTATTATTGTCATTTTGTTTGTTTTCTTTTGTTTCCTATTCTGACATCGGACTCGGACTTCTCTTAAACTGATTTTTACTGTGCGTACTGTTGTACGTTTGTTTTTTCTACATTGACTAGAGGTATAGGGGGAGGGTTGATATCTCAAATAACATGTTTAACCCCGCCGCATTTTTGCGCCTGTCCCAAGTCAGGAGCCTCTGGCCTTTGTAAGTCTTGTATCATTTTTAATTTTAGTTTCTTGTGTATAATTTGGAGTTTAGTATGACGTCCATTATCACTGAACTAGTATACATATTTATTTAGGGGCCAGTTGAAGGACGCCTCCGGGTGCGGGAGTTTCTCGCTGCATTGAAGACCCATGGTGGCCTTCGGCTGTTGTCTGCTCTATGGTCGGGTTGTTGTCTCTTTGACACATTCCCCATTTCCATTCTCAATTTTATTGCTCGTTAATAATCAAACGCGTATATACTGATATGGTCTAGACCATATACAAACTTATTAAAGGCAAGTATTACAAACTTATTATAGAGAGATATTTACAAATTTTTTACTATTTACAGTTATATAATGGACAATTATATACACACTTATTACAGACATCTCTATAAACGTTTAATGCTTACATGAATATTCCTGACAGATGTAAACAAACGTATTATGGACAGGTATATACAAACTTCTTATAGACAGTTAAATACAAACTTCTCATGGACAGGTATAAACAAACTTCTTATAGACAGGTATATACAAACGTATTATGGACAGATATATACAAACTTCTTATGAACTGGTATAAAAAAACTTCTTATACACAGGTATATACATATAAGCGGGAGGTTTGGTTAGCCATAAAACCAGGTTCAAGCCACCATTTTTTCTTAAAATGTCCTGTACCTAGTCAAGAATATGGCAGGTGTTATCACATAGTCCATTTTTATGTATGTTGGCGTTTGTTTTTGTAGCAGTTCAGTGTTTCTATTGTTCCGTGTTGTTTCCTCTTATAGTTTACGTGTTTCCCTCATTTTTGGTTTGTGACCCGGATTTGTTTCAATTTAATCGATTTATGACTATCGAACAGCTGTAAACTAATATTTCCTTTATATAAAAACTTCCTATATACAGGTAAATACAAACTTATTTTTGACAGGTATATGCAAACTTATTATTGACATGTATAAACACACTTATTATAGACAGGTATATGCCAAATTATACCAAATGATAATCAGACACGATACTGCATCGCTCATTTTTAAAACAATTTTCTCATAAGGACTAGATGTGGGATGTTTATCATTGATACAACAAACAAACTACACAGATAACTAAAAAACATTAAGATAACAAGTTAAAATTTTTTTTGCACCCTTTTGTTACCAATTATTGACCATGTTCAAAAACTGGAAGTTGTATTAGGAAAAATGAGTTTTTATAAAAGGCATGTTTACATATCACTATATTTGTAACCGTTTTGGAAATGAATGAAATGTATCCTCGATATATATAGACCAAAGAGACAACAACCCAACACTTCTCTCTATATTCTACACATTTCTTGATTACTGACTCTTATTAAAGAAACTAAGGTTAACTCCCTCAGGCAAATTTGGCCTTAGAAGGATTTGGTTCTTTTTAAGGTCTTTTTATAAGTTATATAGCTCTTCAACTGATTCGGTTCCATTCACATTTGACTTTCAAATATTCGGCTTTGAGCGTTCCTGATGGAGGTAGATCCAGAAAAGCGCTTCGGACGCACGAAATTTATAACGTGTTGTTTTCATTTTTGATGGCCCATTAAGAGACTAGTAATCTGCGATTTTCATGTTTTGCTTGCTTTATGTTTTTTGTGTGACGAACATAATTGTGATTGCGTAGACCACTCTATGATTTGTATCAAATGTTGATTTTTTTTTTGTTAATTTCAATATTAAGAGTTGTAAAGTCCAGGCTATATGTACTATAACATATCTATAAAAATTACTTTATAATGTATAACCATGCATAAACATTGGTAATCTGTTTGTTATAATTGTAACACTATACAATGTAGGTCCCAATGCCAGTAGTTACAGTAGACCCCGCAACGGTGAATACTATTCCGTATGAATTGGGTGAAGAAGATACCATGGAGTTTACTATCACTAATCACGGGTTAATTAGAGTCGACAATGTCAGATTTGCTTTTCCTTCAAACCATCCTTATCTCAAATTCAACATGGTATGTACTCATGAATAATGAAAATCTAGAAGATCACTCTCAAACATTAAGGTTAAACAAATGTCTCTATTTAGTCATAAAAATGAACAAAAGCCTTAAAATTAGCCAAAACATCTTATAAACTCCAAAATGTATTTGGGAATTATTTATGATATTAATTGCAAATCAGTCATACATAGCAGGTTAATAACAATTTCACATACATTAAACGTTGATATTGGACAAGCAGTTAATATCTGTATCGTTTCTTTATGCTCAGACAAACAGTATGACTTAATATAATTTGTTCATAAGAAGGTTTTATTAGGCAGGTTTTCAAACAGAAATCAGGATTCTGTTTAAGGTAGATAATACAATTAATTATATAATTACTACCACAATTTGATATTAATAAGTGTTGTAATTTTCATTGTTATTAATACATGTAATGTCAGTATTACAAATCTAATCTTGAATCAATCCTAATCCTATCTTATTTTTGGGAAATATTTTTACAAATTCAAATGTGACGTCACTTTGTGGTTTTTTTTTAGAATTTCAAATGTGGCGTCACTTTGTGCGTTGATGCTTTGGCTAACTCGGCTGTGTATTTGTATATGTTGGATCAAGTTGTTTTATGTAATGTATTCGTTTTTATTCTGTAGTTAGTCCCCACTTCGGTTTTATCATGTATATATATTATATAGTCATTTTATCAAATTTACTGTTTGCAAAATTATAAATTATTCTAAATAATAAGGATGTTCTTGTCCCAGGGCAGAAAACCCTGGCCGTGTTACATGTAGGCGCAACTTTTTGGAAGTTTTGGTCCTCGGTGCTCTTCGGCTATGTACTTGTTTTGGCTTTCAAGCTTTTTTCATCTGAGCGTCACTGGTTGGTCTTGTGTGGACGAGACGCACGTCTGGCGTATTGAATTTTAAGCCTAGTACCTTTTGTTAGCTATTATTCGTGTGTTTCTTTGTCATATATGTTCTCCCATTTATTTGTATTGTGGTCCTGTCATGTGATGTTGTCGTTTTGGTGTTGTGTTTGACGTTGCCATTAAAGCGGGAGGTTTGGTATGCCACAAAACCAGGTTCAACCCACCATTTTTTCCAAGATGTCCTGTACCAAGTCAGGAAAATGGCCATTGTTATATTATAGTTCGTTTCTGTGTGTGTTACATTTTAATGTTGTGTTTTTGTTGTGTCGTTGTTCTCTTCTTATATTTGATGCGTGTCCCTCAGTTTTAGTTTGTAACATCGGATTTGTTTTTATCTCTATCGATTTATGAGTTTCGAACAGCGGTATACTACTGTTGCCTTTATTTAAGGGTTGTATGGCTATTGAGCGTTTAAGCGTTTTGCATGACTAGGTTGACCGTTTTTGTTGGTAATTACTTATGAAGTGTTCAACTAATGCTTTTGAAATTTTAACAAAAAGGATGTCGAATTCGATTTTATCTTGTGCTGTTCATGAGTTATATATATAATTTGTCGTTGATTGATTAGAAAAGGGCATTTTATCTTCGTGCAATGACTTAAAAACTATTCAACTAATGCTTGTCAAATTTAGAAAATATAGTGGTATTATAACTTCTTTTACTTTGTATTTTGTTCTGGAGACGATACCATAAATCATTTAACTCAATTTGTCCTCTTATTAACATCACTGAATTACTTTCACAATTTAGAATATTTAGTTTGCCAACAATTTTAGTTTGAAAAAAAGTTTGGTTACCTATCATTTTTTATTATATTTTTGAACATATAACAATAAACACTACAATTTGGCAAAACATGAAATATTTCTTTTATATATTTCCTTACTACTATCATCATGTTTAGAATAACAAGAACTATCAGCAGAACAAAATAAACAAAAATATGCAAATTAGACCGAAACCATTGAATGACTCCTTTAAGTGCTATTTCTTTCAAATGACGACTGAAAAAAATAATCAAATATACAAGAAATACAAAAGTGTTTGAGAATTTTTTTTGATTATCACAAAGAGTATGATAGGTAGAAACTGTAAACAGCAAAAACGTATCAGCCTTACAAGATCCACACAAATGCCAAATAAATGTGTGACACAAAATAAGCACAGGGACACTTTGGTCTTGGTGTATCAACTAATTTGTGAATAACTTAAAAGTTAACAATTTTCAAAATGAACTTTTTACGGCTAAAAAAGCAATGACTTTACGCTTGTTTCGACATATGGCAGTAGAAGAATAGAATGATAAAATCAACAATGAACTCCTTATAAAACTTAATTTTCTTTTTTTACAAACGTTTGTGTTTAAGGTGTAAAGTATTTGAAGGAGGCTAGAACTGTTAACAGTATACTTCTAACTTAGATGATTTAGTTACTGTGTAGGATGTTACCATACTCGTCATACTAAACTGTAAAAGTAATCAGCAAAATAAGACCAAAAATAATCTAAACAACCGAAATCACCCAATTAACCATTTGTGTTATTACCCTTACATGGTGATTTTTGTCCCATTTAATGTAACAGATAGAATGTATCAATGAACAACAAGAGTGATCAGCCACATACGATCTTTGAATAAATCAATATGAACTATGAACTACAGGAGTTGCATCAAGACAGAATTTAAACCAAATTATTTAATCTGTGTTCATTATCTTGAAAATTACAATAAGTAGACAGAAACTAGGTGCAATACAAATCATAATAAGAAAGACACAGTTTCTACTCAAAATAAAAAGTCTTCTTGTGAATAAAAATGTATACGTTTAAACAATGCCACATGAGCGACACGGGCCTTTTATCGATCAACATGAATGTACAAATAGTCACCATTGATGTAAAACTGCACGTTTCATAATTATTCTCTGTAATAAGAAAAGAAAAAAATCTTTTAAATTGGGGAATTTTCAAGCAGGTGAACAATGATGGTAATTGAAAAAATTTGATAAAAGTTACCAAGAACATATTCCTACAAATCCTTTCTACTACTTATCATAAATCAGAACACTAACCAATTTATTCTTATTCAGACTGTTGATGAGATTGGTAGTCTTTCAGCAAACACATCAATCAAAGTACCGGTTTTAGTGACATTACAGAATACAAGAAAGAAAGGGAGTCTTAGCTGTTTCGTGTGTGGATTGGCTGTTTTGTACGACTATGTTTGTGGTCCAAGTAAACAAACAAAAAAACTGGACATACCAGATACAAGGCAATATCCTGGGCGACCACCTCTCCCATTTTGTGATAGTTGTAGTGCTGGGTTAGATGATAGTGGTGTTGATCATGATGGTACAGGAAAAATATTCTGTGAGTATTTAATTACATCGTAATTCTGATTCTTAAACATGATAATCTGAGAAGTCATCATTTGAAGAAGGAATTTGTAAATAACATGAATAGTAGGAGATTTACAGCTTTAATTGTGTGTTCAACTTGCAGAATGATTATAATGTCAAGTACAATTGTACTCACTATATAGCATTTAAGAACAAAATGGTAGTAATGGTAGTAGCAGTTGTAACAACTATATACTAACCTAGGTGAAGTTGTAAGAATGTTCGTAATGGTACTAATATAGCAGCATGTTTGATGATTATGTACTTATCTCGTTGTAAGGATGATTTTAGTTATGTTAGCGGCAAACATGAAGATTGTGTAGACCTTGTTATCAAAAGCTTATAATGGTAGCAGCAGATATGACGCCTGTGTACACATCTTGTTGTAAGAATGTGAGTTATGGTAGCAGCAGGTTTAATGATTGTGTACGCAGCGTGTTGTAAGAATATTTGTTATCAGAGTAGCAGGAAAGGTGATTGTGTACACATCTTCTTATAAGAATATTGATTATGGTAGTGGCAGGTATGGGGATAGTGAACACATCTTGCTGTCAGTATGTTAGTAATGGAAGTGGCAGGTTTGTTGATTGTGTACAGATCCTGTCGTGAGAATGTTTGTTATAGTAGTGGCAAGTATGAGGATTGTGTACACATCTTGTTGTTAGTATGTTAGTAATGGAAATGGCAGGTATGTTGATTGTGTACAGATCTTGTTGTGAGAATGTTAGTGATAGACGCCGGAGGTATGATTATTGTTTACACATCTTGTTGTAAGCATGTTAGTAATAGTAGTGAGAGATATGATAATTGTGTACACATCTTGTTGTGAGAATGTTAGTAATAGTAGCAGGAGATATGATTATTGTGTTTATAGTGTGCCTTTCTATGTTGTAATGTTATGCTACTGTTTCAGCTTAGGGTAAAGGTTGGCGCCTGATAAAATGTTTAAAACCGCTGATTTTTTTGCAACTATCCTAAGTCAGGAACCTGTTGTTCAGTGATTATTGTTTGTTTTATGTGGTTCAAAAGTGTTTCTCGTTTCTTGTTTTTTATATAGATTAGACCGTTGGTTTTTCTGTTTGAATGGTTTTACACTAGTCATTTTGGGCCCATTATAGCTTGCTGGTCGGTGTGAGCCAAGGCTTCGTGGTGAAGGCCGTACTTTGACCTATAATGGTTTACTTTTTACAAATTGTGACTTGGATGGAGAGTTGTATCATTTGCACTCATACCACATCTTCTTATATCTACATCTTGTTGAAAGAATGTTAGTGAAAGAAGTGACAGATATAATGATTGTGAACACATTTTGTTATAAGAATGTTATGGCTATATATATACTAAGTAAGCTAGTTATTGTAGTGACGGATAAGATAAGTATGTATACATCCTGTTGTGATAATCTTAGGAAAAATAGCAGCATGTTTGATCATTGTGTACACATCTTGTTGTGAGAATGTTAGGAATGAAAGCAGCATGTTTGATTATATTGTGTACACATCTTGTTGTGAGAGACAATAACCCAATCAAGGAGAAAAAAATACTCGAAGGACACCTATGAATTTTCATCACAGTCAATGTGGAAAAACACACAGCAGTATGCACTGTATTACTCATGCAATCTTAAAGAAGTCCGTTGTTATGATTGCTAAAAGAAGAAACTAAGCAAAATGGCAATGAGTAACTTACGTAAACAGTTACTGACCAGCCAGCTTCCGAACTTAATTGAACTAATCAAAAGATTATTTATTAATCATGTTGAAATCCACGACAGTTCCTACAGTTAGGGATTTAGTATCATGCCACCATAAATTATACATATAACATAATTCGTATCATGCCAAAAACTTGTTTTAGAATATACATGTATGTATAAAAAAGAAGATGTGTGGTATGATTGCCAATGAGACAACTCTCCACAAGAGACCAAAATGACACAGAATTTAACAACTGTAGGTCACCGTACGGCCTTCAACAATGAGCAAAGCCCATACCGCACAGTCAGCTATAAAAGGCCCCGAAATGACAATGTAAAACAATTCAAACGAGAAAACTAACGGCCTAATTTATGTACGAAAATGAACGAAAAACAATATGTAACACATAAACCAACGACATCCTCTGAATTACAGGCTCCTGACTTGGGACAGGCACATACATACAGAATGTGGCGGAGTTAAACATGTTAGCGGGATCCCAACCCTCCCCTAACCTGGGACAGTGGTGTAACAGTACAACATAAGAACGTAAAAATCAGTTGAAAGAGGCTTAACTTATCAGATGGATAACAATACAAATATAAAAATACAAGTGGACTTGGCTGGGTACTTGTACATCAAAACAACAAAAAAACACTAAGTACAGATCTGAGAGTACTCGCAGTTACTGACAGCTAGTTCAAAGCCACTAACAACTAATAAAATAAATCATGCATCTAAGACTAAATTATCAATCCGTACACATCCAACATCCAATAGATTTAGTGTAAAGACGTCATAAACAGTCAGAGAAAAACATGACCTTGTGCAATGCCAAGATACAGGTATCGACAGATTGTAGATCCATGAATGTGTTTATGTATATAACAATAGTTTGCTTTTAATTTACTGATAACAAAATCAATATTAGTACCAATACAAACAATATTTAATGATCTAATTACAGTGTTGAATTGGTAACCTTTTAGAATAAGTTTATTTAAAGGATCGATAAGTTTACCAGGATCGTTTCTAAATTTCCGGGCACGGTAAACAATATTGCCGTAAAAATGAGGATGTGCAACCCCGTTTGAAATAAGTTTTCTACAGGTACAACCAAACTTCAAAACCAAATCTTCATATCTGTGGAAGAATTTAGTAAAGGGTAAATTAACAGTAGGGAACGAAAAATCGTCCCTTTTGTCGTAAGTTTTAGTGTGGAGTTTCCCGTGTAAAACCGAAATATCTAAATCTAGGAAAGGACAGTTGTTACCGTTTAAATTTGATTTATTTAAAGTAAGTTTCTTTGGGTAAATTTTGGCAGTATATTGAGAAAATTCTTGATTATTTAACGAAAAAATATCATCAAGATAATGGTAAGTGTTGTTGAATTTATCAATTAAATGCAATTTAGACGGGTCTTTACTGAGTTTGGTCATAAACTGTGATTCATAACAGTACAAAAACAGTCTGCTATTAAAGGGGTGCAATTAGTGCCCATAGGAATACCTACAACCTGTCGATAAACTTTGCTGCCGAAACGTACATAAATATTATCAAGGAGAAAATTAACAACTCTAATCATCTCATCACATCTCCAGTAAGTATATCTAGCATATTTACCTTTCTCATTAGAGAAGAAGGCTTTAAATGAGTTGCAGCAAATATATTTGCATTCAGATTTACCAAACGACCATTTAATTAAATAGTCAAACTTCTGTTTGATAAGATTGTGTGGAAGTGTAGTGTAAAGAGTTGAAAAGTCAAAACTGTCAACAGAATCAAAAGGACCATCAAAAGCACGTAATTTATCTTAAACATCCAAAGAATTTTTTACACTCCAAAAAAAGTTAATTCCACTATTTTCATATATTTTATTACAATAGTTTATGATAAGCTCTTTGATAGTAGTTAAGGAACTTGTTAAAAGCACTGAAAGATTAGTTGTAGAACACTTACTAGAGGCCGAGATGAAACGATATTTTACTGGATTTTTGTGTAGTTTAGGTGACCAATGCATAGTAGGGACCTTCAATGGTCAGAAGAAGCCTTAAGCTGTGATCTGGTTATGATATGTTTGTTAACTATATGACTCTCTGTGGGGCGCATGGACTTGAATGTAGATGAATTTAAAATTTCATTCTTAAGAACGTCCGTGTAGTATTTACGGCATACCACCACATTGTTGGCTGCTTTGTCGGCCGGTACAAACACAAACCGCTTAGAAAGTTCTTGAAGTTTATTTCTTATTCTGGAAATAGGCGTATTATGTACTCTATTATTTACTTCTAAATTATTTTCAAAATGTGATATTCTATTATCTACCACATTCATACATTTATTTAAATAAGAATCAAGTTTTTTTATCAGATTTTTCCCGTTTACACCAATTTTTTACAAAACGAGGAAAGAGCATCTTTGGTGACCTGACGACACTGTTTCCAATCTATTTTAGATGGAGGACGATATTTTGGTCCTTTTTTCAAAAAGTTTTTAACCTCTCTGTCCTAGACGATGTGTTTATTTCCGATGCAAAGATCCCATGATTGAGCAGTATTAAGTCAATAAAAAATATCTTTAATGCCTTGATAATAGTAACGTAAGAATACTAGTAATGGTAGTAGCAGTTATGATGATTGTGTACAGATCTTGATATAAGAATGTCAGCAATGGCAAGTATGGCGATTGTGCATGTTGTGTACGCAGCTTGTTCTAAGAATGTCACTAATGGTGGTAGAAGGTATAAGTGTTTACATATCTTGTTAGCAATAGGAATAACTGGTATGATGATTGTGCATGTTGTGTACACGTCATGTTGTAATAATGATAATTAAGGAAGTGACAGGTATGATGATTGTGTACACATCTTATTGTAAGAATTTTAGTGATGGTAGTGGGATGAAAGAGGGACGAAAGATACCAGAGGGATAGTCAAACTCATAGATCGAAAACAAACTGACAACGCCATGGCCAAAAAAAAAAAAGACAAACAGACAAATAATAGTACAGATGACACAACATAGAAAATCAAAGACTAAGAAACACGAACCCCACCAAAAACTGGGGGTGATCTCAGGTGCTCCGGAAGGGTAAGCAGATCCTGCTCCACATGTGGCACCCGTCGTGTTGCTTATGTTATTACAAATCCGGTAAATAGTCTAATTCGGTACGTCACATTCGTAAAAAGGGAGGGTATTGTAGTTACGACATCAGGAACATATCCGATATCATCTGTGAAACGGTTAATCCGTAACGGTCAACCAACTCGTGATGGCGTCCGTAAATTTTACGAAGGGCTAAATTCAACTTCACCATTTGGAACTCTTAGTTTAAGAGCTTCCTTGTGAGCAGCAATCCTCTATCAAGGAAACACAAGCCCGGGAATATCGTATCAATTGGGAGATATATATATATGCAGGCTCTCCTGGAATGTTGCTACATAGAAATGGAAAGTTCACTATTGGGAAGCTGAAATCATCTCTGTCGTAAAGTTTTGTTTTCAACCGACCCTCATTGTCAATTTTTAGATGTAAGTCAAGATATAAGGCAGACTTAACTGTATCTGTAGTATCCTTTATCTCTATTTCGATGGGATAGATTCGTTCAACATAGTCACCAAATTTTGTATTATTTAGTGAGAGAACATCATCTATATAGCGGAACGTAGAGTTAAAGGATATTGCTAACTTCTTATTTTTCTTCCTAAGAAGTTCATGTATGAAGTCAGCCTCATAATAACAAAGAAACAAGTGGGCAAGAAGAGGGGCACAATTGGTTCCCATTGGATTTCCGACAGTCTGTTGAAAAACACGTCCTCCAAACGTAACAAATATGTTGTCAATCAAGAAATCAAGCATCTTGATAATGTCAGTTTCAGAGAATTTTTTGTTTGAATCAGAGTGATTCTTTACAAAGTAGGATTTATCCCTCCCTAAGACAAGATACTTGTATCTACGTTCGCCATTCTTTTTAATGAAACAAAGTAATACCAACTCTTTCAATTTGTCTTTTAGTTTGGAATGGGGAATATTTGTGTGTAGAAAAGTCAAATGTGTTAATACTATTGCAAGATGAGAGAGTCTTGGATTGTATGTACTCTAAAAGATCTTTGGAATTTTTTAGTATCCTCATCTGATTCACGCCACCTCTAGAACTTTGGAGCCCGGCTTTGGTTGCTGATAAAAAAGCTGACTTTGTAGTAATCTTATTGTAAGAATTTGAGTAATGGTAGTGGCATGTATGGCGATTGTATGTTCATCTTGTTGTACGAATATTAGTTATGGTAGCAGTAGGTATGATGATTGTGTACAAATCTTGTTGTAAGAATGTGAGTTATGGTAGCAACAGTTAAAATAATAATGTATTTACCTTGTAAGAATTTTGTAATGGTAGCGGCAATTATGATGATTTTTTCCTCATTGAAATAATTGCTCGTCAATTGAATAATGTTTTGAGTTCTATATATATTTGATGATACATTTATAGCCTGAAATTGCAGTATTTGATAATGTTTTTATAGTAGAAGGTCCTAATATAGAAATTGAACTGGCATCTTCAACAACATATAATCCTGTGACACCTATTTCCTGTGACTGTGCCAAAAGTATGATTAAAGGTTGTGTTTTTGGTTATTATTTTGGATGTGCGGGAGGCATATTCTCTTTGGCAGAATCAATAAGTGTAAGTATATTTTTTACTTGAAAGTTCGTTTGGGGGTTTTTGTTCTTGTTATAAGTTGCCACATGTTTGATGATATAGCAGGTATTTTAACCATCAGTAATTTCCAGCAGGTGGCAATATAAGTGTTGGTATTAAAACCCTTTAATTAAATGTTAGGTTTATGAAGTCTTATGTTTAGAAAATGATAGATGGGAAAACGTTAAAGATTAAGAACTGTATCTTTGCCAAATTGCCAGCATGTTTAAAAATTAAACAACAGTTAACACCCTCGTGATCTTTGTGATAATGTTAATATAGTAATGAAGAATAAAAAAAAATTGGTTTATTCTTAAATCTACAAATGAATGATTTAGATTTTTACAAAAAGTAACATACTGTGATATAGAAATGAAAACTAGTTGATATTATTTTGTCTAAATGATGACACTTTCAAGACTATGTTACACGACAAAGATAAACATAATATCAGGATTTTGATTTCCTAAAAATTGTCCACAACTGACATGGTATTACAAAATTTTATAAATTATTATAAACGAAGGAATCATGTCCTTTATGCAAAGTTTTAATTCTTTTTTAGTTTGTGCTCTACTTTCTGTCCTTTTTGATTTTATCACCTCTTAATTTTTGAAGGAGTTATGGATTTTAAAATATGCTTTCCTCCAGGCTCACTGAAGCGACATTTGATGTTGAAATGCACATCAGGTGAAGTTAAATTATTACCGTCAAGTGATTGTTCAGCATTGTAAAACTGATCTTTTTGTAATTATTTCTCATTGGCCTCAGTATCAAAAATCTTAAACATATCATTTTGAAGACGAGAAAACTGTTTAATGAACTCTTGTGTTGTTATACGCCAGTCACAGATGGTATGTATTATGCTCCATTGTTCATCAGCGCTTCGTATGGTAATTTAAATTTGACTTTAAAGGGGCACTAGCTACGAGATATATAAAAAATCTAGAATATGATTTTTTTTGTTCAATCATTATTGAAAGTGAAATAGTGAACTAATAATTCGCTTTTAGCAGCCAGTATGGTTCAATTTTGTCAAGATAAGCAAAACAACATTGATGATGAATTATTCACTTGCAAGTGAGTAATCCGACCTAATTGAATCCGTATTCATGTGAACTTCAATTTAACCCCCTTAGCTAGAGATGGATAACGCATGCAATGTGCGAGTATAGTTATTTAAAGGAAAAGAATGTAAATATTGAAAGTGAAACAAAGGTAAATCATTTAATTGACTGGTTCGATCCACAAAAAACATTCTTAGAAGGTAAAAACGATGATTAACATATATTTTTAAACTATAATATGAAATTAAACAGACCTAGAAGAATCCAACTGCACGAGTTCGCTATATCTATTTATATCTATATTATTTTATGTTTATATCGCTTATATGACTATCGGAGGTCTTCGGAGGTCAACTCGATATATAATTAGATGGCGTCTAGACTAAAATACATACGAAACGAAGCCACATATTCTCGAGCCCATGCTCTGTTAATTGTTAATTTTAGACTTTTAATAATTTGGATAAATGTTTTACATTGTTATAAATCAAATTCGAGAATTTGAGTCTAATCAATGAACACTAATTTGACAGCTATTGCCTCTTTGACCATGTTTACAGAGAAACGGGACTTTATAATTAACTATTTCAATTAAGCCAATTTTTCACATATAACGCAATAACTCTAATATACATATACCTGGATTGATTACCCAACAAAAATAAAATATTGTTTGGATTGATAAAGGAAAGCTCCAATTTGATTTTCTCAATCTTCTGGTTTGTTGCTTGTGATGGGACTTTAACAATTTAAATTGAGGCAATTTCTCACATATCTTGCAATAACGCTAGCTTGGATTGATTTCCCCAACAAATTACATTAGTGTTAGTATTGATACGGGAAAATTGAATTTTTTGTTTGTTTGTTTGGGATGTGTTTTAGTTGATTTTAGTCTCTGGTGCATGATTTTTTATTATTAATTGTTTTGGCTTTTAACTAGCTGTCAGTAACTGCGAGTACTCTCAAATCGTACTTTCTTGTTTATTTGACCTGTTGATACTAATTGTATTGCTTTTTTGTTATTTAATGTTAGTCAGGGTTATATCTGGTCTATATACCAGCTTTGATAAGTGTTTGGTATTACTATAAATTTTAACTTCGTACTATGAACATCAAAATTATTTATTTTGTAAAAATATTTCCTTTCTCTATTGGTACTGTACACGTATACCTAACAACAAAATTATTTTCATTTACCTGTGTTTAAAGTTATTGCAAATGGCTGATATTTTTGTTCGAGCATATAGTTTTTCTTTAATTGTTTAACATTTCTTACCGACATAACATGTTACTTTTATTATTCTTCCCTTAGTTTATTAATTTTGTATTTACATTGTATCATAGGTCAAATTTATTTGTTCAGTGTATGTTCAATGGTGTTAATATGTCCTTTGATTGAGTTAAGCTATTTCAGTTGATATTTTATAGTGTCTTTCTATGTTGTGATGTTACACTATTGTTTCAGAAAAAGGGTGAAGGTTTGGTATCATTAAAACGTTTAAACCCGCTGCATTTGTTTGCACCTGTCCTTAGTCAGGAATCTGATGTTCAGTAGTTGTCATTTGTTGATGTGACTCATAAGTGTTTCTCGTTTCTCGTTTTTTATATAGATTAGACCGTTGGTTTTTCCCGTTTGAATGGTTTTACACTAGTAATTTTTGGGGCCCTTTATAGCTTACTGTTCGGTGTGAGCCAAGGCTCCGTGTTGAAGACCGTACTGTGACCTATAATGGTTTACTTTTATAAATTTTGACTTGGATGGAGAGTTGTCTCATTGGCACTCATACCACATCTTCTTATATCTATGTAAGTAGTTATCATCTATCTATATATTTATACATCTACACATATAATCATTTGAATAGAGTATTCATTCTATCTGTTAATTTTTTTTCTCACAAGAGCTACCTGTATTTATTAAACAGTTTCAATTTCATAGCACTTCACCCCGTTCTTTTGTTATGTTAATTTCTATTACATTAAATTTCTGGTCGAGTGATCTTTTGCCATGTGCTACTCGTTACAAATTATCTGAAAGGAAATGTGTAATTCATTCATAAAAGTTGGATTTATGATTTACAGCGAGCATATTGCAATAAAAGAATCCTGGTGTTTGCAAGTAAAGCGCATATATATACTGTAAATATGCAGTTTGGTTTTAGGATCGATACACCCACGTATATACTTTATCTGTTTGTTTAATTATTCTTCATATGTTAATTATCTGAATATAAGTGTGATATTTCCAGTTTTACTTTATCAATGAATAAGAATAACAGGAATTTTCAAAAATATTGGACAGCATATATAACATTAAATAATCAAGCAATGAATACAAAGTTTCCTTTGCTGTATATGTTAACTGTGATCGAACGAAATATGCATTTGACTAAATACTATCCATACATAGTCTTAGTTTGTGATAATCAATAAAATTAAAAAGTTTAAATATAACCAACTTCAAGATTCTTAACTCATCTTTAAATTCTGAAAATCTACAAATGAAACTAATGATTGATTATTGCAAACTTGACTATATTTCACGGTAGAACTTTATAACTTTACTTAGGACGCACCTCATTGCAACAGTACAGGTCTGATCTAATTTCTTTTTGAACGCAATTTTAAATTTATATATCTTCTTAATGAATTGAGAATGATGCTTTGCGCCAGTTGATGCAATAACATTAAAACACTAAACGTGTCTGTTTAAAATATTACATATTGTAAATTCATTTTTGATTAATTTAATTGTGCCTGCATTTTATCCTTTTTTTTTTTTCTTGTTCTGTTTACAGGGTGATAACACTGGAGGGACCTCATTTACTAGATCATATGATGTTGCATTTGGACTTATGGATGCATTTTTTGGTTGTGTAACTCCACTTCTAAGGCCTGCTTTCAAAATACTTGAAAACGTTTACTCGGCACTTAGGTATTATATTGATCTACAATGTATGGAAAAGTAATGTTCTCGTAAACATTATTGAATGGGCGTGCGTTCATTCGCCTGTTCATTCATATGTCGTCCGTATGATTATATTCTTGTATATTAGCAATGTCTTGGACAAGTATTGAAATCAGTGCTTATTAATCAATTTTGAAATAATTATTATTGTCAAATGAATGTGAATTTTATGAAAAAAATGCATTTAAAGTGCACTCAAGCCTACTTTTTTATAAGATTGCTATGAAATTCATATCAAATGCTTTTATCAGCAATATCTAGGATGAGTTTGAAATACGTTGTTAATTTTTTTTTCAGGACTAACATCACTTGGATAGGTACATTCTATAGGAAATTACATACTCATGACCACATTTCTAGTCAGATGTTTATGAAATTTATGTCAAATGTTATTTTCAGTCATGTCAAGGACGATCCTCGAATTTCAAAACAAGTGCAAAGAAACTATTTTCATCATGTTTAAAATTTATTACAAATGTTTGTTTGTTTATTTAACTATTGAAATAATAATTATGCAAATTTGATTTATTATCAAGATATGTTTTAAGAATTAAGATATACAATATAAGCCATGAAATAGAGTAGATTATCTTCCTCGTATAAACAAATCAAAATCTTGCATTTAACATGACGTATAATACCAGATTTTATATATATTCTTATGAATATAAATAAATTCTATCACTATTCAATATGTTTTTACAGCTGCCTTAGCAATGTCCATGAAAATTGTGGGAATAGTGGAAGGCGAAAACGTGATGTTAGTAGTGAAGTTGTATACAATTTGTTGGATGCTGCGGAGCCTGTTGATAATTTTTTGTCTGTGATGCAACAGATTTTTAATGATGAAAACATGTAAATAAAATAATTATATTTTCTCGAATTAAGAGATACCATTCATATCAGAAAGTGCGATAGAAAAATTCTACAATATGTAGATACATAAAACTAGACATATAAGTTTTATTTAAAGTCAGTACACATACATACAAATAACATAAGTCCAAATAATTATGACGGTTTGAAAGGCTATTATTTTTTTGGGACTGAAATAAGATTTCAGCTGATTTCAGCTTCCCAACTGTGAACTTTCCATTTCTATGAAGTAAATTCCCCGTTGATACGATATCCAGGGCTTGTATTTCCTATCAGGATTTCCTTAATAGAGGGTTGCTGCTCACAAGGAAGCTATTAAACCAAGAATTCCTAGTAGTAAAGTTGAAATCATCCCTTCGTAACTTTTACGGAAGCCATCGTGAGTTGGTTGACCGTTATGGAATATCCGTATCACAGATGCTAGCGGATATGTTCCTAATGTTCTGGTAACAATCCCCTTCCCCTTTTCACGAATGTGACCTACCGAATTAGACTTATAATCGGATTAATACTAACATGAGCAACACGAAGGGTGCCACATGTTCAGCAGGATCTGTTTATCCTTCCGGAGCACCTGCGATCACCCTCAGTTTTTGGAGGGGTTCGTGTTACTCAGTCTTTAGTTTTCTATGTTGTGTTTTGTGTACTATTGTTTGTCTGTTGGTCTTTTTATTTTTTAGCCTGGCGTTGTTGGTTTACTTTCAACTTAAGAGTTTGAATGTCCCTCTGGTATCTTTTGCCTCTCTTGTATAGGTTTTAATTAACACACTTAATCACAACGCAATGCAGGTAAAGGTTGCAAACATGAATAAAACAGTATATCAGCTTTAAGAAAACATGGGTAAAAGTATAATCAGCATTTAAGCATTTCAGGAACTAAAGCAGGTCTAATAAAAAAATACCACATGTAATATAAACTAAATGAATATAAGAAGCACACTGCTAACTTCTTGCTTTCTCTTATATATCTTTATTCTCATAAAGCCAATGCATTACATCGGTACAGAGAAAACAAATACAAACAATAAATATTTACAGTATGTAAAAAAAACAAGTGAAAGAGGTTACATTATTTACAAGCCAGGAGTACAAACACAATTTTTTATATATTTTATAAAAGATAAAAAAAAAGATAAGTTCAGAGAATTTAACCGTATTTTGACGTTTTGTAAAATATGCAGACAAATATTCTGCCGGAGGGACACATTTGTTCATATTATTTTTATACAAGTATCCCCCCCCCCCCCCCAACCCACCCCGGTTCATTACTGTATCTATTTCAAATGAAACAACAATGATTCACCTGTAATCATTTTCTTATGTTAGTCTTAAATATAACTTCATCAAAGCGAAAGCAGCTTTGCAAGAGACTCATCGATAAGAGCTAGTCAATATTCAAAATTTTGATCTGGTTTAACTGGTTTGTACATGAATGTCATTTAATAGCATATAAAGGCATATTCAGGGTATGCCCAAGCATATCTTATGGAGCGCTAGCGGAAGAGAAATCTGGTTGTCCTCGCCTACAGAAGTTTTACAAAAGAAAATGAAATATTTTTCAGCGATACAATGTCATGAAGATATAATGGACATTGTATATGTAATATTGTAAAGATCCACAGCCATATTCAAATTTCTGATCTTTAAATTTTTTTTTTGGTAAACCTAATTTTATAAGTAAATGCATCAAAATATCGGATGTTATAATACCAAAGGTGGTAGCAAAAGAAATTAAATGAAAAAATGCAATGATTTCGTGAAACAAAAATATCATAAAAGTGCAGACAAACCCCACTAAAAGCTTAATGTGTGATTATAGGGCCTCAAATTGTACAGTTGATGAAGGTTATTTAAGAAAAGCTCTCTTAAAAAAGGAAATGCAGTATGTTTTACTTTAATTTATATTTTAAGTTTATTTGTCCAGGATAAACCTTATTATTTTGATTAATAGGTATGATGTTGATTCTACATGGTATGGAGCATTTAAACCAGTTGTATCTGATGAAAGTCCATTGGGAATCCAGCTGTCATCAGATGAATTCAGCAATGTACTAAGTGCAATTAATGACGAAACACAAAAGGTTACATTGAATAAATTCTTACAAAGATGGAACAACACAGGTACTTATTTCCCTTTCATTATGCCCTGCTTACTATAGTAGAAGTAGGAATTAAAGGAATTTAAATCTTTCCTTAAAATCAATACCTGCTTATTTGGGTATTGAATAAAAACAATAGTTATTGTCCTCTGCAGAGTTTATTCAAAGATAACTTTTAATTTCTCCATAAAAAAAAAAAAAAAATCATATAACAAGGAAGTTTTTACTTAGATGTTTTATTGTGAGTGAACTTATTTACCTTGCTTACATTAAAGTTTTTGCTGCATAAGTAATTGATTGAATAGATGAAATGGGTTAGGCAACATTTTAGCAGTATTTTCATTGTGGTTAGTTTTATTGGTGAAATAAGTATACACTAAAACACAAGCCTCTCCAAACAATTGCTGTCGCATAATGATAAATTGGGATTCAATTGTTCTATGAAGAATGTGTGTCAACAGGTCTTATTTTGGTTTACAATCAACTCTTGTAGGATTGTAAAGCTTTTAAGAGCCTCCTTTTAAAAATGAGTAGATATTTGGTCTATGACTAGCAAATTTAATCCATAACAAACAGAATATACCAATTATACTTGACGTGAATACTTTATCTTCTTCTTCCATTATTGATAACTATTAGTACCTGTTACATGTTTTATTATAACTTGACAAGTTGCAAATAGGCATCATTATGCAGTTCTTGCTTTTCAATACACTTATAATGTGACAATGATGTTTTCAATACATGTTCATCTAACAAGTACAACATGTACTAATTAGTATTGACAGGAAGATTGCAATATAATTCCTCTGAAAAAAGGAAACATGAATATCATTGGAGTTCATAGAATAAGACAAAAGACCAAATCAATCATAATAAAGTATTTACCAATTATGGACTTTTGACGAAGTCGATACGTTATATATGGACCTATTCAGATTATATTGACCGAGGACGAAGTGAAAGTCCTTAATTTATATATTTCATATGTAAATAATGTATTAGACAATTGGAATTCAATGTTCTTCTGTGTATTTTTAAATTTAATTTTGCAAGAGTTTTAACATTCTATTGAAAATATTAATACATAAGAATACTTGTTTTATTGTAAACAAAAACACAACATTTTTTTCTGTTTAGAACGAATAAGAATTTAAATGGAACTCATTTCAGTCTACTTGCAAATATTCTTTTCGTACTCTGCAGCGTTTTCGCAATGATTGTTATGTCTGACGTCACATATTTTTAATATTGACCGTCAATATACGTATAAATAGAAACATAGTGTCAATATACTTAAAAAAAGAAACAAGACTTCAGATACATGAAATATAATTTGAATTTTGATCGTTATATCCAATGAAAACAGGCGAATGCTACACCATATGTAATATTACAAAATATAGCACACTATCATATATTCAAGTTACAATATTGACTTGACTTACATTTTGTAATATTTTCCACTGAATGATCAGCAAACATCATTATTTATCAATACCAGAGAACGCCAATGTTATTGATACATTGTATTATGTATTTCAGCAACAGCATGGAAAGATGGGACATTAAACACACTGACTGATGTTGCTGATGTAATAAATTTTCGGAAACTGGATCCAGGAATTCAACAATATATTGATGATCATAGCAACGCTAAGACAAAGGGATTTAATTCAATATTTGATGTGTATGACCATGCCGCAGAAACATACAAAGCAGCTGAACAAGAAACTCAGGTATAAGCATTTTGTATTAATTTTTTGAATGCATAATTATGTATTTGAAATATAAAAAAAAATATTAAGTATTGCCCAATCTCAAGGATACTGGAGCCCTATAGTTTTCACTTTGACTGTCTGTCCGTTGATAAAAACTCTAATCTATAATACATTTGAATATTATTCTTTTTCGGGAATATTGTTGGAAATTGAAGAAATAGTTTTGTAAACGCAAAACCTCAAAAAGTATAAGTAGTAGGCCGTCGAAAATTAGCATAGTGAATAATATGTAGATGTGCATATCAATTTGTTGGTAATTGGCAAATTAACTTTGGAAAAAGTACTCAAAACTAAATTAACAGCATGAACTCTATGCCAGTTTGATAGTGAGCACTTTTTGGAATACAGAAGGGATAATTAGACATACAGTAACATTATATCCATTTTAAAACTCAGACCTGTATTATGTGATAATAATGATTATATTTGATGTTTTAGTAAACTGAAAAAAAAATCACAAATATAAAGCAATAAACATACAAAAACGTTTCAGAATTATTATTTCTTGATTAAATTGAAGAATGTCTTTCAATTTTCTGCTAAACTGAGTATATTTATTTAAAACTTTTTTTATCCTTTTTTTGGGGGGAAAAAGTTTGGGATCTTATATTTAAGTGTTTTTTTAGTTTACTGTGAAATGGATATTTGCGGAAATTGACATACAACTATGATAATAATTACTATTATATTAAGTCCTATAAAACCATGGGTTGTCTCAGAGTTCTGAACATTTACCATCATCTACCAACAAAATCTAGATCCACTGTTGCTTTTCTATAATTGAACAACAGTGTTCGGCGGAAATACTTTTTCTGAAAACAGAGAAAGAAACTGATTAAATTGTAGTTGAATTCGTGCATGGATAAATATGTTCGTAAATTGAAAAGTTGCAATCAAAAACTGGTTTTATCGATGTACAAAAAAACATTATTACGGTCTTTATTTAAATCTGTCATATAACTTTACAGGATAGTTTCTCTCTAGTGTGAAATGGATAAACGTACAATAAGCATGCTTTTAGACGGGGTATCTCTAGAAGTCTGAAAATGTTCTAGTTATAGTCACACATTTGCATTAGTCTAATTATGTATTAAAACTAAAACACGACGTACACATGGATCAACTTATTAATCATAAAAGACATTTAGTCTAGGCTTTTGTAATATGCCCATTTTTTATGCGTTTACAGAGTGGTAGTAGTGAATCCATTTGTGCAAAGGTCAGAGTAAGAATTGTCCAGGATTTAGTTCTAACACGTGATGCCTTTAATACTAGACTGGAGATTGAAAATGGAGAAACTTCTGCATTGGAGAATATCAAAGTGGAGATCAGAATTACACAAACATTTGGAAATGGAGAGTCCGCAAAGGATACGTTTTCTATAGGTAAAGAAACTAGCCTGGCAAGAGTTATCTGTTTATTATTTTCGTACAAGCTTTCATTTAAGGACGACTACAGCTCAACATGTCTTGTAAGACAAACATACAGTCTTGAATCGACATCTAATGGTTTGGAGATATTTTCCAACATACCATTGTTTTTCAGTGACAGTTTCATGACCCACATCCCTGTTGTTCCACCTGGCAGAACATATATATTAAATGAATTATTTTTAGTTTCTCCCCCTTAATGTACATGACATTACTGCCACTGGACATTAAACAAGCAACACAAATATCCATTCAATTTACTTTAATCTCATATACTTTGTTACAACAATTATTCTACAGTAGGCATTAAAAACAAAATTATTTGTTAAAATAATTAGATAAAGAGTTGATTTGAGAAAAGGAAATAGACTCAAAAACCTATCTTTAATTGGAGTTAATGGGGCCCTTCCCATGAATCGACAACATACCGATAGTAATCAGCTGGTATGTCTCGTAGAAGGCAGGGAACAGTTATAGGTGGACATCATGGCCAGCAACTTATTTTAACTTAGTTATGCTTTAATACATGTACGAAAAGCAGTTCTAATTCTGTTATCCCATATATTTTAATAGTTATACCTGGCGTATTTGGAGAAATGTTTTAGTAAAGTCATGGTCAAATACTTAGTTCAACTTAACCATCCCTGTGCATATGTACAAATTTTGAATTAGGGTTGAGGTATGAACTTATGATGAATCAGAAAATTTTCTGCTTTCCATGATATATGACAATTTTATGTGAAATGTCATCGATATCGTCTTAGAAGAGTCCTCGTTTGCATTGCAATTAATTTTTATAATGACTGCAATCATTATCCTCTAGTTGTTCATATTCTTCCCTTGCCTACTGAATCTGTGTTATTTTGTGGTCATTGTTACCATTCACTCTCTCTGCATTTTCTATCAGAATCTTCTCCTCAAACAGAGAATGTACTTAGACTACAGCCATCTATATTTAATGAATACAAAGATTGTAAGGTTTGCATTACTATCTTATTAAGGTCACCACTTAAGCCAACATTTATTTCGAACTTTAATGATACTTTCATGAAAATTTTTTAAAATACCTAATTGCAATGTGCACGTCCACTCCTATTCACTATTGTCAAATGGTTTTATGGGAAAATCGAGTTTCTTATTATTAAATATGGACCTTGTCATATCAAAAAAGGTGGAGGACCCCATGTGATTGCAACTCCTCTGAAAATAAGGGTTTCATTTAGAGGAAACGTTTCTATAACCTTTCAGTCATAATATCATTGTGCATTTCCTATTATGATTGTGTTTTTCATTTGCTTCATACTATCAACCCTTTGCTGACAATGGCTTCAAATCTTTCAGAGGTTGATAAGTTTGAAGGCAGAAATGCAGCAACTTTTATACAGTTTGGCCAGTTGGTATTTTGAAAGAAAAGACAAATTCTCTACAATAAGAACAATAAAAAAAATGTGTACAACACAATTTTTTTTAAAAGTATAAAATCTGGAAAATCTAACAAGTCGAAAACGTTCGGAAGGATTATAATTCAATGATTAAATAGAGAAATGGAGTTCGGTATTTCTGTTATTTCACCTTTTATATGTAGTTTTTATACGCCCGTCTTAAGACGAGATGGTTTGTGATTTAATATTGTCTGACCGTCTGTCCGTTCGTCCGTCGTCTCACTCCGGACAATAACTCAAATACGCTTTAACCAATTTTTAGAAATTTTTGTGACTTGTTTATGACAATTAAAATAATCTCCTTTGTATTTTTTTTTTAATTTCTGATATGACATTGCGGAGTAAGGGAATTTTATGCGTTGAAAAAAATGAAAATTGTCCATTTGTCACACTTCGGACGATAAGAGAATTCAATTGTTAAAATCTGGTGCCAAAATTATTCATAATTTGGGTCTATTGGTAATAATGTTTGTACATGTCTTATTTTCATTTTTTTTTTTGGGGGGGGGGGTCTATTTGAGTAATGCCCACAATACATGAATATCTAGTGTATCATATAAATGTATTCAAAGCATAAAGACGAATTAAAACGACAACAGACGTGCTGAAGATGAATCTTTGCTTTTTGTTTGTTGAGCTCGCATGACCTTCAGGGTCAAGTAACCTATTCTCGTCACTTGGGGTCTGTCGATGACCGACGTAGTCGTCTATTTATTTGTTCCAAAAAATCTCTTCTGAAATTTACAGGACCAAGTGGACGTAAACTTAGCAACTATCATCTTTAGAGTGCATATATCTAGTATAAAAAATGAGCCATGTGCTCTTTCCTACCACCATGGCGAACATGACTCAAATTTGAACATAGGGGTAAAATAATTTCTGTCTAATAACCGATATACAGAGAGAAAATATGACAGTTGGAGAAATGTTTTGAATATTGAAATCTGCTTTCCGTCTATATGACACCAATTCAATATAAGAATACGAAGTTGCGGTATGATTGCCACCATGAGACAACTCTCCACAAGAGACAAATGACGTACCTGTAAAAGTTACACGACTCTTTACAGAGGTAATTGCCTGAAAAGTAAAAGTAAAAGGGGAGAAGTTTTATTTTGTTTATTTGCGTGTTGGTTTATTATCGTTAAAACTATAAGGAAAAAATGTGAACCTTATAAAGCGGAATGGAAATTGGAAAATATTTCTTTGTCAATAAGGCAGACATCTTCAGTTGACGCATCATAGAAGTAATAGCCCTTTAAAGTTGATGTTTATCCAAGTTTTGCATATATGGCCAAAACTATAGTAGATAAGAAAAATTGTAAACACCACAACTGAGCATCAAGCCAATATATACCAACATGCAAAAAAAAAAAAAAAAAATTGACTCTTTAAATACCATTTGAAGATGATTTTTTTCTACCCAACTTATCTATCATATCAGGCAAAATCTAGATATAGTTTATATAATTATATGATCTACACATGAGTCAACATTTCGGAAATTGTCACTTTTATATTGCCCTAAAATGACAGTTGTCTACCCTTTTTATATGTTGAGCAAATACAATAGAAGATAAAGAGAAACTGTAACAACGAAAATGACCAGCAAGACAAGATCTATAAAAAGGTCAACATTTATAAAAGTTGTTTACCTTAAATAACGATTTGTACCCTTTTTTTCAATTAAGGCGAAACACAGAAGAAAGAGAGAAACTATAAAAAAAAATGTTAATCAATGAAATATCAACAAAAAGAGATTAGAGTCATAAGTTGTATTCTTATCTTTAATGTTGAAGGATGGTTATTGTCAAAATTGAACTTCTACCTAGGTGAGCGACACAGGCTCGTAAGATATTTTTGTTTTGTTTTATTTCTTTTTAAATATTGCACATTTTTGTATTTCCAGGTAAACCATCTTTGATAGGAATATCTGGTGTAGATGGAGAAGGGACCCTTGAAAAAGATATTTCAGGGTCAGCTGAATGGTTAATGATCCCTTATTCTACAGCAGCACCACAAGATGATACATTGTATGATGTTGGAGGTCAGTTATCCTACAGTGTTGGTGGCTCAAACTTTTCTGTTCCTTTGCTTCCAGACATCATAACTGTGAAACCTAATCCAAGACTGGTGGTGCATTATTTCTATGAAAAATATGTAAGAGGAGATGATCCATTAACAGTAGCTATTGAGCCTATTATTCCATTTAATTTAGCAGTGACTGTAATGAATGATGGGTTTGGCACAGCCCAGGCTCTCCGCATTTCATCTGCTCAGCCAGAAATCATTGAAAATGAAAAAGGTTTATTGATAACATTTAAAATATTAGGTGCAAAACTTGGAAATGAGCAAATCGCTCCGTCCCTATCGGTTAATTTCGGAGACATTCATTCCTTTGAAACAAAAACTGCCACTTGGCTTTTGACATCAACTCTTAAAGGAACATTTTACAACTATACTGCTACCTTTGAAAACATCAACCCGCTTGGAGATCCTCAACTTTCATTATTTGATGAACTTGGATATCATGAACTTGTTCACTTAGTAAGAATAAATACAGAAAATGAAAGTGATGACTTTGACGATTTTTTGGTGAATGACATTGTGGATAGTGAGACTATGCCAGATAGACTTTATAGCACTCAGAATGGGTCAAATGTATATGATGTTTATATAGGAAATCTTACTCAACTATACACAAGCTCGTACGTACGATCACAAAAGAAAGTCTACACAGTGGTACATCTCAAAGTAACAGCAAACACATCAACCTGGACATACACAAGAATTGAAAATAACATCACAAGTTCAAACCCTGTTGATAGTCAAAATTTGCTACAATGTGAATCAAGTTTAAATAGGAAACTAATGATTGAAAAGAATGTATGGCAGACAACACATATTCTTGATAAATTTTTTCTCCATATATTTGATTTTATTCCCTCTAATGAAACAGCTGAGGAGGGTGTGGAAGTTACGTATGATATCACTTTTGGACCACGGAATATGTATGCCCCCATATTCAACATGACTAGTTACTCACAGACCGTGCCATTTGATGCTTCGATTGGATCAGTTATTTTAACACTATCAGGACATGACATTGATGATAACCAAATGTCATTTCAGATAGTTGATGAAGATATTAAACCTGTTTTTGCCATAAATGAGACCATCGGAAGCATTAACACAAAAGTCCTTCTGAATTCAACTACTGTGTATACATTTAAGGTGATGATAGTAGATCATGGTATTCCACCAATGTCCTCTATGACAAATATCACTATTAGTGTAACTGACTATATAATTTCTTCAGTTCCATCTACAGACACTGCAAGTCCAGTATCAACACCACTGACTTCATATATAACTGAATATACTATTAAATCTTCAGAGTCATCAGCTGCTAGAGAGACAGTAGGAAGTGAAACAAGTACCAGGTCTCGTGAAATGTATACATCAGAATCTCAAGCCACGCCTACGATCACTACAGGATATACTACTGAATCATCTATACCTGCTGGACAAACAAACCACTATTATGCCACATCTACTGTAAAAGGTACAAAGTGACGCCCAATAAATGTTAAATTTTATCTTCCTTTCTTGATTTTTACTTATGTGTAGTAATTTTTTTTAGTCAACGACTAAATAAAAGCATATTTTCTTTTTTCTGCAAAAATTGAAATACTATACCATGGAGGTAGAACATATGTATATAGATAGGATCCGCAAAGATTTATTATCGCTCATCATTAACCTTGGGAGTTTTGTAGAAAAGATATGAAAATATCTTATTATATCGTTATCATTAATAGGCTTTAGTTTAATGTGTTACAATATTCAAATTTTTCGAGGGTTCAGTTTATCCATTATGCAGGTGTACTAATATTACATACGAATCACGATAATTATATATAATAAAAATTAACACTGTCAAGGCTCATGCAACATATATAGTTAAGATGTTGGTAGGAACGAATAATATCTAGTAGATTAACATATGAAAATGTATAACAAAATAAGTGTAGAAAAGAAAAAGACATACCCACATTATGTATATTGTGTTTGTTGATAGTTTTCCATAATGAAGTTTAAACCTTCTCAGAAACCTATAATTGAAAGATTTTTGGCCAGTAATATACAGTCGTGATGACATGTTTTTTTTTACATGCAAAATATGCCATCTCTTTCCGATTTGACCCATCCATGTATTTAAAGAATTTCAATTAAATGTATGCTATTGTTTAACCATCTCTGTGCTATCTGATATATAAGCTGATATACATTTTTCGATACAGAAACAAATTTCATTACACTTGAGATAGAAGTCAGTTTTTTTTGGTTTTTTTTTTTTTTGGGGGGGGGGGGGGGGGGTAGGAGAATTCATGCCCCACTAAATGCAAATTTATGGAGAAGAAATTACTTTTCTGGTTTTCTTGAATTGTGGATTTAGATATAACGTTCGCGTATACAGTTTTTAATATTATGTTTAAACATAACGTTCAATATATATTTAAAATTTGTTTTGCTTCTGGCAGTGAAGCAATTGAACGATGAGCTTTATAGTTTTTGAGCTGTCTGTCTGTCAGTTCATCAGTCGTTCAGTTATTATCGTTTTCTGATGCTTACTCGTATACTTGATCCTGGATTGCAACCGTTCTTTGATACAAAGTCGTATGCTATAATGAGAGGAAGATTGCTTTTGTGTATTTAGTTTACAATCCAATGATAAGATCGTAGATACTTTAAATAGATTGAAATTTGTGCAAAAATGATGTTTCTTAAAGTTAAAGTAGATACTACATATGGGATTGCAAACTTGCTTGGATATATTGTTACATATGATTCGAGGAAACTAATATCAATTTTGATGTGACTTTGTTTAAGATCAAAGTCAAACTAATCTAGACTAAAATTTGTATAGCATACTAGTATCAGGATGAATTATTACATGGGATTGCAACCATAACTTGATATGTGGTCATAAATTATAGGAGGAGCCCTATTGATTTTTAAATCATAATTTATATTGGGGAGGGAAGGTGAAGCTTGTGAGCTTGGATACGAAATAGAAGTTTCGGCAATATGGTCTATCAAAGTGAAAAAGCAAGGAAAAGATTTGAACGCACTAATCACATTTAAGTTTTTGTAAATCATTTAAGAATTATTATAATGTATGTATAATGCTTTCATGGTCTATCTATGATCATTTGATTGTGCAATGTTTTCAAGAAACTATAAAAGATAGTGTTGTGCTGACCAAACTTGGTCCATATTGTATCTTTTCATGCTACAGACAGCTTCCATACTGAGTAGGATTGTTTGCCATCATGTGTAGTTGACCATATTGCATTGCCATTTTGATTTAACCTTTTGTATTATGGGACTTTGACCACCTAAGACGATACTTTACATTATTTTTTTTTGTAATGTGTTTATTGGCAAAACTACATGTATAATAGTATATGGTATAATTACGGTAGAAAGTCCATGGTACATCAGCAAAATCAAGACAAATACATATAGTTGGTTCTTTGAATCATTTGACAAACTTATAAATAAATAATAATGGTAAAAAACCTAGGCAGTCTGGATTTAGAAGATATGTTTATTACTTTAAAATTAACTTGTATAATTATTTTATTAGTTGGAGCCAGGAGTTCCAGCAGGAGTACACTCTTTGCAATGCTTTATTATTATAAAATTTTTTTTTTTCAATAAACAAATTTTTTTTAAGATAATTTTTTAAAGCTACAATATTTACTTGTCCACTTTACATTTTTGTTCTGTGTATATAATATCTAGTTAATAATATTATGAAGTTTCTTAATGTATTTTTTTTTCGTTTTTTTCTAATGGCCCAAATAAGACTATGTCTAAGTTGAGTTGTAGTTCAATTTAGACTTTTGTATATATCCATCTATTACAAAATGTAAGTTCTTCCAATACATCATATACTTTTGGACATTCCAGAATATGTGTTCTACGGTTTTTATTGAGTCCGTACAGAAAGTTGTGGAGGAATTCATTTGTCCCCAAAATTCTGTGAGTGATCCTGTATTGGAGCTAGTGTAATTTTGAATTTTTAGTTATGAAAATGTCATTCTATACACTTTATTCCAGATAATAGTATGTCTAGTTAGGATTCAGGACCACTTTTTTTATCTTTTAATACATTGTACATGTCTTTTGAACCTTTTTGAGGTTCTAAAATATTGTAATAGTAATTGGTATTATTGGTCCATAAAGCTTACAAATCTGATTACATTTAATATCAAGACTTTTCATATTAGAATTAACTGCTGAAATTACACCCTGGTGTATAAGAAAGTTGGTATCAAAATTATATGATTTTTAAATTCCTGTCAGATTCTTAAATGTCCATCATTATCAATTAAATCATTTATTAATCAGACTACTTTTTTAGTCCATTTTTTGTACAGAGGGGTTTGATTACCAACCTCTATTTGTTTATTTTTCCAAAAATTAGATATCATATTCGTTCTTCACGTTCTTAACAGCTACTTTAGTCCAAGCATTAAAAACCTCCTGTCAAAAGGGATTTTTTACATGACTGTGTTCTTGGACCTACATAGAGCAATTCATTGAATTTTATTTTTTTCCGAATAAGTCAGTACAATAATTATTAATTTGTTTAGTGATTCTTGCCGAGTTAATTTAAATCCTTTTATATATTGTTTTAAGGTTAACATGTTAAGTCTACCCGATTCATATATTTGAGAAATTGTTTCTCTTTTAATTTTGTCAGGTTTACCATCCCAAATAAAAGAAAATAAATTATAAATAAATTAGTTAACATGGTTAAGTAACCCATTGTTAAGATTTGGCAATGTTAAAAATAAGTGATTAAGCTTTGAGATTACAAGACTTTTAATTATAGTAATTTTTCCAATGGAGATAAGTATTTGTTTGACCAACTATTTATTGTTCTTTCAATCTCTTTAAGCTTGGGTCCATAATTTAGTGTTTCCATTTCTTGTAAACCAACCGAATATTTAATACCCAGGATCGTAAATCTGTTGGAACCTCACTCCAATCCCCACTTTACACACATTGTATCTTGGCTATATTTCTTTTTCCCAATAAATACCACATTCGTGTTTTTCTAAATTCATTTTGAGACCAGACAATTCAGGATATAATTATAAGGATTCTGGTGAACCATCTAAAATAAGTGTGGTGTTATCAGCATATTTTGATATCAAAAATTCTGAGTCTTCAATAGTAATACCTTTGATATTTTTGTAGTAGTATTCCTAAAATTTCGTTACCGCTGATTTGGTATTTGTATAAAAAGTTTTAACCCAGTGTTTTATGGAATTTACAAAGTTGAAAAAATCAAGAACCTGTTCTATGAAAATCCACGAGATAGAATCAAAAGCTTTTTCAAAATCAATGAGAAGTAGAATGCCTAGGATATCATTTTCTTCAGTGGAGTGTAGTAAATCATATATCAATCTGGTATTTTCACCATTAAATGGAACAACATAAACATTGAACTGCTACAAAACAAACGCCAACATATATAGAAACGGACTATTTGATAACACTGCCATATTCCTGACTTGGTACAGGACATTTTAAGAAAAAATGGTGGGTTGAACCTGGCTTTATGGCTAGCCAAACCTCCAGCGTATAAGGCAATGCTAAACAATATCGCTAAAATGACAACACTACGTGACAGAAATACAGCACAAACAAAAGCAAGAACACTCAGCACAAAGAAACGCACAAATAAACAATATAATAGTCGTTACAACATGTTAACCGCAGAATAACAACGAACATCTCCCATTAACGACAGCACAGGATATCACAAACAGTGACGTAATTTTGTAACGAATATATAATCTTGAAATTCATACATTTATTTTCACAATAGTAGTCCAAACAATTATCATGACTATGACGGTATTGAAATGCTATTTTAAATAAATGCTGTGACGACGTCATAATTTTTTGGACTAACACAATTCTTTATCCATGGAAAATGGAAATTAACTCGAATATACTGACAAATAAGACATATGTTAAATGTACCGAAAATACAGTATTCAAACCACAAACGATAAGACATAACACAATATCCAACGGAAACCACAACAGAAACATCATAAATAAATACATGAATGTTGGATGTATAAATACCGAGAAATGGTCGTATAGCAATGTAAATTCACAAATTAATAACTTGTAGATTCGCGGAGACCATTTTACAGAATGTTTCTGTCCTTTATTGCTCGCATCAGGTGAAGTTGATCATGTTGTACCTCCATTTTCTATTTGTCATTTTTTACGAAAGTTATGGTACTCTGACCATTTATGGTAATAATATAACAATAACCTCTTGTGCACGTAACTCATCTACGACGGTTTTACAGAAAGCTCTCGTACTTGGTAGTATTGTTTGCCATCAATTGTAGTTGAGCATATTGACAGTCATATTGATTTTATATATTACTACTTTATGTTTATGAAGTTATTGAAAACAAATTTGGGACTCACATTTGCTTTATGTAAAAGTCGAAACTGGCATGAGTAACCGAAAATTTTTTTATTTCGTATGGTATATCTTCTTTTTTGTCAACTTCATGACTCATATCTAAATGAAAAAGGTGTTTTAGAATCATTATATTTGTTTTTCATTTTGCTTTTAGTTGAAAATAAATGTAACAGTACCAGCCTTGCATGTGATTTGTTAAATGGGGGATGCAGTATCAACAGCACAGGAGACGCCTTCTGTTTTTGCAACGCAGGCTATGAGTTTACTAATCCAGGTGTTAGTTATACGTGTACAGGTTGGTACTTTGTTCATTTTACATGAAAGACAAATCAACATCATTCTGACAGAATTGTATCACTTCAAATTGGAATATTAAACTTTTCATTAAACTAGTAAGTAGTCCTTGATCTGGAAATTATCAGTTTTGTTACACTCAAATTGTATATTAAAAAGTGCTTACACCAATTGGTAGTATTGTTTGCCATCAATTGTAGTTGAGCATATTGACAGTCATATTGATTTTTTAACGGTTTTGATGAGTGTAACGGACTTTTACATATTTTGAATATCGTACCTCAATGACAGTCTGATGAATGTTTGCTTTCATCCCCTTACGTATTTGTCATGAGATTGATAGCGCATATTAATTCTACGATAAATGACCAGTGACCGATAATATATATATTATTATCATCAGTAATTAATCTATTTGGAGAATGTCGGTGAATATCATCTACATAACAGGCAACCACGCAAAGTGCTTTACTTTTGATATTTAATAGGAAATAACAGGACGTTCATCGGGTCATTTTCTAAGAACATTATCTATATGTTTATACATCAATAATCAACCTAATATTTATTACCTTTTATTTCCTATATTTTGAAAATTTATTAAATCAAATATTTGAATAATATTTTTCTTCTATATATTACTACTTTATGTTTATGAAGTTATTGAAAACAAATTTGGGACTCGCACTTGCTTTATGTAAAAGTCGAAACTGGCATGAGTAACCGAATAAAATTTTATTTCGTATGGTATATCTTCTTTTTTGTCAACTTCATGACTCATATCTAAATGAAAAAGGTGTTTTAGAATCATTATATTTGTTTTTCATTTTGCTTTTAGTTGAAAATAAATGTAACAGTACCAGCCTTGCATGTGATTTGTTAAATGGGGGATGCAGTATCAACAGCACAGGAGACGCCTTCTGTTTTTGCAACGCAGGCTATGAGTTTACTAATCCAGGTGTTAGTTATACGTGTACAGGTTGGTACTTTGTTCATTTTACATGAAAGACAAATCAACATCATTATGACAGAATTGTATCACTTCAAATTGGAATATTAAACTTTTCATTAAACTAGTAAGTAGTCTTTGATCTGGAAATTATCAGTTTTGTTACACTCAAATTGTATATTAAAAAGTGCTTACACCAATTGGTAGTATTGTTTGCCATCAATTGTAGTTGAGCATATTGACAGTCATATTGATTTTATAACGGTTTTGATGAGTGTAACGGACTTTTACATATTTTGAATATCGTACCTCAATGACAGTCTGATGAATGTTTGCTTTCATCCCCTTACGTATTTGTCATGAGATTGATAGCGCATATTAATTCTACGATAAATGACCAGTGACCGATAATATATATATTATTATCATCAGTAATTAATCTATTTGGAGAATGTCGGTGAATATCATCTACATAACAGGCAACCACGCAAAGTGCTTTACTTTTGATATTTAATAGGAAATTACAGGACGTTCATCGGGTCATTTTCTAAGAACATTATCTATATGTTTATACATCAATAATCAACCTAATATTTATTACCTTTTATTTCCTATATTTTGAAAATTTATTAAATCAAATATTTGAATAATATTTTTCTTCTATATATTACTACTTTATGTTTATGAAGTTATTGAAAACAAATTTGGGACTCGCACTTGCTTTATGTAAAAGTCGAAACTGGCATGAGTAACCGAATAAAATTTTATTTCGTATGGTATATCTTCTTTTTTGTCAACTTCATGACTCATATCTAAATGAAAAAGGTGTTTTAGAATCATTATATTTGTTTTTCATTTTGCTTTTAGTTGAAAATAAATGTAACAGTACCAGCCTTGCATGTGATTTGTTAAATGGGGGATGCAGTATCAACAGCACAGGAGACGCCTTCTGTTTTTGCAACGCAGGCTATGAGTTTACTAATCCAGGTGTTAGTTATACGTGTACAGGTTGGTACTTTGTTCATTTTACATGAAAGACAAATCAACATCATTATGACAGAATTGTATCACTTCAAATTGGAATATTAAACTTTTCATTAAACTAGTAAGTAGTCTTTGATCTGGAAATTATCAGTTTTGTTACACTCAAATTGTATATTAAAAAGTGCTTACACCAATTGGTAGTATTGTTTGCCATCAATTGTAGTTGAGCATATTGACAGTCATATTGATTTTATAACGGTTTTGATGAGTGTAACGGACTTTTACATATTTTGAATATCGTACCTCAATGACAGTCTGATGAATGTTTGCTTTCATCCCCTTACGTATTTGTCATGAGATTGATAGCGCATATTAATTCTACGATAAATGACCAGTGACCGATAATATATATATTATTATCATCAGTAATTAATCTATTTGGAGAATGTCGGTGAATATCATCTACATAACAGGCAACCACGCAAAGTGCTTTACTTTTGATATTTAATAGGAAATTACAGGACGTTCATCGGGTCATTTTCTAAGAACATTATCTATATGTTTATACATCAATAATCAACCTAATATTTATTACCTTTTATTTCCTATATTTTGAAAATTTATTAAATCAAATATTTGAATAATATTTTTCTTCTATATATTACTACTTTATGTTTATGAAGTTATTGAAAACAAATTTGGGACTCGCACTTGCTTTATGTAAAAGTCGAAACTGGCATGAGTAACCGAATAAAATTTTATTTCGTATGGTATATCTTCTTTTTTGTCAACTTCATGACTCATATCTAAATGAAAAAGGTGTTTTAGAATCATTATATTTGTTTTTCATTTTGCTTTTAGTTGAAAATAAATGTAACAGTACCAGCCTTGCATGTGATTTGTTAAATGGGGGATGCAGTATCAACAGCACAGGAGACGCCTTCTGTTTTTGCAACGCAGGCTATGAGTTTACTAATCCAGGTGTTAGTTATACGTGTACAGGTTGGTACTTTGTTCATTTTACATGAAAGACAAATCAACATCATTATGACAGAATTGTATCACTTCAAATTGGAATATTAAACTTTTCATTAAACTAGTAAGTAGTCTTTGATCTGGAAATTATCAGTTTTGTTACACTCAAATTGTATATTAAAAAGTGCTTACACCAATTGGTAGTATTGTTTGCCATCAATTGTAGTTGAGCATATTGACAGTCATATTGATTTTATAACGGTTTTGATGAGTGTAACGGACTTTTACATATTTTGAATATCGTACCTCAATGACAGTCTGATGAATGTTTGCTTTCATCCCCTTACGTATTTGTCATGAGATTGATAGCGCATATTAATTCTACGATAAATGACCAGTGACCGATAATATATATATTATTATCATCAGTAATTAATCTATTTGGAGAATGTCGGTGAATATCATCTACATAACAGGCAACCACGCAAAGTGCTTTACTTTTGATATTTAATAGGAAATTACAGGACGTTCATCGGGTCATTTTCTAAGAACATTATCTATATGTTTATACATCAATAATCAACCTAATATTTATTACCTTTTATTTCCTATATTTTGAAAATTTATTAAATCAAATATTTGAATAATATTTTTCTTCTATATATTACTACTTTATGTTTATGAAGTTATTGAAAACAAATTTGGGACTCGCACTTGCTTTATGTAAAAGTCGAAACTGGCATGAGTAACCGAATAAAATTTTATTTCGTATGGTATATCTTCTTTTTTGTCAACTTCATGACTCATATCTAAATGAAAAAGGTGTTTTAGAATCATTATATTTGTTTTTCATTTTGCTTTTAGTTGAAAATAAATGTAACAGTACCAGCCTTGCATGTGATTTGTTAAATGGGGGATGCAGTATCAACAGCACAGGAGACGCCTTCTGTTTTTGCAACGCAGGCTATGAGTTTACTAATCCAGGTGTTAGTTATACGTGTACAGGTTGGTACTTTGTTCATTTTACATGAAAGACAAATCAACATCATTATGACAGAATTGTATCACTTCAAATTGGAATATTAAACTTTTCATTAAACTAGTAAGTAGTCTTTGATCTGGAAATTATCAGTTTTGTTACACTCAAATTGTATATTAAAAAGTGCTTACACCAATTGGTAGTATTGTTTGCCATCAATTGTAGTTGAGCATATTGACAGTCATATTGATTTTATAACGGTTTTGATGAGTGTAACGGACTTTTACATATTTTGAATATCGTACCTCAATGACAGTCTGATGAATGTTTGCTTTCATCCCCTTACGTATTTGTCATGAGATTGATAGCGCATATTAATTCTACGATAAATGACCAGTGACCGATAATATATATATTATTATCATCAGTAATTAATCTATTTGGAGAATGTCGGTGAATATCATCTACATAACAGGCAACCACGCAAAGTGCTTTACTTTTGATATTTAATAGGAAATTACAGGACGTTCATCGGGTCATTTTCTAAGAACATTATCTATATGTTTATACATCAATAATCAACCTAATATTTATTACCTTTTATTTCCTATATTTTGAAAATTTATTAAATCAAATATTTGAATAATATTTTTCTTCTTTATATTACTACTTTATGTTTATGAAGTTATTGAAAACAAATTTGGGACTCGCACTTGCTTTATGTAAAAGTCGAAACTGGCATGAGTAACCGAATAAAATTTTATTTCGTATGGTATATCTTCTTTTTTGTCAACTTCATGACTCATATCTAAATGAAAAAGGTGTTTTAGAATCATTATATTTGTTTTTCATTTTGCTTTTAGTTGAAAATAAATGTAACAGTACCAGCCTTGCATGTGATTTGTTAAATGGGGGATGCAGTATCAACAGCACAGGAGACGCCTTCTGTTTTTGCAACGCAGGCTATGAGTTTACTAATCCAGGTGTTAGTTATACGTGTACAGGTTGGTACTTTGTTCATTTTACATGAAAGACAAATCAACATCATTATGACAGAATTGTATCACTTCAAATTGGAATATTAAACTTTTCATTAAACTAGTAAGTAGTCTTTGATCTGGAAATTATCAGTTTTGTTACACTCAAATTGTATATTAAAAAGTGCTTACACCAATTGGTAGTATTGTTTGCCATCAATTGTAGTTGAGCATATTGACAGTCATATTGATTTTATAACGGTTTTGATGAGTGTAACGGACTTTTACATATTTTGAATATCGTACCTCAATGACAGTCTGATGAATGTTTGCTTTCATCCCCTTACGTATTTGTCATGAGATTGATAGCGCATATTAATTCTACGATAAATGACCAGTGACCGATAATATATATATTATTATCATCAGTAATTAATCTATTTGGAGAATGTCGGTGAATATCATCTACATAACAGGCAACCACGCAAAGTGCTTTACTTTTGATATTTAATAGGAAATTACAGGACGTTCATCGGGTCATTTTCTAAGAACATTATCTATATGTTTATACATCAATAATCAACCTAATATTTATTACCTTTTATTTCCTATATTTTGAAAATTTATTAAATCAAATATTTGAATAATATTTTTCTTCTTTATATTACTACTTTATGTTTATGAAGTTATTGAAAACAAATTTGGGACTCGCACTTGCTTTATGTAAAAGTCGAAACTGGCATGAGTAACCGAATAAAATTTTATTTCGTATGGTATATCTTCTTTTTTGTCAACTTCATGACTCATATCTAAATGAAAAAGGTGTTTTAGAATCATTATATTTGTTTTTCATTTTGCTTTTAGTTGAAAATAAATGTAACAGTACCAGCCTTGCATGTGATTTGTTAAATGGGGGATGCAGTATCAACAGCACAGGAGACGCCTTCTGTTTTTGCAACGCAGGCTATGAGTTTACTAATCCAGGTGTTAGTTATACGTGTACAGGTTGGTACTTTGTTCATTTTACATGAAAGACAAATCAACATCATTATGACAGAATTGTATCACTTCAAATTGGAATATTAAACTTTTCATTAAACTAGTAAGTAGTCTTTGATCTGGAAATTATCAGTTTTGTTACACTCAAATTGTATATTAAAAAGTGCTTACACCAATTGGTAGTATTGTTTGCCATCAATTGTAGTTGAGCATATTGACAGTCATATTGATTTTATAACGGTTTTGATGAGTGTAACGGACTTTTACATATTTTGAATATCGTACCTCAATGACAGTCTGATGAATGTTTGCTTTCATCCCCTTACGTATTTGTCATGAGATTGATAGCGCATATTAATTCTACGATAAATGACCAGTGACCGATAATATATATATTATTATCATCAGTAATTAATCTATTTGGAGAATGTCGGTGAATATCATCTACATAACAGGCAACCACGCAAAGTGCTTTACTTTTGATATTTAATAGGAAATTACAGGACGTTCATCGGGTCATTTTCTAAGAACATTATCTATATGTTTATACATCAATAATCAACCTAATATTTATTACCTTTTATTTCCTATATTTTGAAAATTTATTAAATCAAATATTTGAATAATATTTTTCTTCTATATATTACTACTTTATGTTTATGAAGTTATTGAAAACAAATTTGGGACTCGCACTTGCTTTATGTAAAAGTCGAAACTGGCATGAGTATCCGAATAAAATTTTATTTCGTATGGTATATCTTCTTTTTTGTCAACTTCATGACTCGTATCTAAATGAAAAAGGTGTTTTAGAATCATTATATTTGTTTTTCATTTTGCTTTTAGTTGAAAATAAATGTAACAGTACCAGCCTTGCATGTGATTTGTTAAATGGGGGATGCAGTATCAACAGCACAGGAGACGCCTTCTGTTTTTGCAACGCAGGCTATGAGTTTACTAATCCAGGTGTTAGTTATACGTGTACAGGTTGGTACTTTGTTCATTTTACATGAAAGACAAATCAACATCATTCTGACAGAATTGTATCACTTCAAATTGGAATATTAAACTTTTCATTAAACTAGTAAGTAGTCTTTGATCTGGAAATTATCAGTTTTGTTACACCAATTGTAGAGTAGAAGGTCCACATTGGTCATAAAATCAAAATATTTTTAAACTAGCTCTGATTTTTACACTCATTTGTATGTATGAAATTGAAATTTTTCACAATAAAAAACTGTGTAGTTTTGGTGTGAAAAATGTATTATACAGCGATAAAATGACAAAAAAATCAGTAGAATTGCTTAACATTGAAAAATTATGACTATTTAACTTGGTAATGGTTCAAAATTATAATATTAAGTACAATGGTCAACCGAAGTGATATTCATACAATGTCTTGTGTTTATCGAATATTCACTAGAGAAAAAAAAACATTTTTTAACGACACCGAATGCAACTTTATTTTAGTTTAGCAAAAACGTTTTTAAATTTGTTTATTTTTGCTAGAAATCTGCTTATGACGTAAATAGGTCATTGTCAAATTGTGACCTCATGGCTTGGTTTATATTTACATTTTTAGAAAGCCTTTAGAATAATAAAATGTAAAAAAGGCCAAATAAAGTACGAAGTTGAAGAGCATTGAGGACCAAAAATTCCTAAAAGTTTTGCCAAATACAGCTAAGGTTATCTATTCCTGAGGTAGACAAGCCTTAGTATTTCAAATACTCAGAGTTTTGTAAACAGCTAATTTATAATTATGACCATATCAATGATAATTCATGTCAACACAGAAGTGCTGACTACTGGGCTGGTGATACCTTCGGGGAATAAAAACTCCACCAGCAGTGGCATCGACCCAGTGGTTGTAATATACACTCATAATAGATACCAGGATTGAAAATTAATATTTGCGCCAGACGCGCGTGTCGTCTACAAAAGACTCATCAGTGACACTTGAATAAAAAAATGTAAAAAAAGCCAAATAAAGTTAGAAGTTGAAGAGCATTGAGGACCAAAAAATCCTAAATGTTTTGCCAAATACAGCTAAGGTTATCTATTCCTGAGGTAGACAAGCCTTAGTATTTTAAATATGCAAAGTTTCGTAAACAGCTAATTTATAATTATGACCATATCAATGATAATTCATGTCAACACAGAAGTGCTGACTACTGGGCTGGTGATACCTTCGGGGAATAAAAACTCCACCAGCAGTGGAATCGATCCAGTGGTTGTAAATAAACTCATCATAGATACCAGGATTGAAAATTAATATTTGCGCCAGACGCGCGTTTCGTCTACAAACCTCATCAGTGACGCTTGAATAAAAAAAATGTAAAAATGGCTAAATAAAGTACGAAGTTGAAGAGCATTGAGGACCAAAAAATCTTAAAAGTTTTGCCAAATACAGCTAAGGTTATCTATTCCTGAGGTAGACAAGCCTTAGTATTTTAAATATGCAAAGTTTTGTAAACAGCTGATTTATAATTATGACCATATCAATGATAATTCATGTCAATACAGAAGTGCTGACTACTGGGCTGGCGATACCCTCGAGGAAACGTCTAAAGATACTAAAGGGAACCATTGTACAACAATATGTATTGTTTCATTGAACTTAATAGAAACTTAGGATTTTGTCGCTTATCGAATAAACATTTTTACAGAAAATCCACAAACTTTATTACTTTATGATTTTTCTTTATAACATTTTAAACATAGATTGATCCCTTTTTATACGCCCGTTTACGGGACGTATTATGGTATACCGTTGTCCGTCTGTCCGTCCGTCTGTCCGTCCGTCCGTCTGTCCGTCCGTCCGTCCGTCTGTCCGTCCGTCCGTCGTCAACATGTCGGACATTAATTCAAAAACACTTTAACCAATATACATGAAACTTTGGTGAATTGTTCATATCTATTGACCTGAGCTCCCTTTCGTTTTTTTATAAATTTCGGATTTACCGTTTTCGAGTTTTGGGGTTTTATTCATTAAAAAAGGGGTGATTTTCCAGTTTTCAGACAATAACTCAAAAAATATATCACCAATTTGCATGAAACTTTTATGAATTGTTCATATCTACTGACGTGAGCTCCCTTTCGTTTTTTATAAATTTCGGATTTACCGTTTTTGAGTTTTGGGGTTTTATTCATTAAAAAAGGGGGGATTTTCCAGTTTTCAGACAATAACTCAAAAACAATTTCACCAATTTGCAAGAAACTTTGGTGAATTGTTTATTTCTGTCGACATGAGCTCCCTTTTGATCTTTATGAATTTCAGATAATACGTTTCCGATTTATGGGGTTTTATTCATTACAAAAAGGGGGATTTTCCAGTTTTCAGACAATAACTCAAAAATGCTTTCAGCATTTTTTATGAAACTTTTATAAATTGTTTATATCTATTTTTGTGAGCTCCCTTTTGATTTTGATAAATTTTTGATTTTGCGTTTCCAAGTTATAAGATTTTATTTGTTTATAGTCTGACAACAGATTTACTAAGTATTGCGCAACAGCACAGTGTATTGCACAACAGCAAGAAATCTTTCATATAACCAATTTCAAGTTCTTTAATACATTTATTCAGAAACCTATAATATATCAAATATTTAATTACAATCCAAATTCAGACCTGTATCAAGCTTGAATATTGTGTCCATTTTTGCCACAACTGTTCAGGGTTGGACCTCTGCGGGCGTATCCAGCTGCGCTCAGCGAAGCAGTTTATTTGTCTATGTTTTGGTACAGTTTTGTTGGTTTCCAAATTTCCTTGACAGCCTTAAAAATCCAAAAAACCTCGTGCCCAGCCAATAAAGTCGAGCACTACCTAGAAGCGGTACTTGTAAACGATCATAATTTTACTTTTTAATATCTTTATTTTAAAAACTTGTTTTGAAGAAATCACTTCTAGCACTGCATGCATTAATCCTCTATCTATTAAGTACAAAATTATTAAATATAAGAGTAGGAGAGGAAAGGCTGTCGATTATCTGTAATATGACTTTATGTTTGCATTGAAATAACAAAAGGGTACATAATCCTTAAGTTCCATTGTGTACCTCCTCTATTTTTTAGTACTATGAAACCCTTTAAGTTACTTTCCGTATCAAAGCATGAATAACATAAATGGCATAGCGACTACATGTATACATTCCTTTTAATAAACATTTATCTCAAGTAAATTTCTGACAAACGATTTCCCATGTTACACCAATATTTAGTAGTTATGTTCATTATTTTAAAGAGGAAAAAAAAGAAAGACAACCTTTTCCGTCCAATGAAATATGCTAGTTTTCGATCTGTTTTAAAAGGCACATATTCTATTCCTTTTCTCAGTTTTATAAAAAGACCTATGAAATTTAAAACTTACTGTCAATAGAAAGAACTCAATTCCGTATTTCTGTTAACTGCTTACATGATTAAAGTTAAAAAAAACATCTTTGCTTCTTATAGCTCATTTCGTTATGTTATGTGGGACGTTATTCTCCTATAAACAATGTATAATCCAATCCATGTTCCTTCTTCTCAAATGCTTAGATTCACAAAAAAACACAGACAACACCTTAAATAAAAAGACTATTTTACAAACATAATTAACAGCTGAAGGATGGACTAACAATTGTACATCTCGTCCCGAATAGCAAAATTTAATGGCTGTTCTAATAAATATATTTCAGATGAAAACGAGTGTGTCTTACAAACACATTCTTGTAATCAGAGGTGCATCAACAAAGCTGGAGGTTATCTATGTTCTTGTAAGGATGGTTTTGTGTTAACAGGGAACACAACATGTCAAAGTAAGAGTGATTTAATATTGATTCAAATACTTTGATATGAACCAGTTATCAAGAAGAGGGGAATGGAACTATGTGGTCTTGTTATTTCCCTATAATAAACCAAGAACTATCATGCCCCTGAATAACAAAATGAAAAGAATGTATGACTAGAATTATAACTAAAAAAATAGGGCTTTTATATTTTGAAACCTCTTCTACTTTCTTCAGGGTTTCTATAGGGTAATGTTTCATTGACGCAAAGCCAACAACTTCTTTTTCATATTTCTGTTAAAATATTTTAATCTACTTTTTATGTATTTTAATGTCAACCAATGCCATTGCTGTGTTAAGTCAGTAGACATTCTTTCCAAAAATTAAAATTTTACGCATAAACAAGCATACAGACCTATATTTTTTACATTGTTTGTGCTGTATATACATTTTGGTTTTGGAAAACTGCGTTTGTAAAAATAATTCCATTTTGAGTAATATTTGATAATGTTTGAATTTATTGGTCTGATATACTCCTTATGCGGCTGTTTAAACGAAAATTAGGTATTACCAATATACATTTCTATTTACTTTCAGACATAGATGAGTGTATATTGTTAAACAATAACTGTGAGCAGATATGTGTTGATACAATAGGAAGTTTCAACTGTTCATGTAGGGATGGTTTTGTATTGAACTCAGATCAAAGAAGCTGTAATAAAGGTAACTTATTCACATTCTGGATTTTGTGTATAACTCATTAAGATATCACCTGTCACAAACTTTCAATTAAACTTAGTTGAAATCACATCACAAAGCTAATTTGCTTTGCCATGAATTACATTTTGAATGTAGGCAAGCTAGACAATCCATGATACAGATGTTTTATAAAGATACCTTTTTTTCCAAAATGTCTGTTTGTCATATGCCAGTTATCCACGAACTTATTTTCATAATCAGTGACTCTACTATAAAATAAAAGAAATATAAAATTTTATGATAAGGTGATTTTTTCAATTACTATTGAAGATTAGTTAACTTTTTTGTTGGTCTATTGATTGATTTTTGTCTGCAATGAAAAGTGTAACATAGTGCTGCTAATCAATCTGCTGTTACAGTGTTTAAAGTTGTTGCTGAAACATGATAATGAGCTCAAAGACAATGGACATATGACAAACTTAAGGCATCTATACACAACTTGTGAAGCATCGAGGTCGTCCTTCAGAAATTAAAAGCTATATATATATATGATATATATAAACGACTAAAAAGTGTACAAAACAACACCAATATGAAAAAAAAGAAACATGAAATGTAATTATCTATAAATATTTCGGATAACAGATATCCTTCTTCAGTATGATAATGATGTAAAATGAATCATATCAATCTATTCTCTCTCTATATATAGCATGCTGTTAAATTTCTGAAGGACAATCTTTATACAATAGAAATATATAATCTGTCTTGCAAGTATCCATGTATAATATGTAGTTATCCTATTACTCATAATAAGTGCAAAATTTAGTTAAAAATACTATAGAGTGTTTTAACATATTGGTAAATGTTAAATAAATATTGACAAATAATAATAACTGCTTATCAATCTGCTGTTACAGTGTTTTAAGTTGTTGATAAACCATGATAATGAGCTATACATCATATTATTTGTGTTTAGATGTCTTAAGTCTGTCATATGTCCATTGTCTTTGAGCTCATTATCATGGTTCAGCAACAACTTAAAACACTCTATAGTATTTTTAACTAAATTTTGCACTTATTATGAGTAGTAGGATGACTACATTTTATACATGGATACTTGCAAGACAGATTCCACCTGACCTTGATCTCGCCATTGTAAATAGTACAAATAAAAATGTATTATTTTGTTTTAAAAAAATACAACCGTCCGGCAGGTTTTATCTGACCTCAACCTCATTTTCAAGGTTCGTTGGTAAATATTTAATTTTTATGCTTAGGTCTGTGTTTCAGATAGTTAAAGCAATATGTTAACTATATTTGATGTATGGATGATTTTACGGTGTACATGTATGTCTGTTAGGTTCATCTGACCTTGATATCATTTTCTTGGTTCATTGGTCAATGTAAAGTTATCATTGGTTAATGCTATGTTTTCATGGTTTTGTCCATTTCTCAGATACTATAAACAATGAATCAACTGTACTTGTATAGAACTATGAAATGTGTACATGTCAGTCTGGCAGGGTTCTTATCTGACCTAGACTTCATTGTCCTGGTTTTTTTTCATGGTTAGGTCTGTTTCTCAGATAGTATAAGCAATAGCTCGACTATATTTGATGTATGGAATGATTTGATGGTGTGCATGTGTGTCTGGTTGGTTCATCTGACCTTGATATCATTTTCATGGTTCATAGGTCAACCTTAAGATATCATTGTTAGGTTTGTTTCTGAAATAGTTGATTGCATGATCAAGTCTGCATCTAAAAAACTATAAACAATGGGTCGAAAATATTGGGAGTAAGGATTGATTGTTAGATGCACATGTCCCTCTGGCATGTATTGTTCATCTTACATTGACTTCATTTAAATTGATCATTGATGATGTTAGGTTTATGTGATACTTGTATTAAAACCTTTATCATAAAGACTTTCAACATGATATTAATATGAACCATGATTAGTAAAGCAGGAGAGACAGTTCAGCGTGTGCAATCTTCTGATCTTATCAAGCAGGTTTTAAAAAATATGCTATCAAAGAAACTTGCTACAGTACCTTTAATTCAAAGATTCATGCATAAACTTGTTATTCTACAAATGCATATAATTTGATTTGATATATTTTTCTTTGCTGCATTGATAAATCAACTTTCCAATGTAACTTGACAATTTAAATTTAAAAAATGCAGGCATTATTTCTAAATGTACAGTATTAAACTGTAAATACGTTTTTTTTGCTGCAGATTATGACCCATGTGGAAATAAGAATATCAACTGTAGCTATGGATGCGTACTAGAGAACAGTGCACCTGTCTGCTATTGTCCAGAAAATTATGAACTCAGCATAGATGACAACCAGACATGCTCAGGTAAATTCTTTTACCCCATTGTAAACCAGATTCCTAATTTGTGATAAAATCACTGTGTACGTAATAACATTTGCAGGGCTCCCGTTACCTCATATTATTATAAATGATGACAAGTCATCATGTTCATTGTTCTCATAGGAGATCACTCACAAGATGACTATCGGAGCCTCTTACATTTTCTTTTGATATTTTATGTTTCTGAAAACTTGTAAAATATACAACAAGGTTGCAGGTCAGTGGAGGGTTGAATGCTCACAAATATGGTTTACACTGCTGCATTATAAATAAGTCGGAACCTTTATATCAGTGGTTGTCCTTGGTTGCTGTCTGTCATACTGGACATTCATTATTATTCGTGCGATACCAATGTTTGCTGATTTCGGGGTTAAAGATTGAACAAGTAAAGAAGTTGTGCAAATCATTCTGTTCATCTAAGCTATTTATGTCTTTGATCCATTTTAAAAAGGTTAATTTTGTAACCATGTTGATTTAACGAACTCATTTATTTTGCTGTGTGTTCTATCTTTTCTGCTATACAGTGTAGATTTACAGATGATACTTATTATATGATTATGCTTTGAAAAGAGTACCGACTAACTTTCTTTACATATGGAAAAACACCTTTACTACAAATGATTCAAAATTAATAACATTTTAAATATTTTTGTAGTTGTATACAGATCAGTTGAGATCTCCATGACCACAGATTATCCATACGCAAGTGAAATGGCAGATCCTTCCACAGATGAATTCAAACATGCAAGAGTTGATATTAAAGTAGCAGTAAGTCAGATTCTTCTTAATAATATGCCCTTAAAGATCTCAGTTATTTAATAATAGTTCTGGAATTTGAATGAAAGCTGGTTTAAATCCAGTTAAGAGTGTTCTAGCACCTGAACAGCTGACACCAGAATTTTGCCTATGAACTGTTCCATCAAACATATACAAAAGATATAAGAAGATGTGGTATGAGTGCCAATGAGACAACTCTCCATCAAAGTCAAAATTTATAAAAGTAAACCATTATAGATCAAAGTACGGTCTTCAACACGGAGCATTGGCTCACACCGAACAGCAAGCTATAAAGGGCCCCAAAAATTACTAGTGTTAAACCATTCAAACGGGAAAACTAACGGTCTTATCTATATAACTATATAAAAAACGAGAAAGGAGAAACACTTATGAACCACATCAACAGAAGACAACTACTGAACATTAGATTCCTAACTTAGGACAGGTGCAAACAATTGCAGCGGGTTTAAACGTTTTTATGGTACCAAATTTTCACCCTTATCTGAAACAATAGTGTAACATCACAACATAGAAAGACACACTATAATATATAAATTGAAATGGCTTTACTCAATCAAAAGACATATTAACACCAGTGAACATACACTAAACAAATAAACTTGATCTATGATACAATGTAAATACAAAAAAAAAAAATTAAGGGAAGAATAATTAAAGTAACATGTTATACCGCTGTGAAATGTTAAACAATTTAGGAAAAACAATATGCTTGAACAAAATAATCAGCCATTTGCAATTACTTTAAACCCAGGTAAATGAAAATAATTTTGTTGTTAGGTATACGTGTACAGTTGAAATGGAGAAAAGAAATATTTTTGCAAAAATAAATAATTTTGATGTTTATAGTACGAAGAAGTGAAAATTTATAGTAATACCAAACACTTATCAAAGCTGGTATATATATATATATATATAGACCAGATATAACCCTAAAAAAGTAAACATTAAATAACAAAAAAGCATTACAATTAGTATCAACAGGTCAAATAAACAAGAAAGTACGATTTGAGAGTACTCGCAGTTACTGACAGCTAGTTAAAAGCCAAAACAATTAATGATAAAAAAATCATGCATCAGAGACTTAAATCAATTAAAACACATCCCAGGAATTTAGTATTTTAACGTCATGGACAGTCAAAGAAGACATGACTTGTGCAATGCCAAAAATAAATGTATCGACAGTCAGGAGTTAACCTCTTTATAGATCAAAATGAACGTGAGTGTGTCTTTATACATTCCGTTTAAAAAGAATACAAATTTAGTTATGTTTTAGTTTGCTGATGACAAAATCGATATTAGTGCCAATGTAAACTATATTCAAAGATCTAATTACAACATTGGTAAGATAACCTTTACTAATAAGTTTGTTTAAAGGTTCGATGAGTTTACACAGATCACATGGAGATTTCCGCGCTTTAGTAAAATATTACCGTAAAATTTAGGATGTGAAATACCGTTTTTAATCAGTTTTCTACAGGTACAGCCAAATTTACTAATCAAATCTTTGTATCTATGAAGGAAATTAATTTAAATTCTAATTCGTAAACTCAAACGAACATAAAATATTTATCAAATAACCACAAACTCTTACATGGGAGACGCCACTTGCAGAGACAAGCGCACATTTTATCATAAATATGAGTATAATATTGTGGAAAGTTCATATAAATACACAGGTATTAAGCAGCTTGTACATATACTGGTTTCCCCATACTAGTGGTCTACAAATCTGAAAATAAATAATATAATTAATAATATTATTTATTTGTCAAAATGCTACTGTACACTTTGACTGCAATGGCTCGAATGACTTTAAACCACATGAGTTCACTCGTGCATTAACTCAATATCCCAATCGAACCGACCTTTCTATAATTAACCAAACACTAGTCAACTATAAACAAACAACATTTTTACATGTTCGATTTTTGTACAACTTTGATAAATACATAAAAGTTTTACGTAATTTATGGTAACAAAATCCCTGACTTAATAATTTACAAGTAGTGCATTGATTACGTTCGTTAAAACCTATGACATCACTACACACATGGGCATAACGAACGAGTTGGGATATTTAAACACCGTAAGATGGAGCCAAAGGAACATTGCCGTCTAAAAAAGGAAAACTAACAATAGGGAATGAAAAGTCGTCTCTTTTGTCGTAAATTTTAGTATGGAGTTTTCCTTTAGAGATTGAAATGTCCAAATGTCCAAATCTAGAAAGAGACAACTACTGCTGTTTATGTTAGATTTAGTTAAAGTAAGTTCTTTTGGGTAAATTTTGGTAGTATATTTAGAGAACTCTGTATAATATAACGAAAAAATATCATCCAGATAACAGAAGGTATTATTGAATGTGTCAACCAAGTGTAACAATGACGTGTATTTACTGATCATGAGTTTGGTCATCAACTGAGATTCATAGCAATACAGGAATAAATCTGCTAGTAAAGGAGCGCAGTTAGTGCCCATAGGTATAACTACTACTTGTCGATACACTTTGTCGCCGAAACGTACATTTATGTTGTCCACGAGAAAATTTAAAGCTTCAATCATATCTTCACATTTCCAGTAAGTGTACCTAGCATACTTTCCTTTTTCGTTACGGAAAAAGGCTTTAAACCAGTTACAGCAAATAAATTTGCAATGAGATTTTTCAAAAGACCATTTAATTAAATATGAAAACTTTTTCTTGATAAAATTGTGTGGAAGTGTAGTATAGAGAGTGGAAAAATCATAACCGTCAACAGAATTAAAAAGACCATCAAAAGCATGTATTTTATCTAAAACCTCTAAGGAATGTTTAACACTCCAAAAATAATTAGTACCATTATTTTCATAAGCTTTACTACAGAAGTTAATAACAAGTTCTTTGATTGAAGTAAGGAGGGTAGTTAGACGCACTGATAGATTGGTTGTAGAACACTTACTAGATGCGGAGTTAAACGGCATTTAAATGTTTTTTTGTGCAATTTAGGTAACCAGTACATAGTAGGGACTTTCAAATGTTCGGAAGAGGCTTTAAGCTGGATAGTGGCAGTGATATGCTTGTTTACAATTTGACACTCTGTGGAGCGTACGGACCGGAATGTAGAAGAATTTATAATTTCGTTTTGGAGAACTTTCGTGTAGTATATGCGTCACACCACCACTACATTATTTGCTGCTTTGTCTGCCGGTACGAACACAAACCGCATTGCGAGTACTTGGAGTTTATTTTTTATTCTAGAAATGGGAATATCATGGACCTTATTACTAATTTCAGGATTTTTTTCAAAATGAGATATACGAATATTAACAGTATTCATAATTTTATTCAAATAACTGTCTAGAGATATTTTATCAGATTTTTCACGTTTACACCAATTTTTACAGCAGACAGACAGAGCGTCTTTAATGACCTGACGACACTGTTTCCAATCTATTTTAGATGGAGGACGATATTTCGGTCCTTTCTTAAGAAAAGTTATGACCTCACGGTCTTCGACGATGTTGAGGTATCCTGTAAGGACATGACCATAGGGAACATATCTAAAACTAGATGTTTCACAGTCTCAAGTGGAAGGAACAATATTTCCTATATTGACGTCTAATGTAACTGAAGTATAATTAAAAATCAAACTTCTGCTGGGTCTTTTGTACGAATACGAAATAATAGGTGGTTCTATATTATCAAAATATGGAGGTATTTGGCTTTGGATGGTAGAGTCATTGAATATACTAGATAAGTTAATAAAATCAATACCTCTATTTATATATTTTAATTTAAGAAAATGCCATGTATGATTTTCAGGGTTATCGATACTAGGAAACAGCCTATGTTGACAAAATGCTGTAATAATACGGGTGTATTCATACATTGGGCTAAAAAAAGAAATTTTATCACACTCCAGAAAAATAGCATATAATTTACTTATTGGTATCTGACCCAGTTTGCATAATACTTGATGTCTGCCATTATTTTTTATTATAGATAACAGATCAGCAAGTGTATAATTTATACGATGTTTAATACGTTGATTACGGTTTTTGCGTTTGCCATGAGACCTTTTATTTCTAAGTCGTTTATTGACAATATTAATGACATATGTTGAAGTTTTAGTTATGTTCCCCTGTCCTAATATTTTGTCATTAAGACCGAGAGGATAAGCTGTTTGAAGTCTTTTTATCCAAAATAATTCACGAACTTCACATGATTTTTCAAATTGCTTGTGTGATTCTCCTGGTTGTTTCTGAACGATTTCAAGTGGTTGGAATTTTATAAATTTTAGATTGTGATTATGCTTATCTAAATGTTGATATATCATACTTTTGAATTTTTTAGGTCTACGAATGCGGTAAAGGTGTTTTTCATTTCTTTTGTAATACTCTTGTCCCGTCTGTCCCACATTTGGAATACCACACTTAGGTTGGGTTATAGTTACCACATATATAGGGTTTTGAGTTTTTCAGGTAATGTCACAGGAAAAGGAGAGCGAAAAATGTGGAACGCTACAGCTGTCTTATGTGGAACTCTGATATTACGTTATGTTGTTCTATTATTACTTGATGATAGTTTGTCTTTACATAATATGGTTTTGACATTACGTAATGATGGTTTGATATAACTCAATATGGAAAAGTCATTACATAATGATATTTCGATATTACATGATATGGTTTCGTATTGACTTGATATGGTTTTGTCATTACTTAATATGGTTCTGTCATAACTCGATGTGGTTTCACTATTATTTAATATGGTTATGTCATTAGGCAATGTGGTTTTAACATTACTTGATGTGTATGCGACATCACGTAATGTAGTTGTTTCATTACATGATGTGGTTTTGTTATTTCGTAATGATGATTTGTCAATTCTTTATATGGCTTTAACATTATGTAATGATGTTTCAAAATTTGACGATTTTACACTACTTGATGTGTTTGTTTCAGTATTTGATGTGGTCATGTCATTCTTTGATGTGGTTGTCCCATTACTACTACAAGGTAAAACCACGTGACCATTTTGGAAAAAAATATGTTCTGTTTTTAGACCGATTTCCATATGTCGTTTGTGTAATGTGCTTTGGATGAGTACCGCTATTCATTAAGTTAAAGTTCAAATTAAAGTTCAAGTTGTTGTTCATAGTTATTTGGTATGAAAAAGGGAAACGACAGACAAAATTAAGACGGGACGTATTATGGTATACAAATGTCGTCTGTCCGTCTGTCTGTCCGGCGTAAACATGTCGCACCGTAACTTGAGAACGACTTATCCAAATTTCATGAAACTTAAAATAGTTGTTTCTAATGATAGTCAAACGATCTGTATACTTTTTGGTGAAAATAAGATTAAAACTTTTTGAGTCACGGGACTTAGTAACTAAAACAGGTGTGTGTTTTTTTTCACATGTCGCGCGGTATCTCAAAAACAATTTATGATTCTTGCTTAAAACTTTACAAACCTCTTAGTTATATTAATCTTAAGATCTGTATACTTATTGGTGATGATTCAAAATTTTATTTTTGAGTTATTGAGTATTTTGTAAAAAAAGGGGAGGGGTTTTCACATGTCGCGCAGTATCTTAAAAAACGATTTATGAATATTGCTTAAAATTTTACACACTTCTTAGTTATATTAATCTAAAGATCTGTATACTTTTTGGTTTTGATTCAAAACTACTATTTTAGAGATACTGTTTTTTTTGTAAAAAAAAGGGTGTTTTCGCATGTCGCGCCGTATGTCAGAAACTATTTATGATTATTGCATAAAAATTCACACAAAAGACGACGGACGTATCATGCGCTCATGGCGCAGCTGTTTATTCGTAGATTGTTTAGCTATAACTAGACCGTTAGTTTTCTCGTTTGAATTGTTTCACATTTTCACGTGGTGGTCTTTTGTGGCCGACTATACGGTGTGTTGCATCCACTGCATTTAAACTATGGTGGATAATTTTCTCATTGGCAACCACACCACATCTAACTTTATTTCAATTTCTATGTTGCGTTTTGTATGCTGTAAAATTGTTTATCTTTTGTACGCATACCTACCCCTGAACCCTCTTTTCGGAAGCTCGAGCAAAAGCCCTTGATCCACGATAAAAAAAATAGAACTCATATTAGATAACTCGAATTTCAACTCTTAATCTTAATCTAAATGAGACTCAAATAAGGGTTTACCTCGATCTCTAAGTCAAAAGGTGACTCAATTTAAAAGTTTAAGTCCAATTGTAATTCGGAACTCTATCTTTAAATGTGACTCAAACTCGAAGTTCAACTCGAAATTTGGCATGTGGTGGAGAGTTGTCTCATTGGCAATCATACCACATTTCTTTATTTCCATATAAGGTTTTTTTAATGCATTAAATATTACCAAATTAAACTTTTTTGACATGATAAATTTGTAAACCTCCATGAATTGTTATTAAACTTGCATAGGAGTTATTCTTCAAGATCAAGATAAAAGCATCAACAGAAAAACATCTTTTCCTCCCTTAAGTGTACCGGTTAATGTACAGTCAGTCAACATTTAATTTACGCTTTTACACTGACAGCAGAATTATCCGGCGAGACACTGGGTTAATAAGAATCTTTAATTCATCTATTAATTTACAGCTTCCATTTGAGAACTAAGGAAAAAACGGCAGGACCAAATGGTTTGGGATATGTCCGAATTACTGTTAATTTTTTTTAGTACTTTTTTTCTTATTTTTGTCTGTCGTTCCTTTTTTCATACCAAATAACTATGAACAACAACTTGAACTTTAATTTGAACTTTAACTTAATGGATAGCGGTACTCATCCAAAGCGCATTAAACAAACGACATATGGAAATACTGAAACAAACACACCATGTAGTCTACATTACGTTAAGTCACATGCACATCAAGTAATGTTAAAACCACATTGCCTAATGACACAACCACATTTAATAATGGTGAAACCACATCGAGTAATGACAAAACCATATTAAGTAATGACAAAACTATATCAAGTCAATACGAAACCATATCATGTACTATCGGAATATCATTAAGGTCAAAGTACGGTCTTCAACACGGAGCCTTGGCTCACACCGAACAGCAAGCTATAAAGAGCCCCGAAATTACTAGTGTAAAACCATTCAAACGGGAAAACCAACAGTCTAATCTATATAAAAAACGAAAAACAAGAAACACTTATGAACCACATTAACAAACGACAACTACTGAACATCAGATTCCTGACTTAGGACAGGTGCAATCAAGTATGGTATACAAAGAAGGCACTGAAAAAATACAGTAACTATCTTATGGAAGGATTTTTTCTCCCTCATGCTTCGCGCTGCTGGGTATATGGTCGTTTTTCAAACATAAGTCCATCCAAAACACATCAATACTCAAAAACCGTTTGACATAAAGCTTTCATACTTGATAGGAGTATTTGTTGTCTAAGTCTGTTGACTCAAGGAAGCTGGGGTGTCTAAATGTTCCACGATGAATTTTTCTAAAACTTCTTTTTAAGACTTCTAGGTAAATGAACTTTCTAATTTTGATATAAAAACTGGGGGTCAAGAACCTTGTTTTTTCGTTAAAATACAAGGAAATCACGAAAACACAATTATGTTATATGGGTTACATAGGGGGATTCTAACGATAAAATTGGCTAAAATTCAATAAGAGAATTGCATTTTATAAATATTTCCGAAATATCAACAAACAATAGTGGATCACGGGCCTTATTTTCTTGAAAAATCAAAACAACATAAATTGGCTTATCACATTCAGTATAATTATCTGCCCATGATTTTAAAAGGAATTTTTCTGAAAAATTTTAAATACGCTTAATGACATATGCATTTTTGATAATTCAGTATGCTAATTTCAGGTTTAAGAAGTTTTTGTTGCATTTGAATGCTCCTTTGAAAAATATTTATAAACCGAAAAAGTGTGTTTGCAACATACCCACAAGGGATGCTCAGAAAAAGACACCCGATCTAAAGTAACTGTGCTATATCGTCAATGAGATTCAACAATTTTTACAGGACTTTTATAGGACTGGTTAATTTTTTGGTATTGTAACAATTCCACCATATCAACGCAACTCTTCTGCGTCCGTTTTACAGAAAACTTTCATTTTTTTTGTAGGACTGTTTGCTATCATATATAGTTGACCATGTGATACTGTCGTTTTGATCTTAACATTTTTATGGAAGTTATGGGACTTTGACCATATTTTGTAACAATAATACCTTTATGAGAGTTATGGGACTTTTATATTTTGGAGTATTGTGACAATAACTACTTTATGCGAGTTATGGGACTTTGACTATATTTTGGAGTATTGTGACAATGACACCTTTTGAATGCAGCTCCTCTGTGACCAATTGACAGAAAACTCGAATACTTAGTAGGGTTGTTTGCCATCATGTGTAGAAGATCATATTGAACCTTCATTTTGATTTGACCATTTTTTAATAGTAGATTATGATTTTACTATATTTTCACTTTCGTATTACAAGGACACATTGTGAAACACACTTTAATTCCGCATTCGTATAGCAAAGGGGGGGGGGGGGGGGGGGGGGGCGTTCACTATGGCGTAGCAATCTTGTAGATTTTTACTAACATTTTCAATATACAAAAAGTATTTTACATCAACCCATATTTGAGATTTCCGATAACCTCCTCTACCGGTACGTAACCCGTCTAAAATAGCAAGTCGAAAATACATCAAATCAAATAATATTATTACATAATCACAAGTGTTATTGATTTGGTTATCATTTTCCAGATACGAATGTTTTATATTTAGTCTCCGATAGTGGTGAATTTCTGAATTTCGGAAATAATTGGAGAATGTTTCTTTTTTTTCAGTTGTATTACAGATACAGCAATATTCCTGGATTTTTATCATTAACTGTTATTAGCTTTTCGTAAGTAATTAACTCTGTAATCTAAAAGGGACTCTCATTGTGATGAAACCTTTATGTGCTGACATGACATGTTCCAATGAATTATTCAATCATTCAATCCTTGTATAATCTTCAACATCATTGTTTAAAGATTAATGCTGTTCATGACCAAATACTGTGTAATCAGATATAAATGTGATGCATGTACTATGTATAGATTAAACAAAATGAACATCTCAATGATTGAGATGCGATGCATACCAAATTTAGCAAGTAGTACTCTTTTCTTACATGTATATAATGGCATTAATTGATAATGTATTCGAATATGTTGTCTAAAAATCATACTTTAAACAAAGCATTGCTATTAAAGGTTATTTGCATTTTTTTAGTATGTTGTTCTATGTAATACTTTGAACTGCTGGAGCAATACCAAGTTGCATACCTATCATTTATATTATCTGCACAAAGCTTCAGCCAAAGAGAATATGATGTATAAAGATATGACTTTATCATGATAAATAATAAGGTAGAATTGCATCATTATGTTCTTCAAGGAATGACAAAGATGCACATTCAATTCAAAATACGAATAACTTGCACATTTGCAAGTGAGGTTTTTAACATGTAAATTAGGTTGGTTTCATATGTGCATTTTTTGCAACTCTAAAAATGCTCATAAATTCGAAAGTTAAAAACTTCACATGAAAACAGGAAAGTGTCTCATATTAGATTTAACATAAAAACCTTAATTGCAACGTGTTACCACCAATATATCAGGGTCATAGGAGCAAAATGAATTTAAAAAATCAAAAAAAAATCATTTAAGAACAATAATACACCCAACCAACCAAATGAAAACCCTGTAAAATATAAGGAGTAAAAACTTAAAAGTCGAACTTTACATCATTCCAAATGATCTATGTTAACTTGATCTCTTTCTGATTAGCATACAAATTGCCAATGATTCTATATCAATCTATTGAACAAAGATGTGTAATGTATATTATTTGATTATCAAATTGTTAAATGTACGTATGCATGACATGTATTCTAAATGGTTTGATAATATTTTTACTTTTCATAATATCATAAAACTAACTAACTTATAATCAGTATAATTTTGCTCAAACTTTTTTTAACTTGCAGGTTTGGTAGTACAATTGTTCAATATACGGTTGTATTTAACCAAAGTTTGAGTGACAGTAAAATAATTGAGATTGCCAGTGTCACTAATAATATAACACATATAACTGTACTAGAGAAGCCATACGGTGTAACAGGAGAAACTTTTGTCAACTACCAAAAAACAAATCAGGGTAAGAAGCTGCCTTGTACAAACGCTATAGAGACCTTTTACATCTCTCTTTTGCAACCCATAAAACTTATTTTATTCAGCAAAAATAAATCATCTTATTTTATGTCAAAACTGAAAATGATTGACCAAGTACTAGTATGTATTGCCATTTTTTTACACCACTGATGATTGTTATGAAACACCACTGAACGTTATAAAAATGTATTCAGTCCAATTTCTTTGCAAAGGGAAATTCTGTTTTAGAAATAATATCCTTAGATAGATGTCTTAACAGAAACAAAATGATAACACCAAATGCAGCATGCCTCAAATAAACTAGAAAACAATTAAATTTAATGATGAACAATTTGGATAATTAGAGACGATTTCATGATTAGGTTTTAATCCCTTGCCTACAAAAATAGAGGGCACTGAACTGTCTATAAATTCGTCTATTAGTCCTTTCGTTCCTCCGTCTGTCCCAAATCAGTTTTGTTTTGAGATTGTATACCATGAAGTAGTGGAATATGTTTTAAAAACTAGAATCTTTTGTTTTGCTTTGCTTGCTTACGTATTACAATTGTGTGTATGTTGTTTCTGTATTTTTCAGAGCCGTTAACCTGTACATTGTGTAAAGCAAATCATACATGTGTAATACTAAAAACAAATACTTATGAATGCAGACCACCATTGTGTAAGTTAAGTTATATTTGTATGATTAAGAAATTATGTTTTTTCATATCATACCCAATGCACTTAGAGTTGTGGAGGAACGTGTATATTAAAATCACATTGAAAATCTGTCTGTACTAAATTTTTGTCAGATCAGCTCCTACAAAGTTCGTATTGGTGTCCAATAAATTTTTGACATACTAAGAGACTTAAATTGCCTTAGCGGTTTCATAGCATGATCAGCCATAAAGTAGGTGGATTGAAATTTGAGATTGTTGCTTCTATATATTTAGAAATAAGGGGAAACACTCATCTGCTCAGTTGGAATAACGGAAGCTTACGGGTGACATGTTTTTTTTCTGCAAACTGTCATCTTGTGAGCTAACAAATGTCCTATCTGAAGAAGCTTATTGGTTTAGTACAAAACATATAATTGTTCTGAAAATACATGTCATATGTTCTGCTTGTCATTAATCTGCTATCAATAAATGAATCAGATGTCTTAAAGTTAATTATATTGAATTGAACATTATATATATAACATACAATTTATCTCTCTTTTAAAATATTTGTCATTATCATGATGAAATTTCTACTTTTAAAATGAAAGTAACACAATTTTTTTTGATATGTTTAAACTTAAGCTAACCTGTGCTAAAAGGCAAGTGAGCTGGGTTTTTTCAGAAATCTTCTCTGAAACTACTAGGCTAAATGCTACTAGTCTTTACCTGAATGCATTTGTTTCTTAGAGAATTTAATTTGAAAATTATATCCCAAGATTTGATCAATCAACAATCATGGCAGTTATTGCTAATATTGAAAAATATTGGGGGAACTGCATTTTAGACCCTAACTGACATGGGTAAAAATTATCAGCTAGTTTCTGCTTTAAATATAAACTCATCATTAATACCAGGATTAACATTTCATACGCCAGTCGGGCATTTTGTCCAAAAAAGACTCATCAGAGTAGCTCGACTCAAAAAAGTGAAAAGGCCAAATAAAGTACGAAGTTGGAGAGCATTGAGAACCAAAACTTCCGAAACGTTTTGCCAAGTACAGCAACGATAATCTATTCCTAGAGTAGAACATCCTGAAATTTCAGAAAAATCAAACAAACCATTTTGGATTAATTGCCCCTCAAGTTTTAGAAAATTTCACGGTTTTTGACTATTATCTTGAACACTATTAATGAAAATGAGAAACTTCAACAGTTTAAATTGACCATAAAAACACCAAGTTGAACTTGTCGAAATTGTCAGTTGACCCCTTATAGAAAGCATTGCCTATGAAAGATGATTTTTACTCTTTTGCACTTTTAGCAGAAACCATAAAGAATCGAAAGAATTCGTAAATAGCAAAATATGTTAGCTAAATAAATCCAACAAATAAGTCAACATTGATAAAAGATCAATTAACTAATCTCTTAAAGGAGTTATTGCTGTTTTGGACAATTTTTACCCATGTTTAAATTTTTTGGCAGAAACAATAAGAGAAAAAAAGTTGTAAAAATCAAAAATGTTCTGCCCTATTAATTGCAATACTCATAGAAGAAGACCCTATATTAATACTGAACGAATAACAATGAGATGAAGAACAACGATCAAGAGTTGTTGACGTATTTTCTAAACTATGTTGAAGTCCTTCCTTTAATCACAAAGTGATTAAAAATTGTTCTAGAGTTGTCTCATTTTGTCTGTTGTTAATTGTAATTCACAAATACCAAAATTAAAATACTACAGACTTTCTGTATATTATACTCATTTGTGTAGAGGTTCCATCCTCTGTTTTTCATTTATAACTTTTACAACTTATACAAAAACAATCATTCTAATTACACATACATTTTATTACACCAACTTGTATTTACATTTTCATGACTAGAATATACATTTTTACTTTGTGGCATTACTTTGGCTACAGAGTATTCTATAATATTTTGTTGAGGCGCCAGGGTGACTACCGATTACCTATACACAATGGCTATCAACTGACCTATGTTGACAGAGTGTCATAAAACCCCTGGTAGTTAAACACGGTTACACCACCACCTACCATGGGGAGTGACCGGGGAAAACACTCGTATTACCAATGCTCCAGTTATTAGTGCCCCACCTGTTGGAAGGTGTAGGCCTCCCCTCTATAAGATGAGGTGGAGGAGGTCCCAGAGTTACCCATCTGTAGACCCAACCGTTACCACTAACCACATTTTACAAACCTGCAAATTGTAGAACTTGTCAGGCCCAGAGCAAGGGCCGAGTAAAATAATCCCCCAATCACTACCAGTCTCCCTGGACCGCCACATGAGAGCCCAAGTCAGCTACCAAATCTGACTTGGGTTCTCACCTCCACAAAATTTTCATTATTGAAGCATTGGAAATGTTGAAATTGTTGTGCGTAGGAAAGACTCAACCCCTCCTTGTAAATTTTTTTAAGAAAACCTGATTTCCAGTTTGTGATAAATGAGATCCATCTGTTCTGTATAAAGACACTTCACTTGCCCTAATGTTCTCATGTAAAATAGCTTTCCCCCCCATTTTCTATTACAAAGTTTTTGACCAGTGAATTCACTCTTTTTCTCTTCTGTTCGATTATTGCACCCGCATTCAAGGGTGCAAAATGCCATTGAAGACCATAATATAATAACATTTTTAAATAAAGCCTGGTAACGTAGGATAGAACATTTTACATTTTCAATTTAACCCTTCCCTGTCAATTCTAAATCTGTCAAATCATTAGCTCCACAGTGAATAATAATAAAATTAGGAGAAGGTAAAAATTTTCTTTTTGCATCCAGTAGGGAGTCCAATTCTTTAATCTGTAAACCAGGTTGCCCAATCCAGTATGTTGTAACACCTTTGGACTCTAGTCCCAGATTGGTCCTACCATATTTCTTCGCCTCTACGTTGGCCCAATGAACAAGGGAACTTCCAACAATCCATAAAATCTTGGGACCTGTGAAAACTTGTAGCTTGTTAGCCTTTTGAAATTAGAAAAATTGCAACCTAATATAGCGAGAATAAGCATGCAATTTCCATCTGCCTAATTTCATAATTACCTCCTCCGAGACCCCCTGCCTGACTAGTTCTGTGGCTCCCCCAATTCTAAAACTATGTGACCTAAAATGACCTTTACTAATATGAAGAAAATGTAAAGCCTTTTCCAGTATACTACTGAATTGGTATCTAGTTAAAGGCATACCATTATAATGAATAAACAAATCTTTATTGTTACAGGTAGGTCGTACCTTTAAGTATTCGTTAATGAGTCGTATCGGACAGTAGTTTTTTTCTGTTCTCAGGTATCAATAAAGTAACGGACTTTCCCTTTTGGTCAGTTTTTGACCACCTAACCCTTAGCTTCAGGACTTTTTTCTTAACTAAAATATCAGAAATTGTTAAGTTGGAGCTATTTATAACGGACTGAGTTTTTGAAGTAGTGATTTCCCCTACCCTTAGCAAACCAAAGAAGGCAACTGAAAAAAATGCTGAAAATAAAGCAGCTTCATATTTATTCTTACATACTTTATCTTAACAACCTATCATATCTGCTAACAATTGCACTGTAATTGGTGCTCTAATGTCATTACGTTCCCCTCCTTGAATTCTTTTAATTCCTTCTAATGCCTTGCCAATTATAAAGAATTTTGTAGTATCCTGTATGCCTTGTATTTTATGATGGTATGACACTCCTGATATATAAGATGATATGGTACCCCCAGAAAGACCTTGTACTGACAAAAAAGCTATAAAATTTAACAAATCATTGACTGGCACTGGCAAATGCTGTTTCAATTTGTAAGATGATCTAAAATTACAAAGTTTTGACAGAGCCAAATTGTATGATTTTTGTGTATTTTTGGACACACCTTGATTGACAATATAATCCGCCACCTGATTTAAATGTTCCAGATCTGTGTTGGAATTTTGTTGGCCACTGGTCTGCTTCTGGAGCTAGGCTTCTGAACTTCCCCCGCTGAGAACGAAAAAGACAATCAGCAATTTGGTTTTGTTTTAAAGGGATATAAATTGCCTAAACTGACGTATTGTTTTTTAAGTTCATTAAAACCATTTGTCTTACTAAAGTCATAACTCTACTTGATTTTCTAGTTTTTATATTAATGATTTGAACAACCGCCTGATTATCAACATGAAAAATAACTTTTTTGTTAACAAAATATGATTCCCAGGACATAAGTGCTGCTACAACTGGAAACAACTCTAACAATGTCATATCTCTGGTGATTCCAGTTTCAGCCCAATGTTTTGGCCATATGCCTTGGGCCCACTGACCTGCAAAATAGATCCCATACCCACCTTTGGACCCCCCCTCCCCCCTGCACTATCCGTGAACAACTCTAATTTGTTACGTTATTCATGTGAAACCCATACATTGTCGGTTATTACAGTGACACCATTGTATTGTTTTAAAAAGTTTAACCAAACTTCTAAATCTGCTTTCATCTGCTTGTTTACTCGAATTTTGTAATATGATTTCTTACCCCGATTGTTGAATCTATGAGTCTGCGACAGAAGGTGCGGCCTGGAGCAACCACCTTACAAGCAAAATTCAGGAGCCCAAGAAGAGATTGCATATCTTTAAGAGTTATTTTAGAACTGTCTAAGGTATCTCTGATTTTTTGTGAGAGTTTGACAAGTTTTTCATTTGGAAGCCGCATGATTAAATTCTGTGTATCAAATTCTATACCCAAAAAAATGAGTAATGTAGTAGGCAAAGTAGTCTTGTCACTAGCAAGAGGAATACCTATTTTATCGCATACCTCTTTGAATATCTTCAAAGTATTGCCAACTTTTGATGTTTGGCTCGACTCGACAAAAAGAAAATCATCTAAATAATGGAGGATATTATCATTTCCGTTTTTGCTGTATTATCCAATGCAAAGCTTTTGCAAATTTCTCCCACAGGGCATCATTTTATTAAGATAATATTCACCCTGAAATTTTATCCCTAACAAGTCAAAATCCTGCGGGGCAATTGGCAACAAGCGAAAAGCCGCTTTTACATCACACTGACTTAAACGGGCAAATGTTTTGTGTCTATTAATCAAACATGCTGCTTCGTCCACTGAACTGTACTGCACTGAACAATGATCTTTATCAATACAATCATTTATTGAATTATTCTCAGGATAGGATAAATGTTGAATAAGTCTAAAATCCCCATCCTTTTTTGGCACTAGCCCCATTGGTGATACCTGAAGTGTGGGAAAAGGCGGGTATCTGAAAGGACCAGCAATGCGACCAAGTTTAACTTCCTTCATTAATTTTTCTTTAAAAATGTTGGGTAGCTGTAATGCACTTTTTAAATTGGAACTCTCCCTTGGTTCCCTAGAGCCAAAATATTTTAATGACAAACCATATTTGAAACCAAATATAATTTCATGTGCTACATTGTTATGTGGGTAAAATTCTAAATAATTTTCCAAGACCGATACTTTAACAGGAGTATTTCCTAATGAATAAAAAATTAATACTTTTTGTTACTTCTTCCTTGGGCCCGGTTATTACTTTGGGCCTTTCTGTGTTTGCCACTGCATATTTCACATACATGTTTCAACCTACAACGAGGGAAGTAGGGACAGTCATTACCATTATTATAGTATTTACATGACATATGTACACTTCCAATAGTTACCTGTGATTGTTGATGTGTTCTCGAGTTATAATGACCACGATTTTGTGTATTTGTTCTATAACCCTGTGATTGCACTGACACATTGTTTTGTACTGTGGGAGATATGATGTGTAATAGCCAATATTCACCGTGTATATTTCCTCATGATAAATTTGGATTCTTTTCTATTTTTAGCCTAAATTGCTCGTCAGTGTGGCCCAGTTTTCTGACCTCGTTGCCGCTAATCTTATATCGCGCATATATTTTAACAATTCCTGTGCCCGTGTCCTGTATTTCTCAATGTAGACACTCATAAAAACCATAAATGCCATTCATTTATGGACAAATAAACACCCGACGATCTTTTTTCAATGCAGATTTTCCCCCTTTTTAATTTCAAATCGCCCTCGTCAACCTCAAAAGATAATGAAGCTCTATAAACTTTCCCTCCCAAATCTTTTCTTTAATTTTAAAAGGCACGTGTTACACTACTGTGTCATGAATGCTGGACTCTTGTGTCAGAGTGAAATCAATGGAATTATTTGCCATTTCAAAATTTGTGTGTGACGGCTCGTGCCTAAAAAAGGGGAATGCCCGTGCATCCTCCTCCGACTCATTACGTGATGATATTTCAGCATTTTCTTCTGGTCCTTGTGTCTCCACGTGTCCCAACTCCTGTGTTTTCCTGACCATTCTTTTCCGTCCAACTCCGTCCTTCTTTTGAGTAATTTCTTCGTTCCGCACTCCCTGTCCTTCTTTCCTGCTGGTCGTCCTCCTCTTCTTTCCAATTGCCCTTGATGGCGATCCCCTGGCATTTCTTTTGTTTGGCATCTTTTCGTTTAAATAATTTAACTAATTTCTGCAGCACCTGCTTTGTTGTCGACAGCAAATTAACAAGTGCCCGATACGGGAATTCCAAAATTCAGATTCCACCTGAGAGCTGCATCTATGGCCATGCCAAATATGGCAATGAGCTAAAGGCTGCAACACCCACACACCCACACAAATATTTGATTGAATTAAAACAGATTATTGAAAATATAAAAATTTGATAATCTCTATTAGATCTTCAAATAAGTGAACCATGGCATAAAGAGTCAATTTAAACATATAATAGGAGTTAAATAACCTTTACCCTTTATCTGGAAAACTATAATAGATAGATAGAATCTGTAAGCAAAATAACTGATAAGCAATCAATGATTTTTTTTACTTATTTTCACTTTTTGTCTATTATTTTGAAAACTTTAATAGATAGGTGAGCAAATTAGGCTTTTAGGAGCATCTTGTTTTATTTTCTTGTTGGAATTATTATCCATAATCACTCAAAATGTAGGGATTTCTTTTTTTTTTATTTGGTTCTACCAATGTTTCATAATACTTGACAACTTTAGTTTCTCTATATTATTGTGCTTTGGCCAAATCTCTTAAAAATATTTTCACAGTTTCACAATAAGGTAACTTCCTGCTATTTAGTAATTAGAATAAAAACATTTATGTGTCGTTTGAGGAAAAACATTTTAACAGTTACCATGAAACTATTATTGACATGTGTATTGTATTGTTGCTCACTTGTTTATTTTTTGTGTACAAAATAACATTACAGATATAGTGATCTTTATATCTACACATACCACTCTGGTGAAGGGGTTTTCTTGTTTACCTCTGATCATCCCATAAAAAGTTATTTTTCATACTTTTCTCTGTAAGTACAAATTAGAACTTTCTGAAATTCGATATCAAGCTTTATGTGAGCACGCCATAATGTATGATGCATTTCACATCCATCACTCGACTCCCTGCTAATAAAAATACTTATTTTTTTTCTTACAAATAATAGCCACGTATGAAATTTTAATCCCATTTTTGGCAGGAACTACAAATCATAGCTTCCTGTTAACTGAAAATTTAAAGCAGGGGTTTCGTTAATGAGCGGGTAATAACTCACAACACATCTTGTTAAAGCTTTTATACCTACCAAATCCTTATTATGAAACACGAAAATAATGTGAAGTGACCTAATAAACAAAACTGCAAATATGAAGTAGTCTAAGATACAGCCACTTAAAAGAAAAGGTAAAACACCAAAAAACTAAATGCACAAAACAATACAAACTCAATGAGGAAAAAAAATGCAGCCTTATTTTTGTATCTTATTGATCTTTGAAGAATGAATGAAATGTCCTAATCACATTACGATCAAGTGGTAAGTTGGTGAAGACATGCCACCAGTTATAGAAAGTTTGAACTATTCCTAAATCAATAATATTTGTGCTGCGAAAAAAATTGCGAAAATAAAATTTGAATTAATGTAAAATTTTACATTATTGTAATTAGATTCCCATATGAAATATGATTTATATAACTTTTGCAGCTAAACTAGAGAGTAGGTCATTATTTTTTGAGGCTACACTTCGGAAAAATTTTAACCAAAATTATGGAAATAAACTGCATTTAGAATATGCTGCATATGAAGAAGAAGTAGAACAAGCAGTAAGTAGTTTTACCATATTGTAGTATATCATAAATATTGCAACAAATTTGTCATCATATCCTAAAAACACAAGAGAAACAACTTGATTTGATTTAAATCGTTTCACTAATAGAAAACTCTTGAGAAATTTACAAAATTGATGAAATCCTTGATAATTGCATTTCTATTAAGTTGTTTCCATTTGGCGAATCTTGATATGATTAAGACTTGCTTAAATACTTTTTAAAAAACATTCGTAAAAGGACAATGTTTCGCTTTTGATTAAAAATTTATTGTCAATCCAAGACTAAAAAGTTTTGGGAGTTTTTGTAAGATTTTTTTTTTTAAAGTTTCCAACTTTAATGTCTGACACATTCAAAAGTATCATCTTTATTTTTCTTTTAAGTCTTCTGATATCATCTTTTTTTAATGTAAACTCTTTGGTGGTTTATTTTAAAGCACGCCCAGTTAATTTAGTTGTAACAAAAGTCTTGCATTTGCCCAACAGTTTATAATTATCTGGTTTTTTTTTGCATTATTTAATTTTCTTTTTTATATAATATCAGTTTGCAACAGAGATGAATGGTGTAGAAGATATCCAGTACTTAAATGTAACAAATTTGAGGTAATTTATATACGCACAAAAATTATTTGACTTAAAAAAAATGCAAGGACAATTTTCAATTAATCATTGAAAAAAATTAAAAGGGACATTGGTAAAAGTAGGATTTTTTGTTATGAACATGAATAGTTATTTTTTGCTGGGGTAGGCTTATATTTTCTATAAACTGTAAGGCAATTTCTTGCAAGAAAGCCTGTAAATGCATTTTTTTGGGGGTTTTTTTATTTTGTTTTTTTACATTTTTCCCTTTTTTGGGGTGTTCTAAAATAACTGAAAAATATATTTACGATATCTTTATTATACAACATAGCATTGTAAACTTAGCATCTTTTGCAGAAACAATTTTGCTTGTTTTCTAGGCAGACAATGAAATCAATTTTACCTATTTCTGCTACTTATTGAAAGAATGTAACAGCTGTTATTTTTTGCCATTTATATCCTGGAATAATCATTCACATGTTTGCAAGAAGTATTTGGATTTTCTAAACACCGGCTTTTTTTTAACTTGATATACTTTGTTCCAGATTTATGCATCTTGATTATCAATATTGAGATTTCTGTTGAATATTTGATGTACGGTTCTATCAACGTAATAGTTCTTTAATTTTATAACAATGTAAAATATAATAATAACAATGGTAGATTATTATCAACACAGGGGAGTCTGATTTTGACATTAAAGGAAACAGTTATAGCTACTTCTTTACAAGAAAACCAAATACAATGAAAGTTCCAACCATGTACTTGCTTCCGAAGCTGCACAAAACACCTTACAAATATAGATTTATTTCGTCTTCAAGCCATTGGTCCACTACTTAACTATCTATTCTACTTACTAGTACACTTGGTACAATAAATAATCTGGCAAAAGATTGTTCAAATAAGACATTTGAAAATAGTGGAATTAATTACTTTTGGAGTGTCAAAAATTCGTTGGAAGAACTTGATAAATTGCATGCTTATATTGGTGATTTCGAATCTGTTCAAAGTTTTGATTTTTCTACCCTACATACCACTTTGCCTCATAATCTTATTAAGTAAAAATTCACAATCCTAATTAAATGGCATTTAAAAAGTCAGAATGCGAATATATATGTTCAAACTCTTTTAGGTCATTTTTTAGTAACAACAAACAAAAGAACTATGTCAATTTGACCTGCTTTGATACTATAACTGCCCTTGAATTTTTACTAGATAACATTTTTGTTCGCTATGGAGATTCCGTATATCGTCAAGTTATCGGAATTCCAATAGGGACTTACTGTGCGCCACTTATTGCAGAGCTGTTTCTATATTGTTATGAGTTACAATTTATGACTAAAATCAGCAAAGACCCATCGAAACAACATCTTATACAAAACTTTAATAACACTTTTAGATATTTGGATGATATATTGGCTCTAAATAATGACGACTTCAGTATGTACACTAAAGAGATTTATCCGGCTGAACTGACTTTAAATAAAGCATATACTAACAATGAACACTGCCCTTTCAGGGATCTTGATATCTATATCTTTAACTGGAAGCTTAATACCAAAGTTTATAATAAAAGAGATGATTTTTCATTTCCTATTGTTAATTATCCATATTTTAGATGGTGACGTTCCCTTGTCACCATCTTTTGGTGTTTATATATCTAACTTGTTCGATTCGCTCGTGTATGTAACGACGTATTTGATTTTAACGAAAGAAATCTCTGTATTACTGAAAAATTATTACACCACGGTTTTTGATATCATAAACTAGTCAAAACATTTACTAAATTTATCATCGGTACAAGGACATTATTCGTAAATATAATTCAACATGCAGATATCTTATTGGTATTTCACATCCAATCTTTTATGGTAATATTCTTAACAACGCACAAAAATGTCGGCATTCACCTCAAAAGCTAACAAAACCTTTAAACAGACTTATTCAGAAAGGATATAGTTACGATACTGTTGTCAGGTCATTAAAGATGGCATATTTTGGTATTAATATTGATTCATTCAAAAGGTCTTGATTTTCATATGACGAAGACATAATCTTTCAATCAGTGTAATTGAGGTCTGGAGCTGGCATGTCAGTAACTGCTAGTAGCCCTTTGTTAATGTATTTATCATTGTCATTTTGCTTAGTTTATTTTGTTACCTATTCTGACATCGGACTCGGACTTCTTTTAAACTGAGTTTTACTGTGCGTATTGCTGTGTGTTTGTTTTTCTACAATGGCTAGAGGTATAGAGGGATGGTTGAGATCTCACTAAACATGTTTAACCCCGCCGCATTTTTGCGCCTGTCTCAAGTCAGGAGCCTCTGGCCTTTGTTGGTCTTTTATGTTTTTTAATTTTAGTTCATTTATATGTTTTGGAGTTTAGTATGACGTCCATTTTCACTGAACTAGAACACATTTTTGTTTAGGGGCAAGCTGAAGTCCGCCTTCGGATGCAGGATTTTCTTGCTGTGTTGAAGACCCATTGGTGGCCTTCGGCTGTCTTTTTTACTCTTTTATTTTTTAGTCGGGTTGTTGTCTCTTTGACACATTCCCCATTTCCATTCTCAATTTGATGGTTTATGAATTGTTTATCACTATGATGCAGCAAAAAGAAAACTTGTTCCCCCATTCCTACTCTAGGAGTGGGGATATATTACAAATCACCTTTTCTGTCCATTAGTTTGTCCAACAAATATTTCCGTCTTACTTGTCTCCAGGATTACTAAATAGAAAGCCTTCATATTTGGATAGCATCTTGACAGTGACAATGTGTAATGTGTAAGCTCTTTTCAATACTATCAGTCGCCTTACTGCCTGTTTTCTAATAATTTCTTATTCAGCCCAATAAATGTTAGTAAATGATTCATTGAATTACTAAAATGATATTTTAAATCATTATCTTAAAACTCTGAACACAGGTTCAATTTTAGTTTGTCTTGCTTTTAATTAGTATAAAATAACTGAACCAATAAATTTTTTGTATGTAAAAAATTATTCCTTCTTTTATTTTCAAAGAAATCACCCAGAGGGAGTTACAACTTGCCTTGTTATGATATTTAACACTGTTGCTAATAAGACATTACAGTATGATAAAGTGTTGAACATCTTGGTAAAGATAGAAACCGAGGATAGATCATGTGTAGACAGTGTAGATACGTGCATTGCTTTAAACGGAAGTATTACATTAGGCAATACAACTACAACATTAGGTAAGGTAACATAAACAACTTTGGTTTCAACATACTTTAATCTAATAGTCTGTCAACTTGGGAAGTCACTGATTGTTTTATTCATTCTCAAATCTAATACAGTTACTTGATTATTTGTTTTTGCAAAGTCAATTTGAATTTCCTCTTTGTAAAATTTAGATATGAATTAATGAGGTCTACATACAGTTAGATAAGAATAAATGTTTTCAAAAAATATTGTGAACTATATAGACTCCAGTGCAATTAGTGTGTATGGCTTGTTTATAATGTTTAATACGGTGCTATTGCCATGTTTGGCATAGACGTTAACACAATTGGTGAGGGAAATTGTTGTCAAGTCAACACCAAACTGTAACTTAATGACAAAAGCTTTTACTACTATTGTTTTCTTTCACTTTATAATTTTTGCCACAGAAAGGAGAGAAGATTGCATCACCACAGCAGTGGTTTAAGACTGAACTGATCTAAATATAGGAATTTTCACCAAATGCAAAAACCACGGAGCCACTTACTTTTCAGTAAAAATTGGTAAAATGTTGCCAAATTCATATACAAATGTTTTTTTTTCTTGATTCAAACTTATAAAGTGTTACAGTGGTTAATAAATACAACAACGTAATGAAATTGAAAATACAAATTTCACATATAGAAACGTTTGTGACACAAGCATTTTACCTTGCGTAAAATACATTTTCATGCTTTTCCTCTACATAATAGTCTTAAAAATCACAATATCTTTAAACTTTTCAAAGTTTTCAAAAGAATACACTTCTGACGTCTGAGTTTTGAAAGCTTTGAGAAACTCTTTAAGATCTGTCAATTCTTCCCTTGTTTTAATATCTTCTATCTGATTCATCAAACAAATTGAATGGACTTGTCTAGTGTCCATTTTGAGATAGTGCAGTTTAACAGTTTAGTTATAAAACGAACAATTTATGCCAAAATGGACACTAGACAAGTCCATCCTATTTGTTTGATGAAAGTGAACCTATAACTAAACTGTTGAACTGCACTATCTCATTATATTCACACATATAAATATATATAATGTGTGTGAATTATATAGAGTTTTCGATTATTATTGTCTGATAGAGGGTAAATGAGAGAATTTGACAGTGTGTCAAATCCAATTTTTTTTTTATCTTTTATATATTTCCATTTATTGAAGAAACTATTGTATTCCTTTTATAAATTAGTATGGCTGGTACTATATAAAATTATATCACAATTCGATTATTTCCATTATCTTTGTTAACAAGATTTAATTATTATTGTCACAATACATCCATTGAAAAATATTCAGATATATATATATTCAAAACTTAATTGTGTCTAACTTTATATCTTTCTTTTAGACATCAAACAGGTGTTTTGGTTTTATTTGACTTTTTAATTTTTCCTAAATTCTGCCATTATCAATTTTTATTATTCAGTCACTGTCAAATTGATTAAGGATGAATTTTATACACTATCATTAAATAAAATATTACTTCACATCCACTTCATTTGAACTTTGGTGGATAGCTGTCTCATTAGCAATAATACAATATCTCCTTATTTTTATTCATCTTTTTTTACTTCTATAATTTTGTAAAAAACGATGCTAAAGAAAACCCTTAAATTTACTACTTCAAAGATACCATTACGCTCTTCAATTCAAATGTTTCCTTGTTTAATCATTTTGTTTTCTGTACTGATGTTGCCTTTTATGGGCTGAATACCATTCCTGCTCTAACTTCAACGTGCGTAAAAGTATAGAACATGAGTATTATTTTTAACACTCAATTTTATTCTTTATTGCACACATTTTTGTTTAACGATAAAACTTGGTGAACAACATTCCATCAAGTATCCCTGTTAAATTTACAACTAAATATCTTGGGAGAATATTCAGTAAAATTAACTATGAATAACATAAGTCTAAATATCTAATCCAGCAATTTTTTTTGTATCAAAATTAGGTTATTTCTTTCTTAAAATTATTTACATATTAGTATAAAGTAAAACGACAAATATACTGAACTCCAAGGAAAATTCAAAACACGAATTACGAAAGTCCCTTAACAATTGGCAAAATCAAAAGCTCAAACACAAAAATTAACTGGAAAATAACTGTCATATTCCTGACTTGGTACAGGCATTTTCTTATGCAGAAAATGGTGGATTAAACCTGGTTTTATAGCTAGCTAAACCTCTCACTTGTATGATAAAAAAGGCAACAGTAGTATACCGCTGTTCGAAACTCATAAATCGATAGAGATAAAAACAAATCCGGGTTACAAACTAAAACTGAGGGAAACGCATCAAATATAAGAGGAGAACAACGACACAACAAAAACACAACATTAAAATGTAACACACATAGAAACGAACTATAATATAACAATGGCCATTTTCCTGACTTGGTACAGGACATTTTAAGAAAAAAATGGGGGGTTGAACCTGGTTTTGTGGCATGCCAAACCACCCGCTTTAATGGCAACGTCAAACACAACACCAGAACGACAACATCACATGACAGGACCACAATACAAATAAATGGGAGAACATATAGGACAAAGAAACACACGAATAATAGCTAACAAAAGGTACTAGGTATAAAATTCAATACGCCAGACGTGCGTTTCGTCCACACAAGACCAACCAGTGACGCTAAGATGAAAAAAGTTTGAAAGCAAAAACAAGTATAAAGCTGAAGAGCACCGAGGACCAAAAAATTGTATGACAGTCGCATAGAATTCCATTATATTGACAACAATGTGTGAGCAAAACATACAGACATAATAGGTAAAAACGTCAAAAAGTGAAAGTACTTTAATTCGTGGGAATAAAATTTCGTGGTTTGAAGAAAAGTTACAAATTCGTGGATTTCAGATTTTTGAGAAAAAAAAATACTAGTATGAGTGAAAAATTTATGTAATGTGTCAAAGAGACAACAACCCGACCAAAAAGCAGAAAAACAACCCAAGGCCACCACTGGGCCTTCAACATAAATAAAGGCAACAGTAGTAAACCGCTGTTCAAAAGTCATAAATGGGTTAAGAGAAAACAAATCCTGGTTACAAACTAAAACCGAGGGAAACATATCAACTATACATGTAAGAGGAAAACAACGGAACAACAGAAACACTTAACTGCAACAGAAACAAACACATTTTAGATGACTATTACAATTGGTCGAGTACATGTTACTTATAGAAATTAACAGTATTTCTTGAAAATTGTCTTAGAGGAACTCCGTTTGAAAATATTGTTGTAACATATGAAGGGTTACCAAAAGTTAGGTTTCACACCTTAGACTCCGACTTTAATTCTTTTTATCAGCAACCAAAAGTGGGTTACTAGTGTGGTATTTTTGCGTGATATGTTATAGGTACAGGGACTAGCTATAGTTATCGTCACTTTTGAATCAAACCACAAAATAAGAGAATTTCACTTTAATCATGACAAAAATGTCACATTTTGCTATTATGAAGCAAGAAGAGAAAAGAGTGCTCTAAATGACCCAAACACATTGTTAATCGGGCCATTAATTTGAAAGGTCTGCTTTCTGCTCTAAATTTGAACTTTATGTCACCATTTGAAGTTAACCACTTCCATTGTATTGAAGAGGAGCATATACTTCAGTTTTGAAATTTATAAATCTTCTTAAACACATTTGAAAGAAATTATATATAAAAAGCATGCTTAGAAATTACTTTGTCTTAATACGTTAAGTTTTCAAAAATCGAGGACATCATCAAGCGATGACATGATATCCCTGCAGTAGAATGACTTTCTTACTATGACTTTTTAGTGTAGGCACAAGAATATCATAATTCATACAAGTACCTACCCAGTAAATGTCCCTTACTTAGTCCAACCTAACATCCTACTGTTAAAATATATAAAGTCAATTTATTTCGAATGCCTTGATAGTTAATACTATCTGATATTATTGTTACTCATTTCTAGTAAGGTGATGTTGAAATTGGTTTGAATGTGTTTCGTCAAGGTCAGTACTTTTTATAATAGATTATTACAAGGGGTAGCATTCTGATGAAGGTAAATCAAAAAAGCGCTTCGGACTCATGAAATTTTATAACGTGTTGTTATTACAGCACTGGGTCGATACCTCTGCTGGTGGACTACCAGTACCCGAGGGTATCATCACTTCAGTAATCAGTAATTTGGAACTGACATGATTTAAAACAAACCTTTCTAAAAATGTCCGTTTATAAATTTTGAAATTATTTAGAAACTAATGTTTAAATTCCCTCTGGCAAAGTTGATAGATGGATTTGGCTATTTTTATGTCCTTTTCTGTCGTAAAGCTCTTTAACTGTTTCGGTTCTTATTCATCCTTGGCTTTCAAATATTTGGCATTGAGCGTTCTCGATGACGGTTAATCCAGAAAAGCGCTTTGGACGCATGAAATTTAGAACGTGTTGTTTTCATTTTTTTTTTGTAAGCTCTGCCCACAGTACCTCCAGTTTTGCACTTAATGGTTAATGGCAGAGATTTTTTTAATTAAATAGAAATATCAGATATTATTATTTTTTGTATACTTGTAGAACCTGTCATATGCAGTATCTGTTCTTTGACACAGCAATGTATACAAAACAATCAAATTTCCAGATACCAATGTGTGTAAGTCTTCATCATTATAGTAGCGTATGTATTTTGTTCATTATTTTGTACATAAACTAGGCCGTTATTTTTCTCGTTTGAATTGTTTTACATTTGTCATTTCGAGGCCTTTTATAGCTGACTATGAGGTATGGGCTTTGCTCATTGTTGAAGGCCGTACGGTCACCTATTTGTTAGTTTCTGTGTCATTTGGTCTCTTGTGGAGAGTTGTCTCATTGGCAATCAAACCACATCTTCTTTTTTATAACAGGTGTTTTATTCAGATTTTTACACATGAAATTGGAATTCATTACATTTGTTAGTGCTATGTTCTAAATTATTTTTTTTAATTTAAATTAATTAATTTAATTCAAGTTATATTGAATTTTCATGGACATACATGTATACAGTTATGATTTTGCTACTCTCTACATAACACTTCCACACAATCTAATAAAGAAAATTTTTTCATATTTTATAAAATGGTCTTTCGAAAAATCTCATTGAAAATTTATTTGCTATAAGTCGTTTAAAGCCTTTTTCTGTGACGAAAAAGGAAAGAAGGCTAGATACTGGAAATGTGAGGATATGATTGAAGCTTTAAAATTTCTCCTAGATAACATATATGTATGTTTCCGCGATAAAGTGTATCGTCAGGTAGTAGGTATTCCTATGGGCACTAACTGTGCTCCTTTAACATCAGATTTATTCCTGTATTGCTATGAATCTCAGTTTATGACCAAACTCAGGAGAGACACATCATTGTTACATTTGGTTGATACATTCAACAATACCTACCGTTATCTGGATGAAATTTTTTCGTTCAATAATCCAGAGTTCTCTAAATATACTACCGAAATTTACCTAAAAGAACTTACTTTAACTAAATATAACATAAACAGCAGCAGTTGTCCTTTTCTAGATTTAGACATTTCAATTTCTAAAGGGAAACTCCATACTAAAATTTACGACAAAAGAGACGATTTTTCATTCCCTATTGTTAATTTGTCCTTTTTTAGACGGCGATGTGCCTTTGGCTCCATCATACGGTGTTTATATATCCCAACTCGTTCGGTATGCCCGTGTGTGTAGTGATGTCATAGTTTTTAACGAACGAAATCAATGCATCACTGGTAAATTATTAAGTCAGGGATTTCGTTACCATAAATTACTTAAAACTTTTACTAAATTCTTTCATAGATACAAAGATTTGATTAGTAAATGTGGCTGTACATGTAGAAAACTTATTAACAATGGTATTTCACATCCTAAATTTTATGGTTATATTGTACTTAAAGCGCGGAAATCATTATGTGATCCGTGTAAACTCATCGAACCTTTAAACAAACTCATTAGTAAGGGTTATCGTACCAATGTTGTAATTAGATCTCTGAATATAGTTTACATTGGCACTAATATCGATTTTGTCATTAGCAAATTAAAACATAACTAAATTTGTATTTTCTTTTCAAGCGGGATGTATAAAGACACACACACGTTCATTTTAATCTATAAAGAAGTCACTCCTAACTATCCTACTACCTGTCGATACATTTATTTTTGGCATTGCACAAGTCATGTCTTCTTTGACTGTTCATGACGTTAGAATACTAAATCCCTTGGATGTATTTTAGGTGATTTTAGTCTCTGATGCATGATGTTTTATTATTAATTCTTTTGGCTTTTAACTAGCTGTCAGTAACTGCGAGTACTCTCAAATCGTACTTTCTTTATAATTTGACCTGTTGATACTATTTGTAATGCTTTTTTGTTATTTAATGTTAACATGGATCTTGTCTATATACCAGCTTGTTGGTATTACGACAAATTTTCACTTCTTCGTACTATGAACATCAAAATTATTTCATTTTTCCTTAGATGCTGTTCTTGGACCTGTACAGGAAGTTTTCTAGCACTAATTGTAGTTTTATTGTTGATATTCACCCCATATGTACCAAGTGTTAGATTAGTTTTATTGATATTACAGAAATTTCTTGGTATTCCTAAACGGAAGATTTTATACACACCGAAGAAGAAGTATACTTAACAACAAAATTATTTTCATTTACCTGTGTATAATATGACGCAGGTTTCTTCAAAAGTGATGATTTTCTAAAAATTGTTCAAACCTGTTTATTTACTTTTGACTTTAATTATTTATCCCTTGTAATTTTTTATTAACTGTCACAGGTCAAATTTATTCGTCCATTGTGTGTTAATTTACGTTTTTTGATTGAGTTAAGCCTTCCAATTGATATTTTATAATGTGGTTTTCTATGTTGTGATGTTATACTATTGTTTCAGAAAAGGGAGAATGTTTGGTACCATTAAAACGTTTAATCCAGCTGCAAATGTTTGCACCGGTCCTAAGTCAGGAATCTGATTATAGTAGTTGTCGCCTGTATATGTAGTTCATACTTGTTTCTCGTTTCTCGTTTTTATATAGATTAGACCGTTGGTTTTTCCGTTTGAATGGTTTTACACTAGTTATATTTTGGGGCCCTTTATAGCTTGCTGTTCGGTGTGATCCAATGCTCCGTGTTGAAGGCCGTACCGTGACCTATAATTGTTTACTTTTATAAATTGTAACTTGGATGGAGAGTTGTCTCATTGGCACTCATACCACATCTTCCTATATCTATGTAAGATAGTTTTATTTAATATTTTTATTATTGAATAAGTACTACAGTTAATAGATGCATGCAAGATTTTTGACAGGTATCATTAAAAGTACGATTTTTGCAAATCAAGAAAGATCATAATTTCAGTTAGCCTTGAATAATATATTTCTGCATCCATTACAGTAATCAACAAACAACAGAACAAACAGCAAGCTCAACCTCAAAAAGAATTACTACCACTGTACAAAGTATGTAAAATGTTATCTTAATTGCAATAAGTACAACAATACTTTAACAGAATGGCAACATTGATATATGCCTTAACCGAAATAAATTTGATACAGAAATGTCATTGAATTTTGTGCAAGAAAAGAAAAACTTTAAATTTCACTGATCAATCTACTGTTAGTGTTCAATTGGCCTTCTGAAAACTTATTAATTTTATAACTACGATGATTCCTAATTAGAATAAGCTACCTTTTAAACTAAAAAAAATGGGTAGGTTGATTATTTGAGAGGGCAAATAACGACAAACTTCCACAGAATTAAATAGAAGCAATCCTTATACTGCCTGTGGTGGTGTACCTTTTAAAACTAATAAGAAGGTATTTAAAGTAAAGCAGAAATTGTGTATAGAAAGACAAGAGATTGTTTTCCAGTGTTATTTATAAAGATGCACATTTAAGAGACAAATTTAATTGGCATGTATTCAAATTGGTGTATGTGACAATTTTGCTTTTACTGAAAAGCATTAAGTGTACTCAACTAGTAGAACATACAGAAAAACTTTAGATAATAGGACTGCAGCAAAGGTATAGAGAAATTTAGATGGAAGTGATCCAAGCCTACTTTTCACAGTAGTTTCATTTCTATGCATTATTTTAACCTGATAGCTGTATATGTAGAAGCTGCGTAAGTTTTGCCCTGTTAAATCTAAATATATATTTGATACTTTCTTATTGATAGTGATATCGTAAGGTTACACCAAATCAATTATTTGAGCAATCGAGTAATTTTTTTCTACAAAAAAACATTCAAGATTTTAAAGTATAAGTGAAATTGAGGACAAATGAGAAATAATTAAGTTTTTTTCACCATTCTGAGGACAGACTGTTATGATGTTGTTCTGGACATTTTTAATATTTTCATTTTGGTTCTGAAATGTCGCTTTTGTATCACACCATGTCAATAAGATAGTTGGTATGTGATATCGGAAAGTAATTGTGCTTTTCAAAATCGCCTTTTCCATATGGAACAATGTGGGAGTTATCTCCCTTATACTGTTTTTTCTTGTAATCGGTTTTCCTCAGAAACCGTCAAAGATATCGATTCAATTTTTCTCCAGAATGTTTGGTACTTCTTCTGTGTGATCTGTTAAATTTTGACCGAAGCATTTCCGGTCACAAAGTTTTTCTTTTCTTTTTGTGTTTAATATGATTGGTGTGTTAATGTAACTCATAAACCGTACGTCATAGGGACCTACATTTTTTAAATGAAGTCTTTGGTACATGAAACAATGAATTAAGGTCAATGCCAGAATTCATGGTCATATTCTAAATTTTCAACTTTGCTTGTTGTCACAACTCCTCATTCATCGTTAAAGTGCTCAATATACGGTTTTTGTAAGTTCGTAAGTTGCATAACGGTACAGCACCGATATACTTTGACCAATCAAAGTCGGGCTTTAAAGTTATTGTGAAACTACCTATTCTAGAGGTGGATACTAAACAAATCCAAATATCTTTTAAAAAACATACAATCTAAGACTCTTTCATCTTATAATAGTATTAAAACATTTGACTTTTCTTCACTTTACACAAGTATTCCCGATTCCAAACTAAAAGACAAATTACAAGGGTTGGTCCTGCTCTGTTTCATAAAAAAATCACCAACGTAGACACAAATACCTTGTCTTAGGGAGGGATAAATATTACTCTGTAAAAAACCACTCTGATTCTAACAACAAATTCTCTGAAACTGACATTATCAAGATGCTTGAATTCTTGATTGACAACATATCTGTGACGTTTGGAGGACGTGTTTTTCCACAAACAATCGGCATTCCAATTGGAACCAACTGTGCCCCTCTTCTTGCCGACTTGTTCCTTTATTCATATGAGGCTGACTTCATATAGGAACTTCATAGGAAGAAAGAAAAGAAGTTAGCAGTATCCTTTAACTTTACTTTCCGCTACATAGATAATGTTCTCTCACTAAATAATTCAAATTTGGTGACTATGTTGAACGCATCTATCCCATCGAACTTGAGATAAAGGATACAACAGATACAGTTAAGTCTGCCTCATATCTTGACTTACATCTAGAACTTGACAATGAGGGTCGAATAAAAACAAAAGTTTATAACAAAAAAGATGATTCCAGCTTCCCAATTGTGAACTTTCCATTTTTATGTAGCAACATTCCAGCAGCGCCTACATACGGAGTATATATCTATTTCCCAGTTGATGCGATACTCCAGGGCTTGTATTTCCTATCATGATTTCCTTGATAGAGGTTTGCTGCTCACAAGGAAGCTATTTAACCAAGAGTTCTAAGTAGTGAAGCTGAAATCATCCCTTCGTAAATTTTACGGACGCCATCACGAGTTGGTTGGCCGTTACGGAATATCCGTTTCACAGATGATAGCGGATATGTTCCTTGTGTGGTAACTACAATCCTGTCCCCTTTTCACGAATGTGACCTACCGAATTAGACTTATTACCGGATTTGTACTTACATGAGCAACACGACGGGTGCCACATGTGGAGCGGGATCTGCTTACCCTTCCGGAGCACCTGAGATCACCCCCAGTGTTTGGTGGGGTTAGTGTTGCACAGTCTTTAGTTTTCTATGTTGTATTTTGTGTACTATTATTTGTCTGTTGATCTTTATCTTTTTTAGTCATGGCGTTATCAGTTTATTTTCGACTTATCAGTTTGAATGTCCCTTTGGTATCTTTCGTCTTTCCTTTGGAAACTTTTTTGGAAACTTTTTATTTCACTTAAGACCTCACAATTTTACAGAATTTAGACAAGCCAACAAGAGTGAATCTATTCATTAGTTCATAGAAACTATCAACATTTTTAATTTTTCATATCTCTGCAGGTAAAACGTTTGTCTCTCAACATTGAAAAAAGTACAGTTAAATATATAGTGAAATTCGTCACCCAATTCTTCTTTATGACACAAATCACAAACTGTTCTTGACCTATCTATATTAAAAATTCTACCACATGAATCCAAGTTCTCTGTGGATGTTTCATATGAATTCCTCCCCCCTTAAATATTCCAGATAAGCTGTTTGGTAGGATACTATATAATATAGACCTGAGGTCTTTCGATTTGAAATTCATGATTTTTGACCTGGAAATTGAGGTCAAAGTCAACGGTCAAGTTTATGTTTCAGATTTTGACCTTTACTATAACTTTATACTGGTACATGAGAAAACCATAAGTTCTTTTGCATTAGGCTGAACGACATAGGACCTTGAAAAAGGTCAACTTGAAGTAACCGTTTGTAGCCAAACAGGAAGTATTCATTTTTGCACTTATTTGACGTTAAAGACACTGTAAAGTAACCTATCATATGAAACTGGAATTGACATTTTGTACACCAGAAGTTTCAAATTATCTCCCTTATTTCAGAAGAATATATACAGAGACCATATATTCTTGAAATTCGTGAAAAGTAAGCTATCAGTTGTCACCAGAAAAGACCTTTTAATACTAGAAGTAGCTGAATATCTCCCTTATTTAAAAGAAATGAACTATAACTATATATGTTTGGAATTTGTGCAATATGATTAAATTATATACTGACACCGTTTTCCTAACAGAAAGATAACTTTTTTTGTAATAAGTTTGCAAATCTGTATACAAGTCTACGTAAACCTTAATAATCAACATATGAGGTGGAAAGAATTTCAATCGTTCTGTGAATAATTGGTCTTACTCTTTCATTAACGTACACTTACCTTTCGTAAATTGTCCGTTTATAAATTCATAAATTATCAAGGAACTAAGGTTTTAATTCCCTCAGTCACAATTGACTTTAGGTGGATCAAACGGGCAGGCAGGCAACTACCAACAGCTTCGTGCAATAACTTGTGAACCGTTCAACCAATGCTTGTCAAATTTTATCATGTTGATCTAATGATAAAATTGAGGTCAAGTTCGGTATTGACGATTTTCATTTTTACCGTTCAGGAATTATGGTTCTTGAAATATTAGAAAATGGAACTTTATGTTGTTTCCTTTCAATAACTTATGAACTCCTCTACCAATAGTTTTCAAATTATGATATGTTGTTACTGTTGACATAATGGAGGTCAGGTTCGATATTGATGCTTTTTCTTTTTGCCTTTCTGGAGTTATTGTCCCTGATAAATTAGAAAGTTGCACTTTATGTTGTTTCCATGCAATAATTCATTCACCGTTCAGTCAATGCTCTTAAATTTTGATATGTTGTTACTTTTGACAAAACCGCGTTCAAGTTTGTTATTGACAATTTTCTTTTTTGCCGCTCAGAAGTTTTGGTTCATGATAGATTGGAAAATTTAAACGAATAAGTGAGCCCAAATATGAACAAATTCCATTTTCTGTGGCGTTATACCTCAGATTAAAAAAAAAATCAAAAAAGTTAATACTTATTTAAACAAATTAACCTTAGTTTTCATTCAAAGTATTTTACTGGTGATTTAATACGCCACACTTTTAAGAAACCCTAAACAACCCTAATGTAAAAGAGATTTCTTGTGAAGCATAATATTTTGTTTCTCCATTTTAGGTAAAAGTTCATCAGATTTGATACTCGGTCTAGGTATAGGATTACCTCTAGCCATTACCGCATTTATTATCATTTCAACGATCATGATATGCATGTCTTGTAGATGTAAAAACAGAAGTCTGAATCAATAGTACAAGGACAATCAGATGATGATAAGTATGTATAAATATGAAGGGTGCTGCGTTGACTACATTTATCTCATTTTTTTAAACATTCAAATCAAAAAACAAATACTAAAAAAATAAAGAGACAGTTGATAATATTATTAAGGATTATCAGTTGGTTGTTTGATATTCATCCTTTTCTTTTTTATAAACATTTCAAGTAATAAATATTATAAGATGAACCTCATCTATTATCTAAAATTCAAATACGTTTGTATTCTATATTATTTTCAGTAAAAACAATACATGCAGACACTTAATGAGACTGAATGTAACATTCCACTTTTATTCAAATTGATTTTATTAATGATCATGATGATGTGAAGAAACTAAACTTGATGAACTAATTAACTTTTACTTGATTAAGAATTTTATTTCATTTTTAGTTGGCAGATTAGACAAGCCTTTGGTAGAAAGGATTCAAGTTTGATGGGAACAAAGTCTTTGGTAGGCTTTTACAATGAAGTTGCTTATAAATATGCCTTTGAAAAGAGGCAATACGACTAACTGTTGTTAACAGTAAAAACAAATTGAATGAATGACATTGTGGAAACTAGGTTTATTGACACAAGAGTTGACATACTTTATTCAGTGAAATTTTGAGACATCATGACCCTCAGTAAAAAGGAATGAACTGTCGGGTTAGGATTTAACTAAAACTAACTATCAAAAATGTTCATTTTGTCTCTGCAGCAGACACACCACCTTATGCCAAGAACTTATTTTTTTGTATCCAGTCATGAACCTGGTTATGAATATAATTTCTCTGTCAGGTATATGCATGCTTTTGGTTTTTTTTTTTTTTCTCTAATAATTTTTTTTTTGAAAAAAAGGAAATACAGAAATTTTATTTTCGGTTTATAAACTAACTATCATGCCTAGAAAAAGGCTAAACATAGCTTTTGTTTCTCAGAATTTTGGAAGTTTTATACAGTGAAACAACCAAAACCAAATCTGATTTTGAAGGATATTTTACAATAAAACAAAAGCTTAGTATAAATGAAGAGGGACAATTGGGTCACCAAAAAAATCGCATTTTTCTTAAATTACGTAACCATTAAATTTCAAACTTGAAATATACTCCATTCATTTGACTTGATTAACATATCTTAAATTGCTTAGTAATATTGGAATGTTCTATTTAAGATTTGGTTGATATCTATTCTGTTTACTTTATTGATGTTAACTGGTCACCATATAGATATTTTATTATACATTGTATTGCAAAATTGCCACGTTAATAAGACGTAAAAGCCAAAAGTTTAAAATGTAAGTTTAACAAACTGTCATGTTATAATTGTCTGATATTGTTTATTTTTTCTGTATTTTATATGTATACATATATATATATATAGAGAGAGAGAGAGAGAGAGAGAGAGAGAGAGAGAGAGAGAGAGAGAGCTAATGATTAGCATTTTTAACGAGGATTTGTTGATTTATTATCAAACGGACATATATATGTGTTTTTATATTAATCATAATGATTTCCTATGACATTTGTTTTCCATTCGTTTGATGTGTTTGAGCTTTAGATTTTGCCATTTGATAAAGGACTTTTTGTTTTAGAATTTTCCTTGCAGTTTGGTATTTTTGTTATTTACTTTTTATTTTGCTGATTATCATGATCATCTTTCGATTTTTAAAGTATATTTTTATTAATAATTTGATGAATTATAAAAAAAAACCTTCTTTGTAATGTGCATGATGATAACAATATTAATCATTTTACCATAGATCTGTAATGGAAGAGATGCTTCAATGGTCATAATTACAAGCCAAATATTAATAATGGCAAAAGTTAAAAGAGTAAAACAAAAAGACATATAAGGATTATTTTATGACATATGATTTTCATTAATATGTCTTTCTTATCAGTAAATCCTAATACTGTTAAATATTGTTAGAAGACAATCTTACCTGTGGTCATTATTTTTTATGCTTTGCTGAGTTTGTATCTGTAGATTTATGTTTTTTTTTATCTGTATTCCATATTTATATATTCTATGATCATTCGATAATCAAATATTTTAGTGTGAGTACAGGCATTTGATTGTCTTAATTTTAATGCTGCTGAATTTTCGTACATTGTAGGTGGTAAACATGGTAATTGCATTTCTTATGCTTTGGTATTTTAGTGTTAACACATTTCCAATAAAATAAGACATTTGTTTGTCTGTGTTATTGACTTATCGTTTTTTTTTACCAGAGAAGAAAGCATTTACACATGTTAAGTTTTTAAGGACATGCAGTGAGAAGGTGTTTTTGTAGTTTATTTAATACCAGTTTGAAGCAAAATACATAATTGGATTATTAATAGATTTCATAATAAAACGTGAATAGTAAGTTAAGATTTATACTGCCTTTTTTTAAATGATGGTAACATATAATTATATGCTTTTTTATGATTTTTGTATCATACTTTGTATTCAGTGTACCACCAACATTACTTCTGTTATGTGGAGGAAAGTTTTAATGAAGAGAGTCTTTGCAAAAGATTTTATTGGCGAAAATCTAAATGTTGCAATTAAAAAAAAAATGATTAATAAAGTTTGGTTAAAAAATTAACCCCCTCGTGTATAATTTAGTTACAATTGAGCTTTTAAACTGATGAGTAGCAAGTTTTTGCTTAGGAGTATACATTCTTGTAAAATTTTCTGAATTAAAAAAAAAATAAATTAGTGTTGCCTTATGTAAATGTTTTTGTAACCAGCATTTGAAATTAAGCATGATCTTAATTACTTAAAAATTATTGATTGCGTTTGAGTCTTAACAGATTTTCACAAGAATTTTGAAGAAAGTTAATGTTATTATTTATTACATATTTGAACCAATTACAAAACAAAAAAGAGATTTATCTCTTTATTTTATTTTTTTAAAATAAAATGTCCAAATCGTAAAGCATGATACTTTTGTCTAAGCATTTTTATCATGTTCGTTTCGGGTGATAAAAACATGTTTAATATATATTTTTTGTCAGGTGAACATTTTCGTTCACAAACATTAGCCGCATGTCAATGTATATTTATTTCTAAATTGGAAATGCAAAATGTTACCTTCTGTTTTCTGGTTATTAGACATGTTGGAATTCAAATATAAGATTTCTTTTCTCTAAATAAATTATAAGTACTTGTATTTGATAATCTATGCGTTTTATAGAAATAAGTTTAGAGATTTGACTGATATATAAATGTTTAAATGTATCATGCTTAATATTAGTTCTACTACTGTTTATATTCAAGATAAATCTTATTTTGTAGTACATGTCCCCGTGCTTGTGGTGTATGCCCTTATATTTTACAATTATGAGTTGTTTGCCTGTGAGAGAGCTTTCACATGTTTATTATATCTTTGTTCTTTATTTGTTAATTAAATATAATGGTGTTGGGATGTATAAATAATCATCCACACTTGCTGTTTTTATTATTGCCCTCTGCTTTGGCTTTACTTAAATTTCTTATAATCTCTGTTTTTGCCCTGTGTTTGTTATATGTCTGTTTTGTATTACTTATGTCTTTGCGTCGGGCATTTTATAACAGTTTTTGTAAGAGTTCTTTTACTGCTTTGCCTTTTATTTCTTGTTCCGTAATTGTGATCCTTATTCAATGTTACAACCTCCGGTCTTTTTTATTTTTCCTATACGCCTATTTATATAATCATGTTATAAAATTGAAAACAACACGTTTAATAATTTCATGCGTCCGAATTTCTGGGTTTACCTTCATCAGGAACGCTCAAAGCCAAACATTTGAAATCCGAGGGATGTATAAGTACCGAAACAGTTGAAGAGCTATATGTCAAAATATCCTAAAACAAATAACCAAATTCATCTAAGGTCAACTTTGCCTGAGGGAGTTGAAACCTTAGTTTCTTTATAATTTCAAAATTCATTAACGGACAATTTTAGAAAAGTTTGTCATAAATCATGTCAGAACCGAAGTACTGACTACTGAGTTGATGATACCATCGGGGACTGATAGTCCACCAGCAGAGGTATCGACCTAGTGATGTAAAAAATTGAAAACAACTCGTTTAATAATTTTATGCGTCCGAATCGCTTTTCTGGATTTACCTTCATCAGGAACGCTCAAAGTCAAACATTTGAAATCCGAGGGATGTATAAGTACCGAAACAGTTGAAGAGCTATATGACAAAAATACCTAAAACAAAAAGCCAAATTCATCTAAGGTCAACTTTGCCTGAGGGAGTTGAAACCTTAGTTTCTTTATAATTTCAAAATTTATAAACGGACAATTTGAGAAAAGTTTGTCATAAATCATGTCAGTACCGAAGTACTGACTACTGAGCTGATGATACCCTCGGGACTGATAATCCACCAGCAAAGGTATCGACCCAGTGATGTAAAAAATTGAAAACAACACGTTTAATAATTCATGCGTCCGAAGCGCTTTTCTGGATTTACCTTCATCAGGAACGCTCAAAGCCAAACATTTGAAATCCGAAGGATTATTAAGTACCGAAACAGTATTACGCAATAGAAAAAAATTGAAAAACAATCCTACTTCTAGGCTATCCACGTGCTTACAAAATTGTATTTCTAATATAAATTATACAGCAGCCTATATCAAAATTATCCTACTACATTTAGCAATGTGTACAATTGTGTCAAAGGAGGCAATGCCTCTGCAGCCACATTGTTAAACAAAAATGCACGTGGATATCCACAAATTTTCCCGTGCAATGCCAGAAAATGACTGACCTGTTTCAGATTTACTTCTCACAATACTGTTAGGTCAACAGTGAACGGGAGAGCTTTTTCTCTCTCCTTTTCCTGTGACATTACCTGAAACGCCCAAAACCTTATTTATCTGGTAACTTGAACCCAGCCGTTTCAATATGTGGGACAGACGGGTCGAGAATATTACAGAAGAAATTAAGAGCATAAGAGCACCTTTACCGCTTTCGAAGACCTAAAAATTCAAAAGTGTGATTAACCAACATTTAGATAAGCATAATCACAATCTAAAATTTTTAAAATTCCTACAACTTGAAAGCTTTCAGAAACAACCAGGACAATCACACAAACAATTTGAAAAATCCCGTGAAGTTCGCGTACTATTTTTGATGAAAAGACTTCAAACAGTTTATCCTCTCGGTCTCAATGACAAAATATTGGAACAGGGAAACATATCTTAAACTTCTATCGTCTTTTTTCGATGTCATGAATATTGTCGTTAATGGCTAAGAAATAATAGTCATCATGATAAACGTAAAAACCGTAATCTACGTATTAAACATCGTACAAATTATACACTTGTTGATCTGTTATCTATAGTAAAAAATAATGGTAGACATCAATTATTATGCAATCTTGGTCATATACCAATAAGTAAACTATATGATATTTTTCTGGAGTATGATAAAATTTCATTTTTCAGCCCGTTGTATAAATACACCCGTATTATTACAGCCTTTTGTCATCACAGGCTGTTTCCGTGTATCGATAACCCTGAAAATCATAAACGGCAGTTTCTTAAATTAAAATATATAAATAGAGGTATTGATTTTATCAACTTATCTAGTATATTCAATGACTCTACCATCCATAGCCAAATACCTCCATATGTTGATAATACAGAACCACTTATTATTTCGTTTTCGTACAAAAAAACCAGAAGAAGTTTGATTTTTAATTATACGTCAGTAACATCAGACGTCAATATAGAAATTAATGCTCCTTCGGCTTGAGACTGTGAAACATCTAGTTTTAGATATGTTCCCTATGGTCATGTCATTACAGGAGACCTCAACATCGTTGAAGAGCGACAATTTACAGAAAGGAACAGAAAAGGGCCGAAAAGGAACAAAAAGAACAGAAAAGAACCGAAAAGGAGCCGAAAAGGGCATACCTATATTTATTTTATATATTATCTACACGAAGTTTTGATATTGTTAACAATTCCTCGTCATAAATGAACGCATAATGCAGAAAGGAAACAGTTTGATTAAGCATGTGGCTCAATCTCCTGGGAAAACACCGTGCGTTATCCTGTATACTGAAGAAATGCTGACGAATGTCGTGAACTTGTGCTGTAGTGGACACACTCTTTTTGGTTTCGACAAAACATTTAACATTTGTGACATTCATGTGACACCATCTGTATTCAAACAACTTTCTGTCACGAAGGTTGAAACAGGAGAACCACCTTTGTTTGTCGGAACAGAGACATATAATATAAGAGATTCGCAACTCGGCGAACTAACGTAATTTATCGTGGCCACTAGCAAAATCTCGCGAGATCTCTTTTGGTAATTAAAAGTATTAAAAGTAATGATGAATGTTCTCACATAACATAAATTGTTATGAAACAGATCGGCTTTCAGTGTTAAACTTATCATAATAAAATTATATAATTATATACAGTGGAGATCACTTCTAACATCTCATTAGAACTGTCAGAATAATCTATCATAGAACTGTTATAAACTGTCTTAGAACAGTTCTACCTAGAACAGTTCTCTAAGTAGAACTGTCAGAATCAGTTCTAGGTAGAACTGACCAAATCAGTTCTAGGTAGAACTGTCAGGATCAGTTCTAGGTAGAACTGTCAGGATCAGTTCTAGGGTAGAACTGTCTAAAAACTGTTCTATTTGGAACTGTCCAAATCAGTTCTAACCGTAGAACTGTCAGCAGAACTGACTAAATCAGTTCTAACCGTAGAACTGTCAGCAGAACTGTCAATAACTGTTGTAGTCGTAGAACTGACCAAACCTGCCAGGATGGATTGTAGAACAGTTCTAAATGACGTCAGTGCAGTTAGGGCATCTCACTGGTCGCCATTCAGTGTTATTTTTATCGTTGATAAAGCCACACGCAAAATGCCTCCTGTCAAAGTTAACAGAATTTCAATGTATTTGAGACAGCGAATAGTTAATCTTCGCCAAAGTGGAAAATCGTATGTGAAGATTTCCAGTATTTTATCCGACACAGAGGGAGTTGTGATATATGTCTTTAAATTTTATCAACGTTTTCCGTGATGAAGTTTTGAAATCGTCGTTTTTCGTAAACAGTGATGAAGGTGGTGTTAAACTATTGTTTTTCGTGAACAGTTTTGTTGTATTTCCTGTTAACTGTGATCAGCTAATTTAACATTTCGTAAACTCCGATGAAACATCCCTCTTCCCTACATTACCCCCCTAACAGATAGTTTGGGTGGGATGGGGCTGAGATTACTATAACACATATTATATTATTGTTATAGTAATCTCAGACCTGATAAAATAACTAACTCTACACAAGAAAGGGTTAAAAAATAAAATAACTATGAAGAATGTAAACAAACTGTGACCTCGATCAAAACGGTAACAAGCTTATTGTCAAAAAGCATGTTCCATCCACAAAAAAACGTGTCACCCCTTTCCCGTCAGAATATCGCCAGTCGTTCATTATCAACTCTAAATAATGAAGTTTGGATTTTTTTTACCTGTAAGTACAAATATTTCATAAAGTTATTTGTTTTGCCACTCTCCTCCATCGACATCCATCGTAACAAAATTTCCGCTATAAAAGCGACCGAGGAAACGGTTATCGACATTTTCCGTAACGAGAAATGTTAAAACAGTGCTGTGATGATAATTTTTTAATATATATTATATTCTTTTGACTTATTTATATTTAAGACGAAGAGTTCTTAAAACTGTCCAATTGATAGAATTGACTAAATCAATTCTAGCCGTAGAACTGACCAAATCAGTTCTAATCGTAGAACTGTTCTAGTCGTAGAACTGTTCTAGCCGTAAGATTTGGTCAGTTCTAGGTAGAACTGTCTAAAACTGTTCTAGGGTAGAACTGTCAAGATCAGTTCTAGGTAGAACTGTCTAAATCAGTTCAAGGTAGAACTGACCAAATCAGTTCTAGGTTAGAACTGTTCTAGCTAGAACTGTCTAAAAGGTGTCAGGATGACAGTTCTACATACTGTCCTAGAACAGTTCTCCTGACAGATTCTGACAGATTTGATGAGAGGTTAGAAGTGATCTCCACTGTAATTTGGGTTCATATCTAATTACTTTATTTTAATTTATTTGTTTATAAAAGTTGTTTATTAAGTTTTGTATTATTGATATCAGAGACATATTCTAATATTGTATTATATGTCTCTGTTGATATTAAATAATTAACACTTGATTAATTGTATTGTGTTCATTTTATTTGATATATTCATAATGGGCTTCTATTGAATATACACCTGTCTCGGAGACATTATTTCACAGTGTATTGTATGTCTCTGGTTTTGGCTTTTTACTAGCTTTCAGTAACTGCGAGTACTCTCAAATCGTATTTTCTTGTTAATTTGACCTGCTGACACAATTTGTAATGCATTTCTGTTATTTTATGTTAACTTTTTTTTGTGTTATATCTCGTCTCACTATTTTTAATATGTAC